GGCATTCCAACATCTGACAATTATTTCCCAGGGTTTTGATCAAAAAACCGAGAAAAAATTTGATTTTTCCGGATGTCCTGATTTCAGCATTTTTCATTTTTGTTTATTTTGGCGAAAAACCGACCAAAATGAAATTTTTGAGCTGTGAATGCCACCCGATTGGAAATTTTATAACGAATTCAATGAGGTATGGCATTCCAACATCTGACCATTATTTCCCAAACTTTTGATCAAAAAACCGAAAAAAAACGTTGATTTTTCCGGATGTCCTGATTTCAGCATTTTTCATAAGGGGTAACATTGTCTATTTTGGCGAAAAACCGACCAAAATGAAATTTTTGAGCTGTGAATGCCACCCGATTGGAAATTGTATAACGAATTCAATGATGTATGGCATTCCAACATCTGACAATTATTTCCCAGGGTTTTGATCAAAAAACCGAAAAAAACGTTGATTTTTCCGGATGTCCTGATTTCAGCATTTTTCATAAGGGGTTACATTGTCTATTTTGGCGAAAAACCGACCAAAATGAAATTTTTGAGCTGTGAATGCCACCCGATTGGAAATTGTATAACGAATTCAATGATGTATGGCATTCCAACATCTGACAATTATTTCCCAGGGTTTTGATCAAAAAACCGAAAAAAACGTTGATTTTTCCGGATGTCCTGATTTCAGCATTTTTCATAAGGGGTTACATTGTCTATTTTGGCGAAAAACCGACCATAATGAAATTTTTGAGCTGTGAATGCCACCCGATTGGAAATTTTATAACGAATTCAATGATGTATGGCATTCCAACATCTGACAATTATTTCCGAGGGTTTTGATCAAAAAACCGAAAAAAACGTTGATTTTTCCGGATGTCCTGATTTCAGCATTTTTCATAAGGGGTAACATTGTCTATTTTGGCGAAAAACCGACCAAAATGAAATTTTTGAGCTGTGAATGCCACCCGATTGGAAATTTTATAACGAATTCAATGATGTATGGCATTCCAACATCTGACAATTATTTCCCAGGGTTTTGATCAAAAAACCGAGAAAAAGTTGATTTTTCCGGATGTCCTGATTTCAGCATTTTTCATTTTTGTTTATTTTGGCGAAAAACACAGTTAGCTGTGAATGCCACCCGATTAAAAATTTTATAACGAATTCAATGATGTATGGCATTCCAACATCTGAAAATTATTTCCCAGGGTTTTGATCAAAAAACCGAAAAAAACGTTGATTTTTCCGGATGTCCTGATTTCAGCATTTTTCATAAGGGGTAACATTGTCTATTTTGGCGAAAAACCGACCAAAATGAAATTTTTGAGCTGTGAATGCCACCCGATTGGAAATTGTATAACGAATTCAATGATGTATGGCATTCCAACATCTGACAATTATTTCCCAGGGTTTTGATCAAAAAACCGAAAAAAACGTTGATTTTTCCGGATGTCCTGATTTCAGCATTTTTCATAAGGGGTTACATTGTCTATTTTGGCGAAAAACCGACCAAAATGAAATTTTTGAGCTGTGAATGCCACCCGATTGGAAATTTTATAACGAATTCAATGATGTATGGCATTCCAACATCTGACAATTATTTCCCAGGGTTTTGATCAAAAAACCGAGAAAAAAGTTGATTTTTCCGGATGTCCTGATTTCAGCATTTTTCATAAGGGGTTACATTGTCTATTTTGGCGAAAAACCGACCATAATGAAATTTTTGAGCTGTGAATGCCACCCGATTGGAAATTTTATAACGAATTCAATGATGTATGGCATTCCAACATCTGACAATTATTTCCGAGGGTTTTGATCAAAAAACCGAAAAAAAACGTTGATTTTTCCGGATGTCCTGATTTCAGCATTTTTCATAAGGGGTAACATTGTCTATTTTGGCGAAAAACCGACCAAAATGAAATTTTTGAGCTGTGAATGCCACCCGATTGGAAATTTTATAACGAATTCAATGATGTATGGCATTCCAACATCTGACAATTATTTCCCAGGGTTTTGATCAAAAAACCGAGAAAAAAGTTGATTTTTCCGGATGTCCTGATTTCAGCATTTTTCATTTTTGTTTATTTTGGCGAAAAACACAGTTAGCTGTGAATGCCACCCGATTAAAAATTTTATAACGAATTCAATGATGTATGGCATTCCAACATCTGAAAATTATTTCCCAGGGTTTTGATCAAAAAACCGAAAAAAAACGTTGATTTTTCCGGATGTCCTGATTTCAGCATTTTTCATAAGGGGTAACATTGTCTATTTTGGCGAAAAACCGACCAAAATGAAATTTTTGAGCTGTGAATGCCACCCGATTGGAAATTGTATAACGAATTCAATGATGTATGGCATTCCAACATCTGACAATTATTTCCCAGGGTTTTGATCAAAAAACCGAAAAAAACGTTGATTTTTCCGGATGTCCTGATTTCAGCATTTTTCATAAGGGGTTACATTGTCTATTTTGGCGAAAAACCGACCAAAATGAAATTTTTGAGCTGTGAATGCCACCCGATTGGAAATTGTATAACGAATTCAATGATGTATGGCATTCCAACATCTGACAATTATTTCCCAGGGTTTTGATCAAAAAACCGAAAAAAACGTTGATTTTTCCGGATGTCCTGATTTCAGCATTTTTCATAAGGGGTTACATTGTCTATTTTGGCGAAAAACCGACCAAAATGAAATTTTTGAGCTGTGAATGCCACCCGATTAAAAATTTTATAACGAATTCAATGATGTATGGCATTCCAACATCTGACAATTATTTCCCAGGGTTTTGATCAAAAAACCGAAAAAAAACGTTGATTTTTCCGGATGTCCTGATTTCAGCATTTTTCATAAGGGGTAATGAAATTTTTGAGCTGTGAATGCCACCCGATTGGAAATTGTATAACGAATTCAATGATGTATGGCATTCCAACATCTGACAATTATTTCCCAGGGTTTTGATCAAAAAACCGAAAAAAACGTTGATTTTTCCGGATGTCCTGATTTCAGCATTTTTCATAAGGGGTTACATTGTCTATTTTGGCGAAAAACTGACCAAAATGAAATTTTTGAGCTGTGAATGCCACCCGATTAAAAATTTTATAACGAATTCAATGATGTATGGCATTCCAACATCTGACAATTATTTCCCAGGGTTTTGATCAAAAAACCGAAAAAAAACGTTGATTTTTCCGGATGTCCTGATTTCAGCATTTTTCATAAGGGGTAACATTGTCTATTTTGGCGAAAAACTGACCAAAATGAAATTTTTGAGCTGTGAATGCCACCCGATTGGAAATTGTATAACGAATTCAATGATGTATGGCATTCCAACATCTGACAATTATTTCCCAGGGTTTTGATCAAAAAACCGAAAAAAAACGTTGATTTTTCCGGATGTCCTGATTTCAGCATTTTTCATAAGGGGTTACATTGTCTATTTTGGCGAAAAACCGACCAAAATGAAATTTTTGAGCTGTGAATGCCACCCGATTGGAAATTGTATAACGAATTCAATGATGTATGGCATTCCAACATCTGACAATTATTTCCCAGGGTTTTGATCAAAAAACCGAAAAAAACGTTGATTTTTCCGGATGTCCTGATTTCAGCATTTTTCATAAGGGGTTACATTGTCTATTTTGGCGAAAAACTGACCAAAATGAAATTTTTGAGCTGTGAATGCCACCCGATTAAAAATTTTATAACGAATTCAATGATGTATGGCATTCCAACATCTGACAATTATTTCCCAGGGTTTTGATCAAAAAACCGAAAAAAAACGTTGATTTTTCCGGATGTCCTGATTTCAGCATTTTTCATAAGGGGTAACATTGTCTATTTTGGCGAAAAACCGACCAAAATGAAATTTTTGAGCTGTGAATGCCACCCGATTGGAAATTTTATAACTAATTCAAAGAGGTAACAAATAGACAATGGATTTTGTAATTAATAAGTCCCACCCCAAAGTAAAAGTTTTTCATAATTATTTTTTTTTTAAACATTTTTATTTCAGTTATAAAATTTAAGAATGGATATATCTAAATTACATAGATTAAACACAGGAATTCGCTTTGGAGATCGCGATCAGCATTGTTCAGGATGTTTCCATGGATAATTGTGCCGGGTTTCAGTGTCGCCTTCAAGGCTATCCAGGATTCACCAGTCGTCGTCCCTTTTTTCACCTCACCAATTAGACGCTTATTTTTAAGTACTTATAAATTAGCTATAAATAAATTCCGTTTTCCTATTAATTGCATTAACAATAAGTTAAGCTAGTTTCTATATGATATTATTATCTACATATTGTATTAATTTATTTAGTATATACATTGTTTTAAATAAAAAATAAACAAGTGTAATACAAGAATTCTGTTTTTTATTGGATTTGTATTTTAGGGCTTTCATCGGGAGATTTAATTTTGTGTCTTTAAACTACCATATAAATTATAGATTTAGTTCTGAAACTTATTATACAAGGCTATACATACATATATATTTTTTTTTCGTTCGATTTTTGTTATATTAAACTACCAAGCTAGTACAGAAATGTTAACTTAATTAAATTGACCAACTCGCATGTTCCACAACTATAAAAAAGATATTTTTACTGGAAATTTTTGAGCTGTGAATGCCACCCGATTGGAAATTTTATAACGAATTCAATGATGTATGGCATTCCGGATGTCCTGATTTCAGCATTTTTCATTGTCATTTTTGGCGAAAAACCGACCAAAATGAAATTTTTGAGCTGTGAATGCCACCCGATTGGAAATTTTATTTGTTGATTTTTTCGGATAACCGGATTTCGGCACTTTTTGGCATTCTAAAAAGAAGACTTCGGATTGTTTTACCATACAGCGTTAGAACTGAGAGAATATTACTGCACTCCAAACCTTTGACCAACACTGAAGTTCCCTCTCCAAGGGATTAAAATAATTGTTTTTACATGATAATACCATTCTACACATGTATATTCATCGCAAAAAAATAAATGCATCCAGAAGTTTGTTTAAAATTGTAAAATGTTTAAACATTTAATTGCAGTTCTTTTTATACGAAACGGGTTAACAAAAGTAATAGTTTGCTTGTAAAACGCTTACGTTCTAATTGGTTAGTAATATGGTTTCTTGGAAAAATTATATCTATATTAGGACGTTAGTAAAACTATGTTATGTTTTTTTTTTTTGTTTTTTCTTTCGAACTAACACAACAGAAATCATGCGGAGCCGTTTATTGCCTGCTTCACATTCGACGCACTGACGAGTTTCAGGGCCCCAACTATGCCGTTAAGGTTCTCCTCATTGTAGGGCTTGCCCTGAAGCGGAGTGACCACCGGAACGAGCTGATCGCTTTGCGGCAGCTGGATGCCAATCTCCTTCATAAGCCCCTAAAAGAAGTACAGCAATAAGAGAAAATTTCATTCTGTAAATTGAGCACTTACGGCCTCCACTTCTACGCTCAGTTTAAGTTTCATGCCCGGGTCGTCGCCCTTGACATCCAGATCCTTCTGCACAGTAAACTTGGGCGTCTTGCCGATGACCCAGTCCCAAGAACTGTAGTTCGAGCGCAGTTCCTCAATGCCGGGGAACCATTTCTCAGTGGGATTGATGAGCTGGAAACCTCGCTGCTTCATCGTCTGCGTGCTCCCGCCATCTTCCAGAGAGGTGGCCGCTGTCCTCAGATACTCATAGCCCACGGCAGAGCGAAGCTGTGGAACGCTAACCGTGCGGTTCACATCCACCAGATTGCGGATAGGCGACGGCACGGAAGCCGTGGCTCGGCTTATATAGTTGGCCGGCTCCCGGACCAGAGATTCGCCCAAGTGGAGCTTGTTGGCGCTGGCTAGGATGGTGCAGTGATGGTACGAGTTCGGGTGTCCCAGCTTGGCCGCCGTTCCGGAAATCTGTAATTGAACAAGGGCGAACTCGTTAAGTAGCATTCAATAAAGACCAGATGCACAGCCCCATCTGTTGGTAAAGTGGGCTGACGCTAGTGTGGGGTTAAAGGGGGTCGCCCCATTCCCTGATAAGAGCCAGTCAATTGCCACCGCTTCGCCTCACCTTTTTGTTCATTACCACAATGTCGTCGCGATCATTAATCTCCGCCTTGATGGCCCACTCTCGGAACAAAGCCCTGGTCACTATGTTCAGGTTGTACTTGCGATCGTAGCGCTCCCGAGGCGAGAAAAAAGTGCAGTTGAGGTTTCCAAGATCATGGTACACCGCTCCGCCACCGCTGTTTCGCCGTGCCAGGGTGATTCCGCGGTCCACCAGCTTCGAGACATTGGCCTCGGTAAAGGGGTTCTGGTGGCGTCCAATGACCACGCACGGGTCATTGGCCCACAGCAGCAAGACGTGGTGGTGGCTGAAATCGAAGTTCTTGTACAGCCAGTCCTCCAGGGCCAAGTTGGTGAACACATCGCTTGACTGCGAGATGAAGACGGACTTCTTAATCTCCGAATCTGGAACAACGGGAGGGGGCTGGCGCTTCTGCTTTCTGATCTCCTGCTGGCCAGCAGTCGGAGGCGACACTTCTCCGGAGGAGGCCAGGCGCGTGACCTGCCCACCGGAGGAGAGGAGCAGCCGAAGCTGGCTGGAATTACGACGCAGCAGCCTGCTCATGGCTCACACAATGAAGTAAAAAGTGCGGCGTTTGATTTCTGTTGCCAGGTGAACTGAGACGGAATGCACTTGTAAGCGAAACAAGGTCAATGGTGTCGAAAAAAGCTCTTAACGGGTTGGTTTATTCTCTGCCTGGTTTCTGTGTGGTCTTCTGTGTGCTCTTCTTTAGGTTATGTATGTCCTACTATCTACGCTATTCGTTTTGGTTTTAGATGGCTTTGGTCGGTCTGGACTTTAGACTGTAGCGGTTTTGCCGAATCGGGATGTGTTTGCAGCTACGGAGCTGGCCGAGATTAGGTATTCGTGCAAAGCAGGAGTCTGGTGCAGCCACTTCCAGGTTTGGTGCAGACCACACACTCGCTTTCGGAGACCCAGACAGTCCTTGTTGGCACAGTTCACTGGCATACTACGCCTCACTCCCATCCAAGTGGGGGATACCAAAAATTTGGTTGTTACAAGGGGCCGCAGCGTTACGGGCCCGAAAAAACTGATAAACGTCTAAAGGGTTTTTCAGATGACACGAAAATTTTCCACTCTTTGTTCGCGTCGGACGGTCGGGCGGTGGAGGTGATCTTGAGTAGGCGGGGGGTGTTTATTATAGCACAAACAAACGAACAGAGACGATCGAAAAGCGTGTGCGACCGATTTGCTTTCGCTTTAGATGAGCAGTGAATGTAGTAGCTCTTGTTCTTCCGCGTAGCCCCAAGTGCCATTCACAGCGAACTGAAAGCTCCGGGGGACATATGTTTATTTAAACAATATCATTCTGGCGCCGCCATTTAATTCTTTCTTGAATAATTTACGCTAAACATGTGTGATTTTCGGTGAAGTCTGATATTAGATTATTTTACAAGCAGCACACTTTGAGGTCCTCTAATTTGGAATTCCTCCATTGTTGATGTACGCCGCTTCCTCGGGGTCGATTGGCTTGCGCGCAAACCGTGCCGGCAGCTCGTAATCTTCGATTGCAGGGCCTCCGGCCAACTATACAAACAATAAATTCGAAATCAATTATAATGTCCATCAGGAGAAGTTGCACTTCGTAGTAAATGAGCGGTGGGTTAACCTTTTTGCCTCCTGGTGGCTGGGAACTTGCCTGCTGATTTGCGGTCTGGGCGCCCGGGGCGCCCGCACCCCCTTTGCGAAAATGGATGAGGGGCACTCGCTTGGCCAGGGTGACGAGCGTTGGACGAACCATTTTAATATCAATTTAGTTTCTACCAAAATCCAAGGAAAAAGTAAAAGTTACGTCAATAACAGCTGACTATAAACTCCTGGTAGGGCTGCCAGATCGGATAACAGCCAGTCGCAGGGCAGCGGCGTCCTATCGCTATCGAAGACCTGAGTTCCTTATGAATGGCAAAGCGGTAAAGAGGAAGAAGAGAAAAACCTATTTTGCTATTTTGTTGTAATTTAAAATGAATTATGGATAAAAGACAGCCATCTGCCGTTGCGATTAACTTCAGAAAGGGCTACGCTGATAAAGGAGCTACTAGAAACTTCTTTAGAACCTGGCAGGCCTCGGTTTTATCTAGTATACAAACCATTTGCAAGTATCTCTCGTGAACTCGCATTGTTTAAGTAATATTTTTGAATTTACCATTATTTTATTTAATTGAATGGTTTTCTTCCAGATCTGTAAATTCCCTAAATTAAATTCAGGACGATAAAGGCACTGGAGGACACTTTCGGGTGAACCAACCTTTAACTTGGCTTTCCACTATTAACCAAACAAAAACCTCTGCTACGAACTGTTATAAATACAAAATAAACGTTACTTATCATGAACGTCTCTGGAGGAGGTAATGGCCCCCAGGCGACCGCTGCCACGACCAATAGCAGCAGTCTGGGCAGCAACTCGCTCCTTGCCACGGCTTCTGGAGCCATGCCCATGGCCCAACTGGCGGATGGATGGCTAGAACTGGAATCTGACCCAGGTCTCTTCACCCTTCTTCTCGAGGACTTTGGGTGTAATATATGATTACCAAAACAAGTCTTACATATACGACTAAAAACGTATTCCTTTCAGGCCACGATGTTCAGGTGGAGGAGGTGTATGACCTGCAGAAGCCCATCGAGAGCCCCTATGGCTTTATTTTTCTCTTTCGCTGGATTGAAGAGCGGCGTGCCAGGCGCAAAATAGTCGAGACAACCGCAGAGATTTTTGTAAAGGATGAGGAAGCAATTTCTAGCATTTTCTTTGCCCAGCAGGTTGTGCCCAACAGCTGTGCCACCCACGCCCTCCTGTCCGTCCTCCTGAACTGCAACGAGAACAACCTGCAGCTGGGCGATACTCTCAGTCGACTGAAAGCCCATACTAAGGGCATGAGTCCGGAGAACAAGGGTCTGGCCATCGGCAACACTCCGGAGCTGGCCTGTGCCCACAACTCTCATGCAATGCCGCAAGCTCGGCGCCGCCTGGAGCGGACTGGAGCTGGAGTCTCTAGTTGTCGCTTTACCGGAGAGGCTTTCCACTTTGTCAGCTTTGTACCTATCAACGGCCAGCTGTTTGAACTGGATGGTCTTAAGCCGTATCCCATGAATCACGGGGGATGGGAGGATAGTGAGGACTGGACGGACAAGTTCCGGCGTGTGATGGCGGAGAGACTGGGAATAGCCACCGGTGAACAGGATATACGCTTCAACCTGATGGCCGTCGTGCCGGATAGGCGTATTGCCATAACCCACAAGCTCAAGATGCTGCGCACCAACCAGGCAATCGTGTCCGGAACTCTGCAGAAACTCCTAAAGGCCGACGAGCAGGGCGAATCGGGGAACGGAGACTCACAACGTCCGGACACTCCCACTACGTTACTGGAACCGAGCGCCTTCACCGCACGGGATCTGCAGTCGCTGCTCAAGAACCTTGATACGGAAATAGCAATCAACGAGCAGCATCTAGCCGATGAAAACGATCGGCGACACATGTTCAAGGTTGACGCCAGTCGGCGCACCCACAACTACGACAAGTTCGTCTGCACTTTCCTCTCTATGCTGGCGCATCAGGGTGTCCTGGGTGAGCTGGTCAGCCAGCACCTGCTGCCATCGAAGAAGATTAGTGGCCAGAGTGCCGCCAATCGGATTAGCAAGCAGAGCAATTCTTCGAACTCGGGGACGAGTACTGCTGGAGCTGGTGGTACCACGCCCAAAACTCAGCAACAGCAGGCTGCAGCCGCTAAAAATGGAAAGTCGCCTAGTAAAACGCCGGGCAGAAGGAGAAAGGGACGCAACAAGTGCAGAAAACGGAAGTAAACGGACGAGTTGTAAATGTTTTTAAGAATACAGTTTGCATTTTAAGACTATTCATTCCAGTATTGTTTTACTACAATTTTCCCACCAATAACCATCAGTTAACTATAAGTTTAGTTTTAGTGCCATCCCAAGACACCTAGGTGCAGTAAATTTATACATTTCTAAATACGAAATCAACTTGGCAGCTTCTTCATTTTTATTTGATCGCTTTTGGACCTTTTTAATAATAAAAAACCATTTTGTTCGTATGAATAAATGTTCTTGCGACCCTTGACACACCAAGGACCTAAAAGTGTATGCATTACATATGAATAATATATATTTTCTGATATATATCTATATGATAGTTGTATAACAAAAACGTAATCATTCAATAATTTCTCTGGTTTCTGTTTCCAATTGTACGTATCTTAACGTTATTGTAAAATATTTAGTTGCACTCGTTGTAAAGTTGATTCAACAGAAAACAATGCATAAAATTAGGTGCAATCGATTATAAACTATAAAAGGCATTTGACGGGTTTGCAAATGGTTAACAAAACATATATGTGTATGAGCTAGACGACTTTGTGTTTAAAAACAAGTCCACTTTCTGTTATAACTGGTTTTGGGGTGATATCGGGTCGTTGGATTAGGATGCTTCATGTTGCTGATAGTTTGCTTGACTAAGTCTAAAAGTATTGTAATGTCCTGTACCACAAATGGAAACAGGACCTTCTATGCGTATTGCTAAATACGACGCGATGCGATGTGTGTGAGCAGTACAAGAGCAGCCTTTAAGAAAAACATATACAATTATGTTTTATTACGATGTTGGTAGTTGTTGATGTTGCAGTTGGTAGGTCATTGCTGTAGTTATTCAAAACATAGATGTTTTAATTTTGCTCAGTCCCAAAACACGATTAACGATACGACAATGCAACGAACAGGCGGCAAATTTTGTGACTTGTTGGGATTTCAATTGTTTAACTTTGCCTCTGGAGTGTTCAACTTGAAGTCGCCTCAGTGGTCGTGGACTTTTCGCCATTCGTAAGCTGGGTGCCCGCTACTGCCTGCTCTTTAATGTCCTTCGAGGCCTCCTCCTCCGCCTCTCCATTGTTATTGGCAGCAGCCACAATGGATTTGATGGCATCATTAACCTCGTTTTCGGCGCTATTGGCCTTGAAATGCTTTTCAATCTCGCTGCGCACCTTGACGATGTCTTTTTGGCTGTAGTATATAGACGGAAAGTAAGGAGTTATAAAGACTAGACTTTTTTAAGGAAAGTCCACAGTCTCACCTAATTTGCACAAACAGAATGCCGTTGATTGTGTTCAGCATGTCTAGGACCGATCCCATCGAGGGAGGTGTGATGTGAATGGGCGGCAGGTCACTGGTCAGCTTGCCACTGGAATAGATGTCGTTCATCTTACGCTGCAGCAGCACAGCCTGCTGAGTCAGGAGACGCAGACACTCGGCCGAATCGCGGGTCTTCTCGTGTTTCTCACCAAGCTTTTGAATAAAATTATAATTTAGCTTTGATTTTAAAGAATTCTTTCGAGATTCACCCACCTGTGACTTGTAAATGGAGTAAGTTTCCTTCTCGTTGTTCAATGCCGAGCGGAAGTCACCCATGCAGGACTGGGTGCGGGCCATCAGGTGATAGCTGACCGCCACGTGCATGGCCTTGTTGCCGAAGTACTTGAGGTTCAGCTTCAGGGCATGCTCGATAAATCGTAGCGACAACTCGTATTCACCCAGTGCATGCAAAATCAAACTTATGTTGCTCTAAAAGTAGCAAAAAATTTGAGTTAAATAACATTGCGGTGAGAATTAGTGGCTAAACTTACATCGATCAGTGCCACCTCCGGATGATCTTCACCGCAGATGAGCACCATCAGATAGCGTGCTCTGTACAGCAGCTTTAGGGACATTCCCACATGTCCGTTAGCAAACGAATAGAGTGATAAGTGTGTCTGTTAAAAAAAAAAAGACTTATTATTCGAACTATTGGGTGAAACTAAAACACGTACGTATTCCAAAATGGTCGATGGGTGGTCAATGCCGTTTACCCGCTCGCTCATGATCACTGCCCTCTGCTGGATGGCCAGAGCATCTTGGGCATCGCCCAACAAATAACTTAGCCTGGCCAGCATCCGCAGGCAGGATCCGTTCTCCTGGTGCATCGCCCCAAAAACGTTGTTCAGCAGGTTAAGTGCCTCGCTGATCAACTCGTAGCCCTCCTTGAACATGCCCTGCTGTATCTTGGCCTGGCCAGTGGTGTAGAAATTATAGGCGTCTGTGGCCCGAGGGCTAATGTGCTTCACTACCGGGAACACATTGACGATGTCGTCGTCGCCAAATGTGGGCTTGTGCTTAGACTCGAAGTTGTACTCGCGCAGCAGCACTTGAATGCCAACCTTGAGGCAGAATGCTCGCAGAAGGCTGATCCGCAAAATACCGTACTTCGACACCGCGGTTTCAATGGAGTCACAATCCAGATCCCAGTCCCAGTAGGCCTTGGCCTCACGCCGAATTTGCTGCCAAAGGGAACGAGGTGTCACCAGCGTCCAGTCGGAGGCGGATGAGCCATTGGAGGAACCAGACGAGTTGCCGTTCTGGTTGCCAGCTGCCTGCTGCTGCCCTTTGCCGCCTTTTGAGGACTTGTGCTTGTTGTGCTTTCCGCCATTGCCGCGTTTCTTGTGCGCCTCCTCGCTACTCACGGCCGGATTGACCGGGCCATTGGTTAGCAGACAGTTGAGGAAGTGGCTGATGGCGGAAGACAGGTGCAGTGGCTCTGTGTTCTGCATGTAGGTGTAGTAAATGTGCTTGGTGGCCCGCACGATCAGCTCGAGGATGGCGATCCTGTACAGGTAGTCCATGCGCGGCATCTGTCCCAACATCTTGATGACCTTGCCCAGATAGCGCACGTTTATGCCGTGACTGTGCAGGGACTCTGTCAGACTCTGGCCATCGATCGGTGGCGAGGAGTGGGCCAGGTGTTCCTTAATGAAGGCGGGTATCTGCTTGAGGACCAGGAACTCGGCTGCTTCCTGTACGAGAACCTTCTGCTTGGCCAGCGAGCTGCAGGTGCCCTCCTCACCGTCTACGTGCCGAATGCCGGGCGAGAACACGTCGGGGTTGAACCGGAAATCAAACTCCTTCTCCTTCAGCGAACCAACGGCGGCGCAAGCACGTTTAACAACCTCTGCGGCTTGCACCTCGTTTGAAGTGGCTACATTAGACTGCGCCTCGCGAATGGCGTTAACCATGGCTTCCGCAGTCTTTGTGTCACTGGCAGTGGGCTGCTTCTCCACCTTGTCATCTTTCTTCTCCTCCTTGGCGTCCGCTTTCTGGGCTCCGTTTACTTTACTTTCCGCCTGAGCTTCTTCGATGGCGGGAACTTGCTTCTCTTCCGCCTTTTCAGTTTGTTTCTTGGCATTCAGCTGTTGCAAATGCACGGCAGCGATCCTGATAAAGCTCACATATCGGTCCTCGATAAAGGCTTCGAGCAGCTCTTGACGCAGGCAGCACAGCTTGTGGCGGTGCTCGATGGGAAAGCCCATATCGACCAGCTCCTTGCTTATTTGCACGTCCTGAAGTTTCAAGAAGTTTACGTCTGGTGGGAAGGTGCGCAACAGGTCGAGAATGTAGTGGCGTCCATCATTGCCGATAATGCCCTTGCACTCAACGGATGAGCACAGCTCCACGGGCTCGTCCCGCTCATTGAGCACCGCGTGCGGCAAGATCTTAAGATGCTTTCCCGCCTGTCGTAGGAGATCCAAGTACTTTGGATGGCTCAGCACCGTCTTGCCGAAGTCAATGGAACCATAGACCACGCTCTGCTCCTGCTCCCGCTCTAGAATTCCGGGGATAATGGACTGGGCGGTAACGCGGTAGCCGCGATAATCAATCACTACGGTTCCCAGTGTGTACAATCCCTCCACATCCACAGCATTGTAGACCCGAACGCCATGCAAATCGTATCGCGGAGCAACAAATGCCGCTGCATCGCCGCCAAGCTCCTTATAGTGGTCCCTAACGTCGAAGCCCAGCGAGAAGAAAATGTTGTTCCAGATAAACATCTGCATCTTAGAGTCCTCGCCTGGATTTATGGCCAGCACGTTGCCGTCAATAACGGCCATTGCGCCCCTCGTGGCGGCAGTCACAAAGTCTCCGTGCACCTTGAAGATTGCGCGTTCGCGCAGTAAACGCTCCGGCAGTGTCTTGCGTGGCAGTTCCCGTGTCGTTTGCAGCTCCTCGTTCCAGTCGCGCGTCTGTCCGGGAATGTGCTCCTCGTAGCTGCGGAATGAAAGAAATGCCGAAATATATAAATAAGTTGCTAGTTAAGATGATATTAAGATATTGAACCTTTCTATATATTTCAAAATGTCCACTGAAATTTTAAAATCTCTTTGTATTGTATATAAATGGACCGTGTTTAAACTAGCCATTCCAGCCAGCTACCGATTTCGAGGCCTCTTGGAAATTAAAAAGGCGGTTGAACCCTAAATGAATGTGCATTTCTTAAATGTTTAGTGATTTTACTATCCAAAATTAAATATTTAAACCGATGCAGTCCGCATACAATTAATGTCACGAGGTGAGGAAACTTTGGAACTTTTATGAATAAATAATTTATTGCACATCATAACAAGAAAATTAATAACTTGAGATCTTACCACACTAGATTCAGGCAACACTTACCCCAACTTTGAGCTGAAGGCATCTTCGGCGCGAATGGCGTCCACGGTGTGCTCCAAAGTAGGCGAAGCCCATTGGTACACCTGATAGGGCGTGGCCACTCGCTCGAACGCGTGACGCATGGTGCGGCGCTTCTGGATGGTCTGGAAGGCACGTCGGAACGAGGGCGATATGTGGGAGAGCAGATCGATCAGCGAGTGGCTGAGGTGACTAGGATTGTCGGGTTTTGGGTTGAAGGTGTCGTCCGTCGACTGGTTAATGTAGAAGCCTTTGGAGCAGGCTGAGATGTGAAAGCGCTTCTCCTCCATAGTGACAACGTACAAATACATAAGGTCGCCGTGCAGCTTGCGGGGACCGGGTGGAGGATTCCAAGCGGATGTGGTGAGTACCTTGAGAGCCTGCGGTCCCTTGGCGTTCTTAACATTCGGATGCAATGGCAGAAGTGGCGGTTCGTACACGCCCGGAGTCACATACTCCGGTGGCGTGCAATCCACAGAGTCTGGCCGCGTCTTCTTCTTGTCCAACAAATCTCCCTGAGTGATAGTATTCAAGTAGGTCAGCGAGGTGCAGTCGATGCCGTTGTAAGCGTCCGCCGGATCAAGGTTCTTAAGAAGATCGCGTACATGGCGTACGTGGATGCGTGCCTCCCGCATGGTGTACGGCTCCTCCACTACCTTAATGGTGGAGCCCTGCTCCAGCTGCTCGATTGTCTTTAGCTCAGCGAAATTGTCCAGGGTCACGTTGTCCAGCTGCAGCGAGAAGCATGTTCGGTGGCAGGTCTCCTCTCGGTCCATCAGTAGCTGGTGGATTTCTTGCACCAGCTCCATGCTCGACAACTGCACACATAGCAAGTCCGCGCCAGGACTGCTGATGTTCACCGTGATGCCAACGTCGTGCAGGGCGTCCAAGTCAATGTCCTCCGCATCCGCTTCGGCCTCCGGTGCTCCGCCGACCTCCGGTTTCTCCAAATTGGCATTGGCATCAGAATCGGCCACACCAGCCTCCTCTGCGGTTGGTTTTTCGGCATGTCCGTTGCTCAAAGCCTCTTCCACTGGTACGGGAGTAGGTTCGGGCGGGCTTTTGTTGCGGTTCTTCTTGCCTGCAGGGGAAGCACAAAGCGTATTTTGTTAGTCAATATTGGGATAGGCATCTGGAGTTATTGTGTAACGATGTATATAGATGAAAAAACATGAACTTTGGACCGGTTTTGTAGACCACAACAATTGTTACGCAAATTTCTAAAAGCCAATATTAATATTATAGTTTTTGGTTTTGTACAGTCATTTAAAAATCAGTACGCGCTAGGACTCTAGCAAGGATACAATAATAGTGATGTAAGTACATATGTAAGTAATTAAGATATTGGTACAAGACTAAGATTAATAAAAATCAAAATTTATAGATTTAAAAAAAAACAGAAGATGACAACCCGTCAACCTATTTTAAAAAGGTGAAATACTAAATAATATAAAAAGGGAACATTTTTAAAATACCGATTTCTTTTATGTTTATTATTAAATAAGAAACTCAGTCAATTGCAATTATTTTGTTCTGAACTAGATTGAATTTAATAATTGTCTACATACAAATATATGTGTAAGTATTGTTATTAAATGTTAAGAAAGGGTTATGAAAGGTTATTTAAAGTTTAAGCTCTCAATTTGAGACTGTTTATGGAAAAAGCTAATGTTTGTTATGTAAATCAGCCAAGAAAGGTTGAGATTCAAATTAGTTTTACACATCTGTTCTATAATTTTATAGGTGCCTCCTCCGGTTTTTACATAACAATTCCCCCTGATGTTCGCATACTTTTGCCGCTTACTGTTTCTGTGCTCGCCGGCAAGCACAGAACATACAACAAAACAACAGAAAAACAAACAGAATAAGGCAAGCAGGCTGATAAGGCCAAAGGGGCCGGGTTCGTTGGATTTGGATCGTCCGGAGTCCGTACACCCAACGAATATTCCAATCTCCTTTCGATCTCTCGGGGAAATGGGTTTAGCACGGCAATGCTAATTTCAACAGGCACATACTAAATTACAGCACTGTGAGAGACAGAGAGAGAGTGGGAGAGCGGAGAAAGCAAAAGTGATAAGTAACGAGAGCGCGAGAGAGATATGTAGGCTCTTCTGAGACTAAACCTATGCGTCTGACGGATAGAAAACATGTTTTACATAATTGTCGAGAAATTTGCGTGTGTTAAGTGCATGCATTTCGGTCTGCGCACGTGTTAATTGTAGGTTAAATGCAATACCAAATCCGCCCGGGGGGTTAATGAACATTTAGCCGCCAACGGCGGGTTAATAACATGTGCGTTGCCATGTGAAGAGAAAGAGGGAGAGAGTATTACACTTGCAGCTCTCGCATACGCACTAAACTCCAATACACACACAATTACAATTGCAATGCACGCGGTTTTTAGGGGGGCGGAGGGAGAGGATAGAAAGGGGGTCGCGGGGGACAGCTACAGACAACGGGCGCCGCTTTTAAAGCATTATAGGGGCGAAAAAGGCCATTACGTAATGTTAAAATTGTTATGTGATTGGCTTTTGCGGCAAAAAAAATATTAAGGCAGCAGTTTCCAAGGCAGCAAAGGGGGTGGTAAGAGTTGAACGCACCTTTCTTCTTCGCAGCGGGACCGTCGGCAACCGTGCCATTGCCATTGACCAAGTTCTGATTCGGATTCTGCTGATTCGGTGGCGGGTTCAGATTCTTTTTGCCGCCGACCGTGTTGTTGTTCTCCTTGGCCTTGCCGCTGGTCTTTGTTGTTGCTGCTGTCGCATCGCCCGTGGCCGTTGCACTCGAATTCGATTTCTTTGCCTCCGTCTCAAGCGCCATGCTATCTGCTTTCCTTGTCCTGGTTCACCTGCAACTCAACAAAACCAGACACCAGAGACACCCAGTTCTAGTTCACGTTTCTTCTTCTCGGGGCCCGTGTTACACAACTCTAACCGCTTGCCGAGTTCGGGACTTCGATTCCGATTCGTTTCGAGTGTCTTTTTGGTCGATTGCGAACGTGATTGTTGTTTGGCTGACGATCTCGTACGCAACTACTGACAAGTGGGTCTTTGGTAGTTCTGTTCTTTTCAGCACATTACTTATCGAGGATATAATTCGGCCGATCCGCTAGAAACGCGTTATGTTGTTGACGGCTGAGAGTGTGGCCAACGGCTAATACTTGGAAAATACTGCTGAAAAATGGTTGCCGTCTGCTCTGGTTTAGTATTTTTTGCAGTATTTTTACCTTGTGGTGTGTGAACTAGAGATGGGCTTGTCCAACGTAACACGTTGGTCGTGCGTACTCTTTCATTGCAAAATGAAAACGTCAGATATATTTTTGGGAAAGAAACAAACGATTCACTATTAAACTAACGATTTCAAAAATTCGGATACTTTTTATCTTTAAATGAAATATTATTAAACAAATTCCGATCCTTACAGTATTGACATTTAAACCTGAAGTTACACAAATACACTCTATTGTAAAACGACCTTTTTCAATACTGGCAAAACCGGTTAAAACTGATATCGCGCGATAACTGTGTGGTTTTTAAGCTAATGCATCACAGCCACACTGAAATACTGTTTTTATTGGCAAACAAAAATGTCGCTTATAAAAAACTTGGTAAAAGAGCCCGAACACAAGCCGAAGAAAAAGAAGAAGGATGCAGGATCAGGAGACAGCGATTCCGATGGCAAGGACAAACCCCTGCGGCCATTCGTTAAAACCGCCACAGATCTGCAGCGGTTAAAGCTGGAGAAGCTCATGAAGAACCCGGTAAGTTTTTATTGGAATACTGGGTAAATTGGATTATTAATGGATTTCCAATGAGCAGGATAAGCCCGTGATCATACCAGAGCAGCGTCGCGAACGGGACTACATGTCCTCGGTGCCCACCTTTGTCCGGAATGTTATGGGAAGCAGTGCAGGAGCGGGCTCCGGCGAGTTCCATGTGTATCGTCACCTCCGCCGAAAAGAATACGCCCGCCAAAAGAACATTCAGAACCAGAGCTCCCGTGAAGCAGCAGATGATGCCTACCAGCAGAAGTTGGTCGACAATAGACGGGCCGCCGAGGATAAAACCGCCAAGAAAAGAGCCAAGCGGCAAAAAAAGAAACTCCGGGCCAAAAAGCCCCGGGAACAAAAGAAGCCGGAGGCTAAGGATGAGCCTGAGTCTAGTGACAGCGATTCGGAAGGGGAAGAACCTTCAGAAAACGCCGAGGAGAAGCCGGAAACTAAACTCGATGAGGGGCAAGAGGAGCCCTCTAAGGATGAGAGCAAGGAAACCACAAAGGTCGAGGAATCCGACCAAGAACGAGAAGTCAATAGCGAAGAATCTACTACAGAAAAGGCAAATAACGCCAGCAAGCCACTAGACACAGAAACCACTGAAGATGTGTCTAAAAATTCTGCGAATGTGGACCAAGAACCAGAAACTCCGAAATCGGAATAACGATCAGAACTAATTTCCATTGAACCCTATAAATGCATAGTAGTTATTAATAAAACAAATTTCAGTTTTATTTAGAGTACTTTTGTAATATATATTCAGCGATTTCTATACATCGCCAGTATCTGCGGGTTTTCATCTGAGGCCATCGTTTTAAAGCAGTTTTTTGTTGAGACAAAAGCGATTTACGAATTATGCATTGCGTTTTCATGGCTTTAGTGCGCATTGTATTATCTTATATCGATTAGGTGCATCAAGTGTTGCATTTTCGAGTACAATAAATGCTTTCAAAATTTGACATCGAAGGCAATATAAAGTCAAGACTTTGATTATACCCTTGACAAAAAACCACTGCTCAAATTCTGCGCATAAACATTATTTTTTTCTTTCAGAAGCAAGTTTTTATTGTTTTCATTAATTTCTTTGAATCCAAAAAATCTTTTCTTCTAATTGCTGGTTTGTTTCTTTCTCTTTGTTTTCTTTGCATACATTTATCCGATCTTTCACTTTTCCACAAATAATTATTTATAAATATTTTTATATATAGGTATATTTTTGCCGTTGCTCTTAAATAAACAATTACAAATAGATTTGCAGCATTTTTCTACTATGTAAACCGTAAACGTAAATTATATTTTGAACTTAAAGCCAACTTAAACTTGTAAGCATTTTGAAAGGTTTTTGTTTTTGTTGAAGATCCTTTCGCGAAAAAGAACACAAAACAGGACTTGGGTATAGTGAATACGGTAAAAAGAAGCAAATTGTTATCGTAAAATATTCCTCAATTATTTTAAAAAGCCAGTTGAATATAATTCAAGTAATTTTCAATAACAAACTTCTCTTTGTGAGTATAAGTTTTCTAAGTTGTTGAAATACTTTCTTTCGCTTATATTTTCTACAGCGAATTTAGCTATTATTTTGCTTAGTTTGCAAACACTTAAACACATCAACGTCATTGAATTTATCGAGTGAGTGCGTGTGCTCGGATACATTTTGTGGATGGAAAAACGTTTCTGTGCCACTGGAACAAATAGCCGTCGAATGAATTGCGCTTTATCATCGTAAATACTTTCATTCTCATTGAATTCTACGACAAACTCAACTTTGGGTGCCTGTTTGCTGCTTAGCGAGCCTGTGTTTGGGTAAAAAGGAGGGACTCTACTTTAAACGATAATCGTAGGTAGGTATATTTTTAGGCATTAATGTATATGTACTTTGTATTGGTAGGTAGTTAGTTTAGATAGAAGGTCGTACATTTAAATAAATAATTCGTTTTCGCCAGTTTCATTCAGTTTTAAAATAGAATTATGTTCATTTTGCTTTCGGACGCTGACACAGAAAGCGTCTGGAAAATAAACTTCAGCGGAGGTGGCTGAGACTGTTTGTGTGTGTGGGAGTGGCGTGTGGGTATGTGATTTAATATATTAGCTTTATTTATGTTTAAATTGAGAAGTAAGCAGAACCCTTGACGAGTTTTCCTTTATTTTAACGACACTCCCAGACCTTAACTGTTTGATCTACGCTACCGCTAATAACGTACGGATGCGCTTTGTGAAAATCTGTAAGAATAAGCAAAGGGATTATCATATGTTCGGGGTAAAATGTTTTTTTGGAGACTTACCTATGGAGGTGCAGAAATGCTGATGCGCGTATAGCGTCTTCATGCATCGCTTGTTACGCAAGTCCCAGACCCTAATGGTCTTGTCATCGCTAGCCGACACCAGGTACTTGCCGCCCGGATGGAATGCCAGGCCACGCACCCAGTTGTCATGGCCACTCAGTGTAAGCAGGCACAGGCCGACGCTCACGTCCCAAATGCGAATGGTTTTGTCGCGAGAGCCGGAGGCCAGGAACGGGCCCTGGTGGTGGCCCTTCTTGTTGTCCGCTCCGGCTGCCTCGTTTATCGCCGAGGCAGCGGCTTCCGGCGCCCAGGCAATGCACTCTACGGTATGCTCATGATCGCGTAATTCAACCTGCAGGATAACGAAATCATCGTGAGACTCCATTGTCAGCTGAAGCTACACTATCGCAATGCTCACCTTGCAGTCTTTTGAATTCGTCAACCAAACACGTATTGTCTGATCATTTGAGCATGTGGCAAAGATGCTGCCTTCAATGTGCACTCGCACCATACGCACCCACTCTCTGTGGCCAGTGTAGGTTTTAACGCAGTAACTGGGGGAAGAAATCAACAGGTTATTCACCTTAACTTTATGCACGGGGTCCTTTTCTTAGCTTACCCTGTGGCCACCTCCCACATTTTGATGGTGCGGTCTCGCGATGCGGACAGTACGTAGTCTCCGGCGGGCACGAAGGCCACCGACGAGACATTGTGATCGTGACCATGCATGGTTTTGACACACTCGTAGCTCTGCTGGAAATCCCACAATTTGATGGACAAGTCCGCGCTGCAGGAAGCTTTAGGTAGAATACAATTAGTTGGGTGTAACAATATTTAAGGCATAACTAGGTCTTACCCAATAGCTTGCCCTGGGCATCGAATGCCACATCCTGCACCGAATCTGTGTGTCCCTTTAGACTGCGCTCGTACTCGCCAGTTTCGAAGTCCCAAATCCTAATAGTGGCATCTTCGGATGCGGAAACCATTAGACCAAAAATGGGATGAAATATTACCTGCATTGTCAATGAAGCATTTGTTAACGTTTTGATTTCAGAGATTTCTTATACCAACTTACCCTCGTTATGCTGGCCCGATGACCAGTCAGGGAGAATTTCTCTGGCGGCCGGGGTATCCACTCGCCGGGCGTCCGTTTGTTCTTTGTGGGCGCACCCTCGATGACCTCCTTTTCAGCTTCGGTCAGCTTAGCCTCTAGTTCCATCACTTTTTTCTGCAGCCGAATGACAGACGTCCACTTTTTCTCCAGGAGTCCACCAAACTTCTTCTCCGCTTCTGTGCTGAGATCGGCCTCCTTGCGGAAGGTCTCCAATGAGTCGGCATAGCCATTTGAGCCCAAATAATCGGCAATCGCTTGGTTACTGTTGAAGACGGATTACAGAGGTTAGTTTGTAGGTTCTAATTTAGGGTGTGTCGGACTTACAGCTCCTCGCGCTGCCGCTGCGACAACACCATTTTCATACTGTTTTCCGATTTGGCTTGTTTTGCTGCTCTCGTTCGATTGGGTTTACCGTCTTCGATTCGTTCAATTCTGCAATAGGAAAGGAAGAGAACATTAGGGGGAAAAGTTTTACTTCTCTTATTCGATCCATCATGTGTTATCATTTTCATTTTTTTTTTTTTTTCATAAATTTATTTATATATAAAGTTATTTTCTGGGTTTAATAAAGGCTAGCAATTTTGTATTAAAAGACACCAAATTTTATAAGTTTGTTATAATTTTATAATTTTGACCAAATTTAAAAAAGCGAGGCTTGACTGTATAATCATATGATGAATTGCTATGCTAGAGACAGGAAATTGGTTTCGCAAAAGTTAAATGCCAAAAATGCCAGCGAGTTTCGTTTCAATTCTCATGGAGGGCAAGTCACCCACATTTTCTTGGATTTTTTTTTGGCAACAGTATGTGTTTCTTATGCTCATCTTTCGTCTAGTCATTATATTGTTTTCTTCTCTTTTTTTAACCCCAAAGCGGAGCATCATCATTATCATCGTCTTTGGTTTCTGGCACACATTTTTGTGTTGCTGCTCGTACCTCGAATAATTGGACAGAAAATAATAATCGAAAAGCTGGTAAAGCTCAAAGCGAACAGCAAGTAGGTAACCCTGCAATCAAACTGCACTCGTCATCAATAAGTTCAAGGGTCGTTCGGCAATCGCAAAAATCTAAGCTTTTAAATGGAATTAGGCAAAACAGAACAGCAGTAGTTTTCAAAAAAAAATTAGTGTGTATGTGTATAATGTGTTGTTCTTTGGTATGCTAGACCTATTCAATCAACTCAAGGTGGACAAATCACAGGTATAGCACGCAATAAAACCGCAATCGAAAATAAAAGGCGAACGCATATCTGCCGTACTTGATAACGATGGACAACTGACGCGTTGCCAACTACCTGTACCACGGCAAGGCAAAGCCAATTAGCCGGACTTAACGGTAGTTCAAGCAACTTCTTATAGGTAAATAAGGCTGCGAAAGAGCGTGCGAGCGAAGAAGCAGAACAAACACAGACACTTGCGGTAGAAATAATAGCACATAGTATTTAATAGCAACGAAAAAACAAATTTAAACTATTTCCATAAAGACTTTTGATATTCCCCAAACAATACCATTAATATTTAATTTTTTGTATGCATTTAACACTAATAATGTATGTAAGTTTCTATAAGACCGAAAAGAATAACTACCACTACTAACCAAACATCGTATTTCAGCAAAACTGTCGAATTCAGAGATATAACTTTAACCCCGGTTTTAAAACACGCTCGCACACATCACGGACCAGGAAATGACGTTTTGAAGATATTTTTGGCCAAATGATATTTAACGATTATTCGAACTAGCAAAAATGGCAAAAAACAAACAAAACTGACCAAACGAGTTCGCAAGCCGAATCGGAGCCGCCACTCAATATAGCAGTGACTCATGGGTTGAGTGAGACTTGGTCTGTTCGGTCTTATCAGCTGTATGGAAGCACTCTGCGCTCATCATTTTAATATTGTAGGTGGATGTTTGGCTGCCGCTAACTGCGCATCTAAATATATCCCAGGGAAATCAATAAAAAGAGCTAGTAGCGTCACGGGTTAATAGTGGAAAAGTGGAGCGTGGGCAGCGAAGTGGGGTTAAGATGGGACCTCTTTAGCCAACCGAACGGCGGACAGAGTCAACAGTGTTTGTGTTGTGGCAACCAGGCATTCCTCAACACCAAGGCATGCGCACTTTAACCGTATCGCTGTGGGTGTGTGCCACATAGAAAAAAAACAATAAGAAGGGGGCGTTTGGGTCGCACGCTTCGCCAGAAATGTTACTAAATCAGTGAACAAAAAATTGCGATTCTCATTGTTGCACTTGCTCAAGCTAATTTAATATTTGAATTTTAAATGCTCTCGCGTGGGCGTGAGAGCGAGACAGTTGGCAAGGGGCAGAGACCAGGGCTGCACAACTCACATACACAACCACACGTCAAATAAGGATGCTCCCTCTCACTCCCCTTTTTTCTATAAGGCCGAGCGATTCTCTTTCTCCCGCTCTGGCAAACAGACCTTGCACTTGCCTTTGCTTTTATTGTTTATTTGCGTGTTTCATTGATTAACACACACACGAGCCAAGCGAATGCAACTATAACTGAATTTTCAAGAGCAAAGAGAGGAGGAAAAGAAAAACAATACCCCAAAAGCTTTGAACTCCAGCCTTAGCCACTGAGCGGGCTTAAACTAACAGTTAACTGATTTTAACCCACAGCTGGGAACGTGCAAAAAGCTTTTAGATAATAGAAACAATTTGCAGTGTCAGGAGCGCTTTCCACACATTCTGGGAAATCGCAACGGCTCTTGAATACCTAAAAGAATGCCGCAGCGAAAAAGCCCAAAACGGAAAAACTGTAAACGAGATTTCTTGTGCATTGGCAGAACTGGTTTGGGCTATTTCTCGCTGGCTAATAGGTGTTAGGCGGTTGGTCTATGGGGAAACGGGAAGTATGCAAGGAATCGGGCTGTTCGGGGACTTGACTTGACTAAAAATCGATCAATTCTGCTTTTGGCGAGGGGGAGGACGCCAACACATGCGCGAAATTCCACAGACATCGACACTCACACACGCACACACACCGACGCACGCGATGTGTCATCGTTTTCTGGTGGTTGTAAAAAAATGTAATCGTTGTTTGTTTCTCCACTTATTTTACTTTTTGTTCAACACACTAAATTGTGCATATTTGCATAACTCTTTCGCTTGTTTTTTCCTTCTCTTTTCAATAACAAACACAAAGCAAACACAATAACAACAACAGTTCGAACGAAAATACTGTTACGACGGCCATCTTGGATAGAGAGAGGGGGCCAAGAGAAAGAAGAGTGTCCCAAAAGGCAATATGCAAAATGGGGAAAGGACAAATATCCATTATGGTATGCACTATATCTCGAATTGGCCGATTTCAATTATTTTACTTGGTACATAACGCGCGCACTAACACTGTCATACATAGTGTCGTACATATGACATTTTTTTCTCATTTTTCCCAGTTGTCCATTACACACAACTCGCAGTTGCGAAAAATTTATTTTGCTTGGGGTTTTTTATCGCGACGTGTCGTTTGTTATTTGCTTTATGCGCCACGCATACTTACATCAATTTACTGTTTCATATATTTATAATTCGGATTATTTATCTATATTTAATCGAAATATACGAAAAGAATTACGCAGAAAAATGACAAGCGGACGAAAATGCTTCGGTTAATGTGACCGCAGCGCGTGATGCTGAAAAAGCATCATGGGACTATCGACCACAGCAAACTATCGATGTTTTGCTAAATTTCGATATTTTTCCGTTAAAAAATGTCGCTAACTACATTAAATAAAAACGTTAGGAAACATGAAATTTTTAATTTGTTTATGATTGACTTTCTTAATCCACAACGCACGTGTTGGGTATAACTGTAGGCGTAGCCCTGGAAATTGGCGCGCAATTTAAATACTTTTAACTTTAAGAGGTTATTCTGGGGTAGTTCCTGCAAGTTTAAAAAGAATAAACTGAGTAAGAGATTCGAGACCTCATGGGCAAATTAGTAGCTATAACCCAGACGTATTCGAAACAGATACTAAGTGATAATACTTTTATCATTTTGAAAATAACATATTTTTTTTTAAATGTATTTTATACTTCTGTTTATTATATTTTTGTTTATAACTTTTAGTTCCCTTGTCAACACTGCAGTTTGCTAATTGTAAGAAAACTGACTTTGTTATCTTACTCACACGCTCGCTATGGGAGTAAACTTTTCTTATCAGTGCTCATTCAACAGCAGAACAATTATTTCCCTTTCGCGCTCAGTGTTCGACTAACGCTCAGCGGAAACGGTTATAATTACTAATATTCGGGAGATACTCTCGTTCTTAAACGTAACCAAACATTCGCGGTCTCGCGCTCCCGTCAAAAAGCAACCAAAACAAAAAACCCACGATCTCTCACCTGTGAGTGCAGTGTTTCCAGCAATATCTCAACCTTTCATTGGCCAAATTGCCGAATAATGTAAATCAATTGCCAAATTTGAGCACTCGAGTGTTATCAGTGATCGATTTAATCAGCCATTTGTACGCATTACACCCGAGATATCGGTTAAAAAGTCGATTTGGGGCCCATAGATGATTCAGTTTTGCAGCGAGAAGATAATCCCGACTACCCCAGATCCTGCTGCCTTTATGGCGTTTAAGTTCTGAAAGCGAAAGCCATTTATGGCCCACCCATATGCTCGTTATCTGTGTGACTCTGATTATATGCCATTGATAAAGGCCGTATGTAGCCGTTAAATTGTTATTATTGGCTTATTTGGTGTTTTGGAAACCTCGGAGCGATGCGATTTGTTTAAACAAGCCAGCGCAGAACCTGGCAAATTGTCTCCATTCCTCACTTTCAGATAACGACATGCCATTAATAGGTATCGAGAGGTGTCATTTTATTTGCTTTAAAGAGCTGTCTTCGCCTGCTTCCGTCGCGGCGACAACTGAAATTAGTAATTAGTGCTGCCAATTTCGAGGTATTTCATTCGATTAGAGCCTCGGTGACGCACTCGCATATCGGCCGTAGTTTATATCTATTTATATTCCCAATCAATTTGACTGCGGCTGCGTGATGGGATTGCAAACAAAGCTTTGTTTAATTGCATTTCAATTCAACGATGTTCCCCGCGCCTCAGCCGTTAATTTTTGCGAGCATTATTGGGTTGTCCAACAAGCCAGATTACTATCAGTATCTATATCTGCAGGCCACTTCTCCAGCAGGTGAAGTGCCTTGATAAGGTTCTCCCGATCCGCGAAAATAGCGCCTGACATTGGTCGCGGGTTAAGAGTTTCACCACTCCGCCTTAAGATTCTTTAGGTATGCCCATGAATCCCCGACATTGTGTGAGCCCCCGACTTTCAGATAACTCCCTGAAGTACGTATCTCGACCTGTTTATTGTTTACATTTTTCAATTATTTGTGGAATGTCTGCAATTACCATAACCCGCTCGCAGGCTATAGTGATTCGAAAATGTACGAGATTTTATATTTATTTATTCCCTAATTTGTTGCGGTGGTCAGCAACTCGGAGATCAGAATCGCCGCTTCCCACAGCGCGAGATTTACGAAAGTTCGGCGGCCACAAATTGTTTACGAATCACCTTTCGTTTGCGCACGTACACTGAACTCTTATTTATTCGCTTGTAGCCGAATTAAAAGTGTATAAGCCAACTGATTTGCAATTGGCCGAGGTTAATGCTTTGTGGAAAATCCCAGAAGCAACCGGTTGCATTAGCTCCCCGGCGTTAAGTATTCATTTTTAATAATTAATAACGCATTACTCACTTCAACAGCAACTGAAGCAATGAGGCCCTAAGATGGACATTATAAACTGGAAGTCATCGTTAAAGGTTTACGGACTGATCCTCACCCTGTGGATCGCCTGGGTCCATGGACAATCCGATCTTCCCCCCATTGCAGTGAGTGAGAGTCAGGAGCAAGCCGACAGTAAGTTTAAGTGCTTTTCCCTTATAAACTCTTTATTGAGAAATATCAACTAAGAATCACAATATTAAATTGAGCTATCATATGTTTTTATGCTTATTTAACATCACTGTAATATAAAAAACATGAAAGTGATAAGATATGGATTCACTTGTGATGATAAAACCGCTTTTAATTTAGATTAAAAAAGCTTTCAGGCAATACATTGAATACATAGATTAGGAAAGATTTCTAGACAATAAATTGTTTATAAACTCATAATTTTTCGATTTTCAGAGGCGGAGGTGTCTGTTGTTTCTACGGCCTATACGCTTCGATTCAGCATTGCAGACGAGACGGATTATTCCATAGACGCCGTCACCTGTCGCAATGGATCCGGAACGGAGACCAAGGCCAACGAGGCTCACGTGTGGTATAAACAGAAAGAGCTAACTGGGGATTGTGATCGCTTTCTAATTTCATCCTCTTTGATTATAGCGAAAGTCTTAGTCCCTGCACTTTCTATACGTGCGTGGTTTCATTCCGGTCAAACTCTGAGAAACACCCACCTTCTGACCAAACGATTTATGCCTATACGGAGTATAAACGTGAGTTTAAACTACCTTAAAAAAGGGTTTAAGCAAAACTACAGATTACGATATTACTTTAAGCCATCTATTTAAAAATCATGATTCATAAGCTAAGTATGAATTTGCTTCCTTAAAATATGGTTGAAAGTGAAAGTCGAAAACAGCTTCATTTGAAATTCGAAACCCATTAAATCCCAACTTATGGATAACCCTTTTCCCTGCAGAGCCCCGGACCACATTGAACTCGGTGGTGGCCACTGCGAATACAATCAAGGTGACATGGCAGACGACCGACCGCGCCTGCGTGGAGTCCTTCAAGATCACGGCCAAGTGGGCGGACTCCTCGAAGAGCATTGAGCAGCTGAGCGACAAGAACACCTGTACGTTCGAGGAACTGAACGCCTGTCTGACGCACACGGTCACTTTGGACACGCGGAACAATGCCAGCGTGGTGGTGGACACGGATACCAGCATTGTGGACACCGAGTACTCGGAGCCTGGAGATCTCGCCATGAGCGTGACGAACCTCTCAAGTGGAATCACCATTGTGACATGGGGCGATCCCAGCGAGAAGAACTGCATCAGCAACTACCTCTTCAAGTGGCGGCGAGAAGAGTGCGGCAAGGATCAAAATCTGGACACCTCCACTGAAGAACCCAGCACCGTTACCACGACCGACATGGACTACATCACTGCCACCACAGTGGAGACCACCACTCCGGATCCACCCGACGATGATGGTTAGTTTGGGAGTGAGCTTAAGGCAATGTTGATAAACAAAGTGTATATCCCCCAGTTCAGTGCGAATGGAGCGCCGTCTCTGCCGATGGCAAACTCAGGGAATATCTATTAACCGATCTTCAAGGATGTGAGCCGTACACTTTCCAAGTATTCATCAACGATAACGACACGGCCAAGGCATCACAGCAATTCATATCGGCCGAAAAGAGTGGGTACCTCCTGAAAACTTAATACTAACTAACTTATTACCTATTACTATAACAATCACTCACCCCATTTTAATCTCCTCCAGTTTCCAGTGCTGTTTATGATCCCAGTCACACCGCGAAATCCACCCAGTTGAGATGGACTTGGTCGGATCCCCAAGACAATCCCAGATGTGTGGCCAACTACAGTGTAAAGCTGACGGGACCAACTCAAAGATCCGTTAACAAAACCATCGAGTTAGTGACCCAGGAGAGGTTTGCCGAGTTTGAGGACCTCGATCCTTGTGGGCTATACATAGTGGAGATAGTGCCCATACAGCTAAATGGAACCTCCGGTGGTCGGTTTCAGGAGGAGAGCACCGTCGGCGAGGATCGTAAGTAGAGGGACTTAAGTATCTTACCGATTGGTAATCAACACTCTTCTTTTAGAGCCCACGCAGATCCTGGAACCCGTGGTGGAGCCGAGCGCTTACTCCATTGAGGTGAGTTGGAAAACTCCGGACTACGCCGATCTCTGCATCGATGGTTACCGCCTATCCGGTTGGATGGAGGACGACAAACTGGTCGAGGTTGAGGCGCTCAGTACTAGTACCCAGAACACGACGGTCCTCTTTGACAAGAATCTACTGGCCTGTCAGGTGTACTTCATCCAGATCATCCCATATACCAGGGAAAGTCTCGACGGCGAGCTGAGGCGGATCGAAGTGGAGACGAGAGCAGCCATAGTAGATCACACTAAGGTGAACTTCTTTTCACACATCTAAGTATTCCCGAGCTGATTTAGGAGTTCTTCCCAATTAAGGTCAAGCTGGAAAGGAAGCAAGCCGGGTCCGAATTTCTGGAGTTAACCGCCTTCAATGCGGACTACAACAACACCTGTCCGACGATCTTTGCGCTCTTCAGCTGCAACACCACCTCCCAGGTGCGTAATCCGTATGCGGAGCGATATGTGGAGGGACATAGCAAGCAAGGTTGGTATGGGATCAAGCAGGAAGTTCCGGCATAATACTCCGATCCATTCTCAGGGTTCAATGCCAGCCTCTCTCCACTTTCCCCGTACACCACCTACTTCTGCAGTGTGGTACTGTACAACGTGGCCGGACCTTCGAACACGCTGACTGTGGCTGGCCTTCAAACGGCAACGTACTGTAAGTAGTGTCTTAGAAACATCCCGAAGATGTTTAGTTAGAACCAACTCTGATTTCTTGCAGTCCCTGAGGAGCCGGAGGCAGTGGAGCTGGACAAAAGCACCGCCAGCAGCCTGCTCTTCACCTGGCGTGAGCCCACCTACATGAACGGACCTATCAAGTACTACCAGGCCTTCCTGATGCGCCACGAGCCCAGTTACTTTGTGCCGGAGGGGTGTGCCGAGATCGCCAAGGACACCAAGTCGGAAACCAAGGGGGAACCTAATGTCAACTTCACGGGTCTGGCTCCAGCGATGAGATATATGATGCAGGTGGCTGCCCAGAACGATTTTGGAATGGGAAAGTATACTGCGCCCGTAATTGGGACTACCATGCCCACAGGTGAGTCAGAGATAACTATAACAACATATTGAATACTAATTCAGTAACGATTGGCTTCAATTTGATGACTAATATTAAGAATAAATTTATGTCAAGCTATAAATGTGTCTTTTAAATTGTTGCTAAAAAAAAATATTTACAGAAGGGGAAAGATTGGCCATTTCGAGTTCAAGTGTCCAGTTGGACTTTAATTAAATCAAAGACGCGCCGGCAAAAACAAATATACGTGAAATTCCATTAAGACTTGAAATTGAAAACTTAGTTTATATAAAATTCGTTTAAATAGATAAAATATGTGAGATAGCAATTATGGATAAAAGAAAGTTAATTACATAACAAGAAAGGAAAGCTAACTTCGGGCGGAGCCGAAGTTGATATACCCTTGCAGAATATTTTATAAATTATATTGTCCAAAATTATTCATATGATGTATTCTTAATACTCATAAAATGTCCCAACTTCCTAGCTTTAAAAACACCAAAGTTATGTCATTTCCAATCGTTCAGTTATATGGCAGCTATAAGATATAGTCGGCCGATCCTTATGAAATTTGGTAGGTCGGATTGATTAGCCAAAAATAAAACCCATAGAAAATCCCAACTTCCTAACTTTAAAAACACCAAAGTTATGGCTTTTCCGATCAATCAGTTATATGGCGGCTATAGGATATAGTCGTCCGATCCTTATGAAATTTGGTAGGTCGGATTGATTAGCCAAAAATAAAACCCATAGAAAATCCCAACTTCCTAACTTTAAAAACACCAAAGTTATGGCTTTTCCGATCGTTCAGTTATATGGCAGCTATATGATATAGTGGCCCGATCCGGCTCGTTCCGACTTATATACTACCTGCAATAGAAATACAACTTTTGGGAAAGTTTCAAGCAGATAGCTTTAAAACTGAGGGACTAGTTTGCGTAGAAACGGACGGACAGACGGACAGACGGACAGACGGACGGACAGACGGACGGACAGACGGACATGGCTAGATCGACTCTCCTGGTGATGCTGATCAAGAATATATATACTTTATAGGGTCGGAAATGTCTCCTTCACTGCGTTGCAAACTTTTGACTGAAATTATAATACCCTCTGCAAGGGTATAAAAACTACCCATCTTAATACAGCATTCGTTTAAAGTTAAAAGCCCCTTGACCTCTGCATACGATCTCGAAAAGTAATTCAATATAGTGAATGTATATTGATACCTCAATTTTGTATGGTTCCAGTTTCCGACAATGTGACCGAGCTGACCGTAACGCCACAGGGTCCGGACAACAACATCAACCAGTATGCGGCCAACGTGACGGTCACCTGGAAGGTGCCCTGCCAGTCGAACGGCGACATCGAGTATTTCCGGCTGAACTTTAGAGGCGAGCGGACTGGCTTCACGCCCGAGGTCTTGAACCGCACGGTGAAGATGGACCCGGAGAACAAGCAGGGACGGATGTCCTACACGGAGACGGAAATGCAGCCCGAGTATAACTATACAGTGGAGGTGGCCGTCAAGAATCGCGATGTGAGTCAGCTCAGCGGTGGTGTGGCGGGTGCTTGGCGATCTCCAGCGGGATGTAAGTACCTCAACTCGAGAATAAGGACGATGATCTCTACCCTTTATTCCTTTTTCAGTGCCCACCGCTCCGAGTCAAGAATTGATTAAGCAAATGCGCGCCAATGTCGACGAGACGAACCAACCAACAAAAACCGCAGTGGTGCGACTTCCGGCGGAGATCTTGACTTCCGAATCGGGGGACATAACATACATGGCGCTGCTGCTCTCGCAGAAGAACTGTGCCGGAGTTCCGCCTCTACGACACGACGTGGACACCTTGTGGCCCGAAGTGCTGTCCTACCAGAAGGCAGGAGCCGACGGCACCGGGGACTGTAGCCTGCAGTACCAGACCACGGAGAAGAGGTGGCGACCTACGCCCGTCCCTCGTCAGCGAAGTAGCGTGGACTTGGACACGTCCGAGGAAATAGTGTTCACCATCGGCGTGGACAAGTGCTCGGAGACCCTGAAGGAGTATTGCAATGGACCACTGCTGCCCGACACGGACTACAACGTGGTGGTGCGACTGTTCACCTCCTCGGGTTACAGCGACGCCGCTGTCCTGAACTTCAAAACGAAGGCGGCCATCAAGGTGACCCTGATCCTGGTGAGCGTTTGCAGTTGTCTGTTCTTGGCCTTCGTCATTGGACTGGTGGTTCTGTGGGTGCGAAAGCGGTTGGCCTGGTAGGTCTTTGTCTGGTTCTCAAACTGGTTTCCCAACTAACTACTGCCTTTCCCGCAGGAAACGCGACTCCGGTCAGGGCATCGAGGATCCCTTCGGCAATGTGATTGCCAAGAACTTTGCCATCTTTTATGCGGAGGTTGCCAAGCCGGAGAAACTTACGCGGGAGTTCAAGGAGATCACCGTGGAGGCCCTGTTGAGCTATTCTGCTTCGGAGTTGGGTTGCCACAAGAATCGCTATGCGGACATATATCCTTGTGAGTATACATGTGAATTACTAAAACCACTGAACCTATCTATATCACTTCCCTGCTCTAAAGACGACAAGAATCGTGTAATCCTGGACATAGATGCAGAGGGATCGGACTATATCAACGCATCCTTTATAGACGTAAGTTGAAGTGCGCGGTTCAGATAGATTTCCCTCTTAAATCTCCGCTTTCCACAGGGGCACACGCATAGGAAGGAGTACATAGCTACCCAAGGACCGAAACCGGAGAGCGTGATGGACTTCTGGCGCATGATCCTTCAGTACAACGTGCGGGTTATTGTTCAGGTCACCCAGTTCCGCGAGGGCAATACGGTGAGGATAGGCGTTGATCTCTTTAGACTTACCTAAATCCAAGTTCTTCTTTAGATCAAGTGTCATGAGTATTTTCCCTACGCCATGCGGGGACTGACAGTGACCGTCAAGTCCAAGGAGAGCTTCGATCTTTACGATCGCACCGAATTGACGGTGGTGCACGACAAGTACGGCCTGAAGGAGAAGGTGGTGCATTTCTACTTCAAGAAGTGGCCCGATCACGGCTGTCCCGAGGACCCGATGCACTTGATCACCCTGGTGAAAAAGGTGAAGAGTGAACGCCGACCCAGTTACTCGCCCATCGTCGTTCATTGCAGTGCAGGAGTGGGCAGGACGGGCACGTTTATAGGTCTGGATCTGATCATGCAGCGCCTGAAGAGCGAGTCGAAAATAAACATTTTCGAGACGGTCAAGAAGCTACGCTTTCAGGTGGGTTATTTAGTAATTCAATTGGTACTTCGATCCTAACCCATCATTGATATTCACAAACAGCGTATGAAGATGGTCCAGACGCAGCAACAATACACGTTCCTGTACGCCTGCACCTATGAGCTGGTGAAGCACAAGATTCCCAGAGCCGCCTTGAAATTGGAGGGACGACCGAAGTCCGTTTCCACGCCGGTCATTTCCGCTCCCAAGAAGGTGAGCTTCCCGGACGTGGATGTCGGCAGTGGTGATTCTGCTGTGGCGTCTTCTCCTATGTCGGATCTGGAAAACGGTGTGCCCATCCTGCAGCTGCCCCCTCGGCTTAACGGGCTGCGGAGAATTGGACCTGCAGGTGATATCGATGGACCATCCACGAGCAGCAACATGTGACAACGGCTGTGTATTTATAGCATTTGTATTATACGAACGGAACTAAGCAGCAATAATAGCCAAAGAAAAATGTGTCTAAAGCGTAAAGCGACTAAAGTACAGTTAAAATTGGAAGTTGTATTTAAAACACCTGTTTTTAATACATATATTTTATTTATAAAGAAGTGCATGGTATCACCGTAAAAACGGTTTTATGATGTTGTCGTTGGGTAATGGGTTGCTATTAATATGTTACGGATTTAAGCATTATAAAGAGACATAACATGAGAATATGTGTTAAGCCCATTTATTTATTCAGAAAAAAATAATGATTTAAATTTTACATATACATTCGAATTTTGAATTCAAATTTAGCAGTTAATTTGAACCGTGTTACCCGTTAGAGCGAGACAACTATACTATGGCAAAAATTATACACTTTACAGCACAGTTATATTTAAAACTTTTGCAGCACTGTTTTAATAAATACATTTATTTATTTTGGTAAAAACAACTTTACGCCTGCAAAATGTCCGAGCGCAAGGTTTTAAACGTAAGTAATCATTGATAATTAAGTGAGCCCTAAGCGCACTAATGTACCGCTTTCCTTGCAGAAATACTACCCCCCGGACTTCGATCCGTCGAAGATCCCGCGGATGAAACTGGCCAAAAACCGGCAGTACACCGTGCGATTGATGGCTCCATTCAACATGCGCTGCAAAACATGCGGCGAGTACATCTACAAGGGCAAGAAGTTCAACGCCCGCAAGGAGGACGTGGAGAACGAGACCTATCTGGGCATCAGGATCTACCGGTTCTACATCAAGTGCACGCGATGCCTGCAGGAGATCTCTTTTAAGACGGATCCGCAGAACACGGACTACGAGATCGAGGCTGGGGCCACGCGCAACTTCATGGCCCTGAAGCTGGCCGAGGAGCAGGCGCGTCGCGAGGAACAGGAGCTGCGCGAGGAGGAGGCCAACAATCCTATGAAGCTGCTCGAGAACCGCACCCAGCAGTCGCGCAACGAGATCGAGATGTTAGAGAGCCTGGAGGAGTTGCGCGACCTGAACCGGCGACAGCAGACAGTGGACTACACTACGTTGTTGCAGCAGTACAACACAGTGGAGACGGAGAGGGAACGAATGGAACGAGAGGAGCGCGAGGACGAGGACTTTATCAAGTGGGTGCTCCGCAAAACCATCATTATCAAGTCTTTCCATTTAATACATTAATTTCTTCTAGATCCGTGAACTTCAAGAACAAATCCGAAGGAGGCTCTCGCGTTGTGGCCGAGGAAATCATTGAGGAGGTTAAGGAGGAGCCGGTGGATCTACTGCCAGCTCCACCACCAGCCAAACAGGCCAAGTCCAGCACGCTGAGTGTCTCCGCCCCTTCATCCAGCAAAGTCTCTGCTTCGCAGCCCCTGGTTAAACGGAAGACACCCTTGGTACTGGTTAAACCAAAGGCAGCCGCAGTAGCGACTCCAATCGAACCCAAGCCAGCAGCCAGCTCTACCTCAGCACCATCTGTTCCAGCGGAAACTAAAGCTGCAAATCCCGCACCAGCTGGACTTTCTCTGTTGGCTGCTTATAGCGACAGCTCAGAGGATTCCAACTGACAAGCATTTACCTGACGCAATTTCAAGCCAATACAAATTAAAAGAATACAAATCAAGAACTTAAATGATTGTTTTCAATGGGAAGACCATAATGAGGATTTAAGCAATTGAAAATAGGTCTGATTAAAAAATCAAACAGATTATAAATTAACCACTTTTAATATAAACTACAAATCCCATATATATATTGGAATAATGCATAATTTTATTAAATATTTTGACTTTCTCTTATAATGTTTCCGTTCATACTTTGTCAAGGCCAATCATAAGGCAAACTAATTTCAAATTCAACCGAAAAGTTAAATAAAAGCAAAAAATAACTGCAAAATATCCATTAAAGATACGCTCCCACTCGTTTGGAGCTGTTGTCATAGCCGATTTTCTGGCAACCATTTGATCATCGAGTGTGCTTCGACTTACAAAACTAGGTACGAACTACAATTAAACCCTAGGTGATATATACAGGGGTGAATATGTTACGCCTAAAACTCGGGCAATCAAAATAATAAATAATATCACAAGCGAAAGAAAATTATAAATATATGATAGGGATTATCAAATGTTAGGTGTTACAAGTTACGAGTTACACAAAATCGATTCTAACGATTAATTTCATAAATTACGAAGACACTGGTATGTTTCTCTAGCTGTCCTATTTCCTTAGCAAAGGCATCGATAAGGCCGCCTGCACTGCGGTCGTGGCCAGTCAAAAAGTCTGGGCCACCGTCTACAAATTATAATTACGATTTAAACAGTCTTTGTTCGTTTTGGGGGCGGGTTGCGGTTGGGGCTACGGGGCAGCCGCCAGTTTTTGGTATTTGATCCTGATCATCATTTGGTTTAGCTGCCATTCAAATGTCCGCTATGGTGAAATTTTGGATGGAGTTGTAGTTGCTGCCGCTGGCTCCGGCGCTGCACTTGCGTGGCAGCACCTTGGGTACCGCTCCGTCCACCCCGCCAACATCGCCACACCCACCCCCGCCACCGTCGTAGTTGTGATTGTTGTTCTGCAGGAAGTGCTGCTGCTCGGCCGCAGCATGATTCAGCTCGTACAGCTCCATGTCGTCGTACTGGGAGATGCCGAAAGCCCTGGTGGGCGCGTACTGCAGGTCGTTGACGTCATCCTCTTCCTCCTCCTCGTCGTCCGTGTGATGCTTGTGCCTGGGCATGGCCACCACAAAGTCCTCCAGGCTGCGCTTGACGGCCGCATCTGAGCCGGTGCCCGAGTCCTTGCTGGACAGATGATCCTGCTGAGCCTCCAAGTCGGTCTGTTGCAGGTAACTAAGGGTTAGACCCTGCTCCAGGCACCGCTGTTCGTAGGACGGGGTCGTAGTCACGATGAGGCGACTGTGGGTCACCTCGCCATTGCCACAACCCAGATCGGCTAGACTGCGCGGCCTCAGCTGCGTCTGCTGCTGCTGGGTGGGAACACCATCGAGGACTAACTGCGACTGGTGCGGCCTCAGTTGCGTGCGATTCAGGGTGGTGAGCTGCGTCTGATCCTTGTCCAGCGTGGAATGCAGACTGGCCTGAGTGCGAGCCGCCAACCTATCGGCAGCCAGACTCATGCGCAGCTTCCTCTTCTGGTAGCGCAAAGTGCACCAAATGATGCAGCAGTCCACCACGACGCAGATGACGGTTAGCATAATTATACCCATCAGCAGTACATCCCAATTGAGATTCTCCTTGACTACGACCAACTCCGACTGCAGTGTAAAGGTGCGCGAATTATCCGTTATCTCGCAGCGGAAGTGTCCGGCATCGGTGGACTGGGCATTGAGGATCACCAACAACTCCTTGTTATTTGAGAAATAGTAGCGATCTCCATCCGGGGCCGTTGGCGAGATGTGTATAGGCTTGTTCTCCTTAAACCACTCGCGGTGTGAATGCTCTAGCTCAAAGTCTGCATTCGCTGTTTCACTGAGACACTGCAGCACGCAGGTGCGACCCACAACCACCTCCTGGTGCACCAAGGGAATGCTGGGCTGAGGTTTGTCTGCGTATTAGAAAGGAGAAACATTAGTAAAAGTCTAAACAAAAAGTTAGCAATAACTCACCATTCACCACGAGCGTGGCATTGACCTTTATCTCGCCCGCAGCACTCACTGCTGTGCACGTGTATATGCCAGAGTCTATGGGCTTGGCGTTGGTTATCAGGAAGGCATTTTCCTCGCGTATTACCTGCAGCCGGCGCTCGGTGGCTGCTGGGAATTCACTGCCGCCGAACTTTTGCAGCGCAATCTCTGGAGTGGGGTCTCCACTGGCCGAGCACACTAACCGAGCCGTTTCCCCGGCGTCCAGTGTCAGATTGGAGGGCACTTGCCGGAAGGTTGGATGAACTGGGCGTACAAATAAAAAGATTAGTATAAATAGATTTCAGAGTAGTAAAGTGATCTTACTTCCTATGGATATCTTAAACTTCTCCGCATAAGTGGTTCCAAAGGCATTCGATACCACGCACTGATAGCGTCCAGCGCTTTCGTATGTTACATTTGTTAGCTTCAGGTAGCCGTAGATGGAGGTCTGATTGGTGCCCGGGTCGTGATGGATCTGCGTCTCCGTGCTGGAACCATCGTGAAGTGCTAAGGCGCGCTCCTGGACATGCTGATTGTCGTGGCGCCACTTGATCTTCAGCTCATCGGCGGCGGCCAGGGAAGCCGCTGTCGGAGAACTGGCTATGCACTGCAGAGTGATGTTGGCTCCATTCACGGCCAGCATGTTGTCTGGCTCCTGTTCCAGCCTCGGCTTCGGCGAGTCCACTGAAATAAAGAAAATTAGGATTAACTAATCCAAGCATCACTTAAATAAACTTACCGCAAACCAACTCCGAACCAGTTAGGGACTTCAAATGACGATCTAATAGATGATCCGGATAGCCACAGACCGCATGTTCTGCCTGATGGGGAAATCGATTCTTGAGCCACTGCTGGAACCAGATCAGATCGCAGTCGCATATGAAGTTCAACGATTTGAAAACCAACTTATTCAGTCGGAGCATGTGCTCAAAGGCATTAAGCTGGATGCTGGCCAGGGCATTTGATCCCAGATTGAGTATTTCCAGGTTGTTTAGGCCACTCATCGCCTTGCTGCTTATCTGCTTTAGATTATTGCCATGCAAATCTAGGCGTCGCAGCTTGCGAAGAGCTTTAAATGGAGCCGCCGCACTCTGGTCCTCGATAATCCAGGACAAGCGATTGCGACGCAAATTCAACTCCTCCAGATTCTTCACACAGTCAAAGGTGTTCTCCTGCAGATATTGCAGTCGGTTGTGGGCCAGGTTGAGCGTTTTCAGGCGATGCAGACAGTCCAAGTGCTGGGGTTTAAACTCGGTAATGACGTTGTTCGAGAGGTCCAACATCTCCAGCGACTGTGTGAACTCCCAGGTGTCCAACTCAATGCGCGATATGGCATTAACCGACAGGTTAAGGTGGCGCAACTTGGTCAGGTTAAAGAGACCCTGTCGGGAAAGCGAACTGATCTGGTTCATGGCCAGATCAATGGTCTCGATGTTATGCATCACATGGAAAACGCCGTCCTGCAGCGCTCGGATTTTATTTGACTTCAGTTGAAGATTTTTCATCGAAATAAGACCACGAAACGTGGACCAGTTGATCTCCAGTTGGTTGAAGTTCAGAGCTCTGCAAAACGGAATAGTGGCATTATTAATATAAATATTAAATGGGATCTCTGTGCTTATTACAACTTACAGCTTCTTCAGTCTGTTTAAATTCTGAAACACCCCCAAGGGCAGAGAGCTGAGGCGATTATTGTTCAGTTCCAGGTCTGTGAGGTTATTCAAAGCCGCAAACGAGTGCTCATTCACATTGGCTATCTCATTGAAGCTGAGTATTCTATGGATACAAGTCAAATGCATTAGATAATTGCTTGGATTAAAGAATTGTCCAACAACTTACAAATGAACTAGACTATTGGGCTTCGGAAAAGAGTTAACCTCGATGGTGTGTAGCTGATTCCGGGACAGATCCAACGTTCTTAGCAAAGGCAGCGCTGCCAGAGCTTCGTTGGAGATGCTGGTAATATGATTGTTGGCCAATACCAAGTGTTTAAGACTACTGAGACCAGTGAATTTGGGTATCACTTCCAATAAATTCCGCTTTAAAGACCTAAAGTAAATATAAATTCAATTAATTAAAAAGTATTATTATAGTAAACCCAAGCACCACTTACACTTTTGTTAGATTGGACAGATTGCGAATCTCCAGGACGGTTGTGTCATTCAGTTTGTTGTTAGCCAAATGCCTGTGGAATAGATAGAAACGAATTGATTACATTTTAAAAATCGTTGGCTTGTCGAATGCACCTCAATTATGTCACAATTATTGATGAAAAACTACTGATAGCAAGCGAACTGCGTTTGCATAATTTAGCCATGCATTAAATTGATTAAAAGCGGGACGATAAAATCGCAACCCCCCGAAAATAAAGGAAAAATTGAGGGCAAATGTCGATGTTGAGGGTTGTGCCACTCTGCAATTTCTATTCGCAGTCTATCTGAGGGGGTGGCTTGCCATTTCATCCCCCAGGATTATATAGATTTAAATATTCCCAAACGTTGCAAACTCCACCATTAGCCTTTTTTTTTGTTGGATATGAATATTTGCGGAACATAATCACTGTATAGAAAAAACTATTCTTAAGTTGTTTACTCAAGATTTGGAATAAAAAACACTTATGTGGACAACAAGATAAAATGTTATAATTAATCTTAAAAAATTGACAAAATGGACAACGTTAAAGTTTATGGAAAAGCAAAACAGTGCCTATTCAAAAAAACATTGATTTGTGCAGTTTTATACTGTCTGGCTTAAAAATTTTCACAGATTTTAGATGTCTCCCTGGATTATGATCCATGTCCTTAAGAACATGTTTTTATTTAATACTTAAGGACTTCATCAAGTCATGGTTCATCTTCCCATTATATACTTACAGAGTTTGCACGTAGCTGGGCAAGACGGGCACCCGTTCCAGATGCAGTTTGTCGCAGTCGAAGAGGACATTAAGGCACTTGCAGTCCTTGGGGCAGTCGATGTTGTACCTATTATTAGCTTTTGCAGACGCGGCAGCTGCCTCCAGTGCTTTTTGGGCCTGCTCGTACTGCCCGCCATCGTCGGCCACGAATCCATTCGTCTCCAGCGATGCCGATTGGATGGCAAAAGAGGACGAGGATATCTGAGCTGGGGCCGGGGGATGTGAGGCGGCCAGTGGGTAGTGGAGTGCAGCCATGTCCTCTTCGTCCACGTCGGCATCCGAGTCGTCCTCGTTGAGGGCCATAAAGTGCTGCCTTGCGTTGGTATAGCCCCGGTTTCCTCCGCCCGATCCCGAGCCCGATCCTCCCGACGAAGCTCCGTTCCTGGTCAGCATGGCAAAGAGTTGCTGCTGCGGCAACTGTTGATTGTAGGAGGCGCCGCCGGATTTGAGGAAGGCACTCAGGGGGGATCCCCCCGTGGATCCGGATCCTCCTCCATTTCCATTCGATGATGACGGCGACTGGGCGGCGCTTTGACAAATTGTGGCCGCTGTTATCAGCAGCATGTACGTAATTAGCAGCAATTTATTGATTTTATTGAAATCATCGGTTGTAGTATAATTGCAATTATCATTATTATTGTTGCGTCGCCGACGTCGTCGCCATGACATTAAAAATTTGCCATTGCCATCGCTCGTTAGTTCGCAGCTCCTACTTGTTTTCATGTTGCATATTCGATGATTACTGGCGACTAAGGCGATATCATCATTCGCCTCCCCCATTTTTGAGCCGACTTTTATGGCCGAAACGTGCATTTTGCGGCTTTTGTTAAATTCGTTGATTTCCAAGAGGCATTAAGAAAGTGCCGTTTATTTCCTGCGAATGTCACTCGGCGTCCGCCAGTGTTGGAAAGCTTCTTCCGCCAACCGGGAGCTCTGCGATCCCGAGCATGATGCCTGCAAAAAGGGAGATCAATCAAAACGATCAGATTTGAGTTAAGGTTGCTTTCCACAGAGGAAATAAGGAGAAGGCGTTATTTAATATTTTACAACAACATAAATATAATTAAATAATTGCCTATACCTTAAATTAAGGAGAGAAGAGTTGTCTAAGTATGTATGTATGTTATTTAATATTGGGTTTTAAATGGCTCGTAGAATGTTTAGAGAATATTAAAATTAGAAAGTAAACTTAGACCAATGATTAAAATCACTGAATTAAATCATCTGAAAAGTTGACAAAATTGTTAATTGCTAAACTTTTATTGTTTTCAAGCTCCGAAATCAAGTAAAAAAAAGGTAAAAGCGGATTTCAAAAATAGTAAGAGTATCTTCCTTCGAAAATTGAGATACATTTAATAATCCATTTAATGTAAAGAAAGTCCTTTTCCCAAAAACTGTTGTACTAAATATTATTTTTGAAAAATGTTGGATCAATTAAACTGAAAATGTAATTTAAAAATCAACCAAATTATAATTAAGAAGCTCTTAAAAATCATTTTAATAGCTGTCAACATAAAGAAACCCCTCAGAACTTTTAGTGTTAGTTGCGTTCCACAACGTTTGAGCTCAAATGTATATAAATTTGCATGCTTTATAAATATAAATAATAATTGTGCAGAAAGTGCCAGTGTCTCTGGCCGAGCAGAGAATATATACTCATTAAATTAAAATACGACCGGATGTTTTGTGCGAAAAAAACGCGCAGAGCCAACGATTTTATAATGCAAACAAAACAAAATAAAACGAGCGCTTTGCTGGCTGCGAAAACAGCAAAACATCATCATCATCACCGTGGCGACGACGACTGGGGGACTGCGGGGCCCCAGGAGGCATTCAGAATTCAGAAATCAGACGTAATGTCTTCATCTTGCTCCAGAATTGTGCAGCGTGTGCAGCTTTTATTTCGAATAAATGTAGAGGGCGTTGGGTGAGTCCAAAGCTCGCTAAATTCGGTGACAGTACGGCGGGGAGATAAAGAATGGACGGATGCTGCGCAGTTTGCGAGCTCTAGGCACTAGGCACTATCACCTTTTCGGTGCCCGGACACTGAATGCTGGAGCACTTTCCCACCAACGGGCCATAGAGACACCCACAAAAAAGGGCAGCTGGCAACGAATTAAAGAAAATACTCGGCAATTACCGCAGCTCAGCAGACTTGGCATACAATACCATACCATATAGTATATGCTACGTACATATATAGACAGGCTACTAAAAATGGTCTGGCACAAACACAGGCACACACGCGTAAAAATGCCCAGACAACCAAATTTAGTAACACGCAAACGGAGGCAACAAAAACCGAAGCGTAATGAAATCAAATAAAAAGAGCAACGGCAACCGCTTACTTTGGTCTCAAGATTTTCTTCAAAGAGTTTTCTCCACATTTCTCACAGCTCCATGTCTGCTACACTCGCTTTGTCTATATATAGTAGGCTACTCGTTGGCCAGGGAAAAACTCAAGTGTCCGAAGTGAAGAGGCTTTGATTAGTTTCAGTCGAAGACGAAGACGAAGACGCAGACTTGGCCCCAATTTGGAACGAAGGCTCGTATCTGCCTATCTGTATCTGAAGATTGTCGCACGTTTTCCCGTTCTACATTTATTGTTTTTTACAGCCCTCTGCAATTATCTAATCAATAGGTTTGCACTGTCTTCGATCGCGGTATCTACAGAGGGAAATGTTTATATTTGTTGATATTTGTTCAGATCGTTTGGGGTAAATATTGGACTGGGCAAGTGCCTGGCCCAGAGAAATTGCTTCGATTGTGGTGGTAAAAACTTGAACTAATCAAAGGGTTTACCTTTGGATTCATAAAATCTTCGCAAGCAGGAAATTGGTCATTTAAAACGGATAAGTTGCTGTAGGTAAATATTAATTCAGGAAGTTTACTTTGAACAAATATTTCTCTAGTTCTTAGCATCTATATTAAGATTGTCCTTAATAATAAATCTTTGGTCAACTACTATTTAATTTAGTGTCAAATCACTAATAAAATCATTATTGGAAAAGTTCAATTAAGGGATTACCAACTAAGATAAAGTTTATTGTTTCAAAAAAGAATTCGGACCTTAAGTAATTTTGATAAATTTGACCCCTCTTAAGCTCTGCAAATTTGGGAAAGCAAGCGGGTGTAAGGCTATCGATCATCATCCCAACAATACGAACGATTTCGCACCTATCGATCAGCACTTTGATGAAGCCCGAACATCCTAAGCATGATGCGGGCCATTAAATCATTATCTGGGGGCTATCTTCCGATCTTGTGGCTCAATTTTCACACACCAATCAGCAGAGAGCGCTAATTTCCTCTGCCCACCGATGTGCCACCATTTTGAATCGATTTGCATGCATAATCAGCGGCTAATTCGCATATTGATAAGCCCGGGTTCTGTTTACACCGAAAAAGGTTAAAGCCGGGGATTTGAGGGAAAAACCCACGCCGCCTGAAACCATCTCTCGAGGGCTTTCACTCTGAACTCATTTTCGGACAGCTTACAGACAACCAAAAAATTTACGACCAAATGCAGATTTCGTTGCCTGTTTTTTGTTTAATTTTTCAGTGTTCAGTCGGTTTTTTCTTTTTTTTTTTTGTCGGTCATCCGTTGTCAACTCCCTCACAATTTATTAGATAACGCTCGGCCCCGGGTATTGTCTTCTTATAAAAACGACAAAATGTCGACGTTGTCGCCTGTCCGTTGGCGATGATGATATGATAATACACCCATTGATATGTGTATACAATGGTCCCAGTTCCAGCCACACATATGTTTATGCTACACGCATATACATATCCCCGTATAGTCATGATCAACGTGTGTATCTTCTGATGATCATTAAGAACGACATCGACAATCAGTTTTCGTTGTTTATATAATTATCGTATCTGTGCATTCGGGTATACATACCTATTCCTACTTCTTTATTAGCATTTTACTTCACTAAATGCCGTGCCTGCATTTTTATTTGACTTAGTTTTTAGTGGCTTTTGTCTCAGACGTCGATTTGTATTTGATTTTAACATTTAAATTGGTAATTTTGTACAGACTTTTTCACTCGACTTGTTGTTGTCGCCCACAGCTTTTTGTCATGGCTTTTTTGCTTTTCTTTTTGCTTTACGAAAGCGTTTTGGTTCGCCCAAATGGTTTGTCTGTCTTGTATTTTGTTTTTCGATTTATCTTGTTTATTACCTTTGCCAAACGAATAAAAATATACCATACACAATATTATTGTGAATAAGCTGACTGTTGCATTTGTTCAAGTGTTTTTTCTTCTCGCTGTCGTTGGCGGGTATATAAAAAAAGCCAGGCAAGAAAAAACAGAGTCAAAAAGCAAAAACAACTAAAGCTCCGCCAGTGGGCGGTCGGAAAATTTAGGTGAAAAATGGGGGTGGGGGTGGAGGTGGCGGTGTGGCAAGCAGTGGGTGGGGTGGGGTGAAGTGGGGTCGTCGAGCAGCTGCAACTCAGGCGATGCGATGCTGCCAAAACCCAAGGCACCGTGGAATAAGTGTGCTCATTTTTGATCAATTATGTTAAAGCTATTAAAACTGGAACTGTTATATTTCAATTTTATAAAAAAAATTCTTGGCAAGCGTGAACTGGTTTTGTCTTAAAAGATAGAAAGCTTAATCCTTTTATTTAAAACAAACAAATATGTGAAACTTATGAAAAGTGTGAAGATTTAAAATATTTGTTTATACACCCTTTGTAATTTTTAATACCTATCTTTAAATCAAGAAGGACCTCAACATTGAATCATAACATAAGACTTTTATTTATGACAGATCTTTCGTAGCTAGCAACTATAAGCCAAAGTGGTGTTTTGCATGAATTGACTCAGTTAACTTTTGAATTTAATGTTTTAAAAGTACATTACTTCTTTGTCCCACTGTAACAGCTCGAAAGACAAAGCCAAATGCAGAAGCAAGAGGAGGACAAAACGTTTGAAGCTGCGCTTTGTCGCGTGTTTATTTGTGGTCTTTGTATTTGTATCTTTTCTGCTAAGTTTTCTCTGCCGACGTCTCTGTTGCTGCGCTGTCACTGTGGTGATGTGTGCAATGATGTGCGTGGGCAGAGAACGGAAATCGCGTGCAGTCGACGCCAACGTCGCTGCCTCACATTGTCGTAATGTGTTACGTCAAAGCGACCGCACACCACTATAGATTTGTGTATATATGCATGTACCACATTAAAGGTAAAAACGTCGCGCTGTCTGCGGCAACTAATTAGGTAACGTGCCAGCAGCCAACTAGAAACAAGAACAACAACTAGAACCCACGATAAGAGGCAGCGCTGTTGGCAGCGCAGTCACCGCAACGCAAATAGCAACATAAATTTTGCACACACACAGAGAAACAAGCGCGAGCTCGAATAAAAATCCAATAAGAAACAAAATTGCCAGGCTGTCTGGCAGCCCAGGTCCGTTGTTGTTGCTGTAGCTGTTGTTTTTGCCACTCTTCTGTTTTTTTATTTCTTTTTTTTCGTAAATATAAATTTAATTTTGTAGCCATTAATTTTCCACTCTAGATACGAGAGACGTCGTTCTATACCCGCATGTATACGTATTATTCAGCCTCTCAGCCTGGGCCCGCTAATTAAATAACTAAAAAAAAATATATAGTTTATAATTGCGCGCTTTTTGTTCATTTTACAGGCCAACTTTTGCTGTTAATCCAACCAAAAAAAGCCGAGTTTCCTGTTAACTCGAGCGAAATTCAGTAGTCACTTGAACATCTTTTCCAGCGGAAAAACAATCTTCAATTTAAAATAATTAAAGAACACTTTTTATTAAAAGTATGAAAGTTTTAACTGTAGAAATGACATATTGCATGTCCTAATTTATGACCTTATTAATTCCTATTTTAAATGTATTATTAATGTTTTATAAAGTCTAAAAATTGTATTTTTAACCTTTTTAAAATGGGAAAACAATTGTGTTGCAGTAACAAAGATTTCACTAGAGTCTTTTGCCGGCTAATAACGCTTTACTGGGCTCAAGATATTGACAGATAGACAAAGAACTCACTTTATAAGTTTGTTGACTCGTGTATTTACTCATTTCACATTTTCAAGTTCAATTTTGCGCAATTAGTAAACATTTATTGTTATTATTATTATTTTCTTCTTGCTTCGGTAGGTTTCTGTATATATATAGTATACATTCAAGTGCGTCGATGTATGTGTGTATAATAAATTAACGTCTTTTTTATCGCTTCAATGATAAACCGTTTTGCTTGATTGGTCTAAGGCACATAAATGCAGAATAAATAAAGCACAACAAATGCTTACGGTGTTGTTGCACCTTGTTGTTGCTTTTCTATGATAAGAACGAAGCGTGTGATATCATATGCCAAATATTATATCCTATCCATATCTATTCTTTTTGGGGTGTGGTGGGCAGCAGTCAGGTGTATATGAGTTTTCCTAGAAATCCTACTTGTGTGGGTCTTTCAATATTTTACTTTATTGCTATTAAAACATTGTAGCCAACAAATTACCTGAAAAACCTAGAACCCTTGACATCTTATTTCAGCACAAGCTCGGTGACCTCTTATTTAGAAATATATTACAGAAAAGTTACAATATACTACAACAAAGGAGATGTTCGAATTATACAGCATAAGCAAAAATGATATTTTACCGGAAAATTTGGCAATAAAGAATAACTATGATAACACAAATGGATATACTTTTGAAAACCAATCACTGAGCAATTCAGCAGTAATTTTTTCCAATGGAAATACTTCAAAAATAAGGGTAAATAAGCGATCTGAAGTACCCAAATTTAATTCCGTGAGACCAGTGCTTCGTAGAAGCGAACGGATTAAAAACCAAATAGAAAAACGGAGCATGCAATCCATGGCGATCCAAGAGCAACCCACATCTAAATCTAGTCGATCTGCGAGACTTACGATTCCGACCAGTCGCAACTGCAAAACTAAAAGGTTCTCCCCACCGCCCATGTACTTCGAATGTGCAGATATAAATGGAAAGCTTTATAAACTAGGCGATCTGTCAGACGACATGGAAGCAGGCACTTCTTTCAGGAGGCACCAGCAGAAGTCGCTTAGCCAAATACAGCGCCCCAACTTGGGAACTTCTAGACCTCGTCGAGCAAGACAACCCAAGGATCCAATTAACTGTATGGTTGCAAGTCCACCAATTCCCAATGAGGGATTGCCTGAAAAAGAGGTGCCTCGTAGGAATGAGCGTATTCAAAATATAGAGGAGAGACTCAAGATACCCGAGGAAACCAATCCTAAGGAGCAAAACCTAGGTAGTCTTGTTAATATGCAGCCATCACGAAGCAAGTCTGATCGTTTCGAATATTCGGATATAGACAAAAAGTTTGATAAACTAAAAGACATTTCTGAAAACATGAAACTTGGATTAGTTTTTCGAGAGCGACAGCAAAAACAACAGCACCAAAGAAGTCGTCGAAAACTAGGAACTGCTGGACCACGTCAAATAGGACTTTTAAAGAAGAATTCTATAAAGATTTCATCGCATCCCTTACAGAGAGATTTATCAGTAATAGATTTAGAATCATTAAATACTCCGAAAAAGGCGAAAGAACCACCTCTGCTGAGGAGAAGTGCGCGAATTCAAGAACTTAAATGCAAGAGAGAATCTTTGGAAGCCAGTTTAAAGAAGGATAAAGATCAACCTATGTCGAAAAAGGAGCCACAGCTTAAAAAAAAGCTAGCTATTCAACGTGAGTCTCAGAAATGTTGCAAGTGCAAAACTAGGGTGTTTCCACCATACTTTGAGTGCGCCGAAATAAATGGAAAGCTTTATAAACTCAGCAACGTAACCGAAGATTTGGAACTTGGCGCTGCCTTCCGGAAGCAGCAGAAATCGCAAAATAAAAACACTCGACGAAACTTGGGGACTGCAGGACCTCGTCGCGCAGCTGACTCTAAGAAAAATACTGCAAAGAAATCTTCTGCCACATCAAGAAATTAAACTTTCGTTATAAGAAATAGTTGAAATTGCATGTTAAAAATATCACAGATCCTAAAAGACAAACTATATGTATTTGTCAGTAGCTGTACCATCATTATTATTTTAAAATCAAAATTTTTGTACCTTTTCATTTTAAATAAGAGTTATGTTGACTATTAATACTAAATACTAATAAGATTATAAAAGTACACACGTCTTTTTGTTATGCTTTTCCGCCACTCTGCCCCAATTGTGCGTCACTAATCTTATCCTGCATCAACTGATTTCCCAGAAAAGCCTTTACGATGTGTTCGGCGATGATATCACCTGAGAACGAGTGACAGACTTGCACAATTTTACCCGCTGAAGTCACATAAACAGAAAGGCTTCCGAACTGGGCGGCTATCAGCCAGGTGATAAACAAACTCAGCCCTGATACTACAGTTTTGTACGCTGTATTATTGTGTTTGTCAAACTCGGAGGCCTCGCCGGACTAACGAAGTACACACGTATTTCCAGATAGTGTCACGATGGAGACACGGGCACTCAAAGCGCGATCTCTCACCTTGAACCAAAACGGCAACTTGTAATCCCCCAGACTTAAGCTGCTCGTATATTCGAGTATCTGGGTATCAGATAAAAGCAGAAAGCCGCAGGAGGAGCTCAAGCAGCGCATTCAAAATTAATCTTCGGCGGAAATAATTTTCGATTTTTTGTGCTCGCATGAAAATCCCAAGCATGTCAAATTGTATTCCATTCAAGCAGCAAAATGAGAAAAATAAAAGCCGGCGAGAAGGAAAGAAAAATGCGCACATTGAGTCGACTGTCAAGAGATCTTAGTGAAACGAGAGAAAATAAAAAGCGATCCTGCAAAAGAAGACTTATTTATGAAGAATCATGCAGGAATGATACGGGTTAATAAAGCGACTTTACGATGCCCTGTAATCAGTTTATAAGAGAAAAGCTACAAGTTTTTGTTTTGTTTTTAACAAGGGCCTAACTAAAGTACTATTAAACTAAGAGATATATAAACTTTGTGTAACTGATGTACTTTAAATTAAACTAGGAGATATATAAACTGTGTGTATATTTAGCCGTTTGGCGTGAATTTTTGTAAGGTTTAACAGCGGTATTTGATTTTGTAGCTATTTTAATCCAAGAGATCTAATGCAGTTTTTACTTAAACTGCTTTGGACTTGACTAGTTGTTACTATTAAACATATATGAGGTTCATGAAGGTCTCTTCTGTTTACTGTGCCTGATTATATTGAATCCTTTTAATAAAACGATCTCATTCACCCAGGCAATATACCTCTTGTACTTTACTGAGTACCTGGTACATAAAAAAAGAGATTTAAAAAAACAAAATAATAAAGAACGCAGGGCTTTGGAGCTGTCAGTCGTCGAGGTCCCAGAACGCGGCCTACGAAATACAAAAGGCCGGCAGCTTCGGTTCGGGCCAAGTGAGAAAACCAAGCGCGACACCAACACCAAAAACCGGCTGTGGGAAGAATCCCCCCCTCCCTGCCACACTCCGCGCATATCTCCCTCTCGTTCTTTCGCCACTGCCCATCTCGCTTCCACACTCTCCTGCAGTGGGGCCGCCATTGGGAATTGAATTGGATTTCCAGTCAACGTTGAAATTTCAGTTTGGCTGCCTTTTCGAAGGTGTGAAGAAAAAATAAAAACACAAAGGCAACAACAACAACAAGAACAAGAGGAACAAAAGCGGCAGGGGCACAGCACGAAATTCTGAAAAACTCCAGGAACCAAAAGCCAAAACGAAATCAACTGAAGATCTGCAGGGAGCTGCAGAGCAGAAAAACAACAACAGAAAACTGGATTGGGCCTCGTTTTCCAAAGACGGAGCAGCCAAAAGCAGCAACAACTGCAGAACCGGGCAGAAAGAGGAAGAGATTCTGGGATTTCACTTGCATTGTTACTGGATATGATCGGTCAAATATATGTATAAGGTATGTTCAAGGTATTCCAATGTGTGCGTGTTAGAAGGGAGCATCTGTTTCTGGCAACGAAGGTCTTTTGATTGGGATTCGTTTCGGGTTTTTCCTCTCAATTCTTTTAAGCGGATTCTGTTGCCCTTTTGGAGTTTTTGCCACTTTGGGAATTAGGAGGGTGTGTGTCTGTGTGGAAAAGGTGAAAAGTACTTGGGATTAGTAATAATGGGATAATAGATCATGAGCTTGACTTTTTGGAATGTCCTTTATGCCCAGATATTGTTATTCATGGTGAAACCTTATTGTGAATCTGAATAGTTTCTAGAATAATAAGCTATTCATCCGAGGATTTAGTTTTCTGTGAATGAAGCAAAATCAGTAAGCATAAAAAAAAGAAAAAACAATGTAATAGAACTGTGCGTGTTCGGAAATTATATTCTTTTATGGCCAACATTTTAAAAAATACTCTATTACTCCTCTCTTATTCTAAGCAATCAAATTTTAAAATGTGAACTTGACTAAATGGGGGAGTGTTTTATATTGATCTTATCTTTGAGATCTCTTAAATATGTCAACCCTAGTTCTTCATTTGCATTTAACCGAGAAACCCTTTTCCTGAAAATTGACTTTGACATGTTGGGTACATGTTTTTATTTTTCTCTTTTTGAAAAGTGATCCAGCCGAAAACCCTGGAGAAATCCCTAGTTCAAAGTTACAGCTGTGCACGGAGCACACACAAACGCAAAGAGACAAACAGATAATTCCCGCATAGATCGGGCAGCCACAAAGATACCCCGCATGCACGTAGATACAAAACATACGTACACATAATTCCGAGCAGCAAAACTATTCAACTTCGACCGAATCTGATTTCTGAAACTGATTGTGTGTATGCGTTGCCTTGGTTGTTGTTTTCAGTGGTGTTCGGGACGTCAGTTAAACGAAAGCCGACAAGAAGGTAAGCCCACGAGGAATCCTCCGCAAGCCACACTATATGTACACTCAGAAAAAATACCAACAATTTATAACTGAGACGAACAAACGAAGTTTTCACTACATTAAAATGTTTGTTTTTAAAAAATTGTAATATCAAGAAGTACTTCTTTAGGGACATATTTATTATTGATTGTTTACAGAGTTTATCAATCAGTTTTCTAATATCTTGCGCTTTAGAAACAAAGTTCTTATTCCAATTCCACTTGACATATGAATCAAATTGCAATAATATGCTTTTAAGCATTTCATAAGATGTATGTTATGTTGGTAAAATAAGGGGTTTTTTTCACTGCACCCCATGGTGTATGCCCCACACTCCTGCCACACACTTCAAGTCGCTCGCTTGGTCGTCGGCTTAAATTGGTTTTTATTGTTGTTGCACATGATGTCCATTGTTGGTGGTGTTGGCCCTCGTAGCTTCGTTTTGACCATATTTCTTGTTGGTGCTCCGCTTGCTGTTGATGTTGTTGCCGTTTTACCTTTCTTTGAAGTCGCATTTAATTCTTTGAGTTTCTTATTCTGTTCATTTTTTTTTTTTCGTTTATTTCTTTTTTCATGGCAGACCTTTGAGGAGCGAAGACGACGACGTTGGGTTGTCTGGTCGAGGTGTGAAGAAAAGAATTTTTCTGTGCAATAATCTTGATGCCTTTTTAAGATTTGTAGCTGCCGTGGAGCTTTGCTCCTCTCGTCTTTTGGGGATTCTGGGGGAGCGGCAGGGGATGGAGGAAGGTGCATACGTTATTCTGCCTGAGCTCTTTCCTGGGTTTTTGTGTGTTCTCCCCGCGATTCGTTTCAGTTGAAAAATGGTTTTGGTTTAAGGAAATTTACACCATAAAATGCTGAAATAATTGGATACACTCTCAGCCCCGGCATCTCCGATCTCGCACCACACTTCGAGTGCATTTCAAATTGCTAATGATGAGGAGCCGGCCGGTGTAGCCGTAGCTTTAGCTTCCTCCACCGACTCCATCATTGCGAGATGCTTTCGTGAGACAAGAGACATGCCATGGTCAAGACTTTCGGTTCGGTTCGGTTTGGATCGGTTCGCCATCTGCGGCAATTGCAGTTCCCCTGGGCCAAGCCAACACCAACACCAACACCAGGCCATACAAACCCAACCCAACCCAAGAACCCCATTCCATCCGACCCAGCGGAGCATTAAATGCATTTATTTATGAGACCACCTGATATAATCTACGGCTGAAATTGCAGCTCATATGCATATGATGCAGAGGTGATACTGAGTTTAGCTAGAATTCACACCTCGCTTTCGGCCGGGGATTCTTAATAATATATTATGCTCAGGTACTGAATCTAAGCTTCAGATCCATTTTGCTTTTTCTGCTACTTCTTTCATGTGCACTTCAAAGTAGAATTAAAACAAAAAAAGCTCAAAGAGGATATCAGTCTTTCCATAGTTCAAGAGGTTATATAAACTTCATTGCTGTAAAAAATATGTTGCTTACAATGGAGAAAAAAAATGAAATTCGAAATCTCTAATATATGGTTATAAGTTTAACAACATTTGTTAATACTCATTAATTGTTAATAATAATCTATGGCTTTTTAGTACATTATTCTAAACGGGCATTTTATTGGGTAATAAAGAAAGAATGGAGCTCTTCCTTGAAGGTGAATAAACCTCTCGAGTCCGCAATATTCCCCACTAAAAATACATGTTTTTAAATGCAATATGCAAAGTAGGACGAAATTATCTTAAGAACCATTAGTAGAAAAACGAGGAGGAAAGCCATGAGGCCAAATTATCTCGATATTTTCTGCCTCGGGGGCAAAAAACCTAAAACTTAAAACCCAAAACCAATGAGACGGGGAAATTCCTGCCGCCAGACTCACTTATCGGGCCGAGTAAGATCTCGCAAATACAAATTGCATCAACGCCTAGTGTCCGACGGGGCTTTTGTGTGCCCAATCCCGGAGTCCCCACCCCGGGGTGCCTCCTCCCGATTTCGGACTTTGGACGGCCCTTGTAACAGAAAGACCAGTCAGATGCAACAACACGAACTAGTTGCACTAATCATAAAATCCCCCATCAATGTTAAAATGTATAAATGCAAAAATGGAAACGGCACGAACAACCAGCTGAGGAGCTCACGAATGTGGGCACAGAAACAGAACCCCATAGCTAAATTGCATTAAGTGTAATTATAACTAATTAGAAAACGGAAAAAGCAGAATCTGGAAAAAATGGCAACAATTCAATAGAGGCCAACTGGGCGAGGAATAACTGGCACAGCTCGAAAACAATAAAGCAGAATGAAAAAACATTTTTTAAATTGCTGCTGGAAAGTTATTAGAAACAGTGGAAATGATTCCACGATTAGTTCAAGCGAAAAACTAAAATACAAATGAAATAAAAAACTACCTTCGGACTGTGTTATTGAGGAAACTGCAGTTGACTCAGCATGGGAATAACTTGTGGATAAAAAATAAATAGCAACGTTGGGGATATCCGCTAGATATTGGTATTGGTGAAATCTCTAGATACTGGATGCGTTTATATTGAATTTGCCCTGTTGCCATATGTATAAATAAAATAAAATAGTATTGCATGACATGTCTGACTATCTGGTTATTCTTGCTTAATGATTTTGGATACTACATCTCAAGCCCCAAATTAGAAAGTAGAAAGACCTAACAAGATTTAAGTTTAACTTACTTTAAAAGTAAGCGAAAGATCACACGGCTTCCTGAACCTATTCATGATGGATTTCTAAGTATTTTTCAAGTTTTCAAATTGATTGATGGAATTTAGTTTGCCGTTTCCAGTCTTAAATTGTCCGAGTTCTTTATTGCGATCTCTGTGGCTTTGTAGGCACGTGTGCTGCGCTGCCAGCCATTACCTCCGACTCAAATCTACGCCACAAATCTGAATGTGCGATACCGCAGATTAGCATTCGAGGGGGCGGCCGGAGGATGGAGAACTGGGGGCACAATGAACTCGAGCGAGGGCTTCGGGGAGTCAGCGAGATAAATCATTTAATATAGCGCGCCATTTATCATCTAACATGCCGGGCTGTATATCATTCATCTTTTGCATAGGCCCCGCTGGGTGCCTCAGGAGTTGAGAATAGAAACAGATATACAGTCGAAATTTTGTAACTTCAACTTCTTCTGGAACTAATTTTCTGTACCTCGAACGAATTTTAAAATATCGGAATATTCAGTTTCTTTAAAAATGGAATAATATAGATATATTCTAGCGAAGGCTAATTCTTGTAAAATATAAAACAATTTACCTGCCTGATCTCTCATTTATTTTTCTATTAATAAAATACTTTGCAATACTTAAGTTTAGTCATTTATAATTACTCAATTATTTAACTTATTTAAACATTCTAACACTCTTCTGTTTTATAATTCTTAAGTAAGTAAATACTTTCTACCGTTGAAAGTGATTTGATTTATTAATGTTTTACTTTACAGGAAAGATAAAAGCGAGTTGTTATTGAATAAAGAAACAGTTTAAAATAGTAAATGTTAAAGAAGTAGAAGATAGTAAGAGATATGGAAATACTACTAAAGCTATACAAATAGAACACAATATCAAAAAGTAACAGGTAAACAAGAGAGCTGAGCTACAGTTTGGCAAAAGTCAATTTGTAACTTAATTAGGCGGCGGAATGCAGCATTTACTCACCTATTCAAATTGACGGCGAACGGCAAACGGTGGGCGGGGGATCTCGGCGTGTGGGTGGTGGGCGTTCGAGGTAAACAAGCGGGCGAGAGAGAGACGGGGCACAGCGGAGGAGGGACAGAGACAGAACAGAGCCTTAATGTCTGCGGCGGCAACCTATTACGTACGTCGTATTGTATACACATGCATATTCATATGTGCGAAGGAAATGAACAAATGTTTGGCCGTCTGTTGTTGTTTGTCTATCTCTTGCGGTGATGATGATGATTCCTATTTCCAATTCCCGATTCCCGCTTGTTTATTCGTCACTTTAACACGTTCGATGCCGACGTCGACGTCACCGACACGCGCACGCACACTTGCACAGCTTATTTTTATTTCGCTTTTCTAGTATTGGTGTATTTTTCCTCAATTGCGGTGGCGGCAAGCTCACACACACATTTACGGGCGACTCCACACTAGCACACCATTGACAACAACAGTGCACGTAATGCGTGATTTTTAGCGGGGGCGGGGGTATTTGTTGCTATTTTGTTTGCTGCCGCTCAGTTTTCAGTTCTAAGCCCGCGATTTGTTCACTTATCAGGGGCTTTCAACAAAGGCTCGCTGGCGTTTTAATCGAAGCCACAAGCATATGTATGTTTTTTGTTATTGCCGAGATTTTATGCTCACACACACGTTGGCTCTATCTCGCTCTCACGCACACGCCATTAGAATTGTTGTGGATTTTCCAGCTTCGAGTGCGTCTGGCATACAGAAACCGATTCGAATTGGCTGTGCAGCGGTGCACGCTTTGATCATTTACCAAACGGGGCAAATCGTTCTTGTTCTTAATTAATTTAAGTCAGCAGCTACGCGACGAAACGAACGACCTGCGGCTGTGAAAATTAAACGTAGAGTGACCGCAACTTGAGCGTTGACTTACACCTCGATCTCTTGAAAATGTCAATTCAAAATGTACTACAAAATCCCGAAAAACCAGCTATCTGGTGGTTGGGAACTTGGCTAAAAATACCACCAATACTTAATACTAAAAAATGCACCAATAATAGTTTTGAATTTGATAACATACCAAAATAATTGTGTTATTATTTGAAAAGCTGTTTTACGTTACCAATAACAAAACTATTTTTGGTTATAAGAAAAATAATATATATAAATATATTAGGGGGAATTAATGATAGATTAATAATATACAAAAGTGGGACAATATCTTCTGAAGTTGTCTTTTGCCCTTTTAATTTTAGAAGTGAAATAGTTCTGGCACTATTTCGCTCTTGCGAAATACAAGAAACCGCGAGTTCTTTAGAGGATGATAACTTAACATGTAACGATATCGCAATTAAATAACACCAAAAAATCGTCTAATGGAGTCACAGCAAATACAAATCATAAAATAAAAGACATTGACTGATTTATATTTTAAAAGTGATCATAAATATCAGTCATGACTTAATATCTGACAAATAAAGTAAAAGCCTCTGATATATGTAATGTTTTGAGAAATAAAATATATCTCTAAATAACTTTTTTCTTACATCTATTACTAGTTAAACTTCATATTTATGTTTTTCCGTCGCTGGATTTTGATTTTGAAGTATTTTAATTATTTATGACAATGCCTTGCCTTAAATTTGCAATGTTTGTCAAATAACATGGTGCTCAAATATAATCTTTAAAAAATGAATTTTAAATTCCAAATCGGCTTAAGTATTTCCAAATTGAAAAACTGGCATCCCCCAAAACAGTGCTATAAAACGGCGGACGGCCACAGCTGTTCCGTTAGTAACCGAAATGTTATTATTGAGTAAGCTCCCCAGAATAACGCAATGGCTGCCGAAGGATCCAAAGGACCAGCGGAGCATATGGGGCTATGTTGCCGTCGCCTTCAACCAGGTGGACGCGGAACGGTTGGCAAAAGTGGGACCAAACCGCCTGTGCGCCGAGTGGATCATTAAGAACGGAGGCGGAGTGCGATTTGTGGATAGTCCCACCAGGTTGTGGAAGGATTACAACTCGCTGCCGGCGGAGAACACTCAGTTTTGCCTCAAGGTGGTGGACGCCTCGAATTCCTCCATCATGAAGATAGGACTGGAGCACTTAAAGGATTGCAAAAGCATCGACACGGTCATCTTCCACAACTGTAAGCACCTGGAGAACGATGGATTGGAGGGACTGCATCACATCAGCAACTCACTGGAGCGATTGCAGGTTTCCGGCTGTTACAACATCACCGATTCCGGCCTCGCAGTGATCGGGGAGCTCAAAAATCTGAGACAACTAGTCATATTCGACATGATATTCGTGAAGAACATGGCAGCGGTGGCAGCCAAGCTGAAGAGCCAGCTTCCGAGCTGCGACATCAAGGCCACCAAGCTCGGCGTTACGTTAAAGCCCAAAAAATAGTCAGCCAATGGTGATTTGTCGTGTTGTTTTGGTCAAAATTTGTAAATAGAAATGTCAGAAACGTGTTGGAAAAGGCTGAACTTCGACATTGGATCTAAATAATCAATCTCATCTCGTTTTTAGTTTTATGTTTTGAAGCTTCATACTTACAAAAACTCAATAAAAATTATAGCAATCCTTTAAAAATACCTTTTAATTTTATAATTGGTTTAATATTTGTAAGTAAAATCTTTTATAAAAAAAAAAACTACTAAATTCAAATTCTTTGGGTAAATGTATTTTTACATTCACAACACTGGCAATGTAACGTATCTATGAATTTTCCTTTGACCGAGGCGCGGTCATACTATTTTTAGGAAGGACAAAATGTGAAAAAAATAATAGTAAAATGACTAAGTTAAAGTATTTACTTAACTTTGCGACCCAGCCACGATCCATTTCGCACTCCAATCCCAAGGAGCAGATCCTGAACTGCCTGACTTATGGCCTGCTGGTGATTGTGGCCCTTTGCGCGGGCTTCCTGCTGTGGGACTTGTCCAACAGTCCTCGGGAAGGATTCTTCCACGGAAAAAGGGACTCGCACACGCTAATCCTGGACCTGGAGCACATCCAGGAGATCTCCCTGAATTCCGAGGGCGAGCAGCGGCCACGAAATGTGAACTGCACCTTTTGGGACTGCCTGAACATCTACAAGTGCGAGCACGATCGCCTAAAGGTCTACATCTATCCGCTGCAGGAGTTCGTAGACGAGCGGAGCGACAAGGTGGCCACCACCCTGTCCAGCGAATACTTCCAGATCCTGGAGGCGGTGCTGAAGAGCCGCTACTACACCTCGAATCCGAACGAGGCGTGCCTCTTCCTGCCCAGCCTGGATCTGCTGAACCAGAATGTCTTTGACAAGCACTTGGCGGGAGCTGCTCTGGCTTCCTTGGACTTCTGGGATCGCGGTGCCAACCATATCATCTTCAACATGCTTCCCGGGGGAGCCCCATCCTACAACACAGTGCTGGATGTGAATACGGACAATGCCATAATCTTTGGCGGCGGCTTCGATTCTTGGTCATACCGCCCAGGTTTCGATGTCGCCATTCCTGTCTGGAGTCCGCGCGTGGTGCGGCAACATGCCCATGCCACAGCCCAGAGGAAGTTTCTCTTGGTAGTCGCCCAGCTGAGTATCCTTCCCCGGTTCCTGAGGAACCTGCGGGAGTTGGCCTCAACCCACAGCGAACAGTTGCTCCTTGTAGGAGCCTGCGAAAACTTGGACCTCGGCATGCGCTGCCCTCTGTCGCAGCACCATAGGTCCCTGGAGTATCCTCGTCTGCTTTCACGAGGCAAATTTTGCTTGCTGGGCCGAGGCCTTCGCATGGGTCAGCCCGATCTGGTGGAAATTATGTCTCAGCATTGCATTCCCGTGATTGCCGTGGACAACTATGTGCTGCCCTTTGAAGATGTAATTGATTGGTCACTGGCCTCGGTTCGTATACGCGAAAGCGAACTACATTCCGTGATGCAGAAGCTAAAGGCTATATCGAGTGTCAAAATCGTTGAGATGCAAAAGCAGGTTCAGTGGCTGTACTCTAAGTACTTTAAGGATCTGAAAACAGTGACGCTGACGGCGCTTGAGGTGCTCGAGAGTCGCATCTTTCCGCTGCGTGCCCGCAGCAGTCGCCAGTGGAATGCCATCGACACCAATGCCCGTTCCACCTTCAATCCCCTTTTCCTGCCTTCGCTGGCGCCAAAGTCACAGGGATTTACCGCCGTCATCCTCACCTACGATCGCGTGGAGAGTCTCTTTCTGCTGATCCAGAAATTGGCAGTAGTGCCCTCTTTGCAAAGCATTTTGGTGATTTGGAACAACCAGAAGAAGTCACCGCCACACTGTGAGTTCTTTGGCAATATACCTTTTCAGTATAGTTATTATTTCTTGTTCCTTTATAGTATCCACATTTCCATCTATATCGAAGCCCTTGAAGATTCGGCAAACCAAGGAGAACAAGCTATCAAACCGATTCTATCCTTATCCGGAAATCGAAACTGAAGCTATTTTAACCATAGACGATGACATCATCATGCTGACAACAGATGAGTTGGACTTTGGGTAAATTGAACTGGTAATGAGTTAATTTTCCTGTCTAATAATTTTTCTTTTAAAGTTACGAAGTATGGCGCGAGTTTCCCGATCACATTGTGGGCTTCCCTAGTCGCATCCATGTCTGGGATAATGTCACAATGCGCTGGCACTATGAATCGGAGTGGACGAACCAAATATCAATGGTACTCACTGGAGCCGCCTTCCATCACAAGTACTGGAGCCATATGTACACACATGCCATGCCGGGAGACATTAAGGATTGGGTGGATGAACACATGAACTGCGAAGACATTGCGATGAACTTCCTGGTGGCCAACATCACCAATAATCCTCCCATTAAAGTCACTCCTCGAAAGAAGTTCAAGTGCCCGGAGTGCACTAATACGGAAATGCTTTCCGCCGATCTGAATCACATGCGGGAGCGTTCGGCCTGCATCGATCGGTTCTCAAAGATCTACGGCCGTATGCCGCTGCGCACGGTGGAGTTCAGAGCGGATCCGGTATTGTTCCGGGACAATTTCCCAGACAAGTTGAAGCGCTACAACGACATTGGTAGTTTGTAAAGGGCCGAAACTGAGAGCTCAATATTCCAATGGAATCTAAGGAGATATACCAAAGACTTGTGGGAATTGCGCTCAACTCCTTTAACGGAAAACTTATGTTGCAGTCGAATATTTCATAGGATTATCATATCGCTAAACATATAAAAACAGATAGAGGCGGTTCTGGTTTTACTTATGTTCGACTTCAAAATTGTATTCCAAATCAATGAATATTTAATTTGAATTCGCATCGATGCGGAAATAGTTATTACTGTTTTAGAGAAATTTTAAACTGGATTTATGTCCTCACTGTACTTTTTTGTATGTAGAAAATTATTTATTTAAAAAATACTTTTAAATTGGGAGATATTAAGTAGACTTAATTTTTGTTTTCAAATCGAAAATAATTTATAAATACTGGAACTAGCCTGTAAATAGATAACAGAAGTTGATCTTATCGTAAAGAGTTTTATTATATGGACTGCTTCAAGCTGGGAACTGATCTCTTGCATTAAGTAAATTGTACATCTTAAGGTCTGCGAAAATGTTTTGGATTGGAAAAATGCTGTGCTAATATCATTAACATGGTGGCAGTGATCTTAAGTTCAGGCTTCTTTAATGGATGCCAAATACTCATTGTAACGTTGCTCCTGTTGCTGCTGGAGTTTCTGCAGCTTCTTAATTTGGCCTTTGCTAACCTCTTTGCCTTCTTTGTCGAGTGTGGGCAGGCCCTGAAATTGGATCAAAATGTTATCAAGTGTGCATATTGTTTATATTAATCTGCCTTACATTTTCATCGAATGCTGAGTACTTTTCCGTTTCACCGAGAAACATTTCCTTGGGATTAACACGACGCTGGGCTTCCTTCGCCGCCGCAGCCTCAGCAGCTGCCTGCTTCTTGCGCTCCTTCTCAGCTGCTTTCTCCGCCTCAGCGGCCAGCTTGGCCTCCCGCTCCCGTAGAAGTGAGTCCCGGTCAACCAGCTTTACAGCATACTTTCCGCCATCCTTGTCCTCCAGTCGCACACCCAAATTGGGCAGCACATTGTCGCGCAGATCGTCGCAGAGCTTTAGGATGTCAAAGGCCTTCAGGGTTTTGGCTTGCTCGCGTACCAAATTACGGAATTCAGCCAAGGACTGAACATAAGGCAGCACGGTTGTCTCCAGATCAGCGCCAGCTGCTTGCGATCCTGAGCCACTACTGACGGGGAACCCAATGCCACCACGGGGTCCGGAGATAGCGCCAAAAACGTGTAGGAGGTCCGTGATGTAAGTGGCTACATTACGCAGCAGCAGACTGTTGAGCCGAGCTTTATTGTCCCGAATGTAAACATTGGAGGCCGATACCAGCTCGCGGATGGCGTCAAGGGCGCTACGAGTGTCAATGTTATCTGCAAGATAAGACGGAAGATATAATTTGGAAAATTTGTATACTACTGATAATTTCCTTATTCTTTATACATACCACAGAGAGCTGCATGCACCTGGACTTGGGAACTAGCGAACTTCTTTTGCAAAGCCGCCTCTACTTCTGTCCATGCATCAAATTGCCTTCTCTGCTCTTCGGAGAGCACGTGTCGGGTCAGATCCTTGACATTCAGGAAGAACTCCTGCGGGCAAAAATTTATATTGAATCCTTATTTAACCTTATATTAAGCCCGCCTTACGTTGAGGAACTTTTCGTACTGCGTGGCCATTTCCATAGTGTTCTCCGAGTAGTCGAGTGTGTCCTTCCACGAGTGCAGCAGGAACGCCAGTCGCAGCTGGGTGGCTGAGTGCTTCTTGAGCGCTTCCTGGATGGTCACAAAGTTCTTCAGCGACTTGGACATCTTGCAGCCGGCGATGGTTAGGTGGCCTGTGTGCAGGAAGTACTTGACCCACTCGGCCTCGTTAAAAGCCGCCTCCGATTGAGCCAACTCGTTATCGTGATGGGGAAACTTCAAGTCCACTCCGCCAGTGTGTATATCAAATGTTGGGCCAAAAATATCCGAGGCCATGGCCGAGCACTCGATGTGCCAGCCGGGCCGTCCCTTGCCCCACGGACTATCCCACCAAGGTTCTCCAGCTTTGCTTGCCTTCCACAAGGCAAAGTCGTTCGCCGAACGCTTCTCAGAAAGGCGATCCTCAGCCACGGACAGATCGCCTTCGCCCTCTTGCAGGGATTTGGTGTCGCCATAAGCCTCGGGCACCAACTTGGCATAGTGGTGCTTCTCCCTCTTGTCGAAGCCATTTACATCGAAGTAAACAGAGTTGTTGGCTGCATAGGCTAATCCGTTATCAATGATCTTTTGGATGAAGGTGACGATCTGCGGCACATATTCCGAAACCCTTGTTAAAACATCTGGCGGCAGAATCTGTGAAATATTAAATTGGGAAATGATTCATTTAAAAGTTAATGACTTCTACGAATGACTCACATTCAACGATTTCATGTCGTTGTGGAACTGGTCTTCCCAGTAGCGTGGCAGAGCCTCGAACACAGCATTGTCATTGATCTGGGCTCCTTTCTGGGAATCCAACCAATCGGAGATGGGGTCCTTGGCTTCGTTTAGGTAATGCTGACGCTTCTCGGAGATCTCCTGCTCCACTCCCTTGGAAACGGCTTTGGTTAGGCCCTCCACGGCATCATTCATGCGTTGCAGGGTTTTGTCTAGCATAACCTTCTTGTCGGGATCCGTGTTCTTGGCGCACGTGTCCTGGAATCGCACGAGCACCTCCTTCTGCTGGCCCAACAGCTGATCCAGAGGGAACTTTGCTGCCTCACTCGCGTATTCCTCGAAGAGATGGTTCTGCCGCGCCCGCCGGATGATCTTGTCGTCGATGTCCGTGATGTTCATCACATAGTGAATGTTGTAGCCGAAATAGTTGGCCAGAATGCGCCGCAGAATGTCGAAGGAAATGTAAGATCTGTGGAGTGGGAGTGGTCGAAATGTGATAAGATATACCCGTGATGATGTGGCGCACTAATTGAGACCAACCTGGCATGCCCCATGTGGGAAGCGTCGTAGACAGTGGGTCCGCAGCTATACCACGTTACATTGTTCCCGTCCAGCGGCACAAACTCCTCCTTCTGGCGGGTAAGACTGTTAAACAGCTTTAGCTTCGGTCGCTCCGCCGCCTTGGGAGCTTGCCACGCCGGTTGCCCACGTTTCGACATTATCTTGTTGTGTGTCTGTGTACGTCTAAACAGTCAATCCAATCTCCTCTGCACTTGCAATGCGGCAAAGTTTCATCAGCTCTGGAATGAGCAACAGCTGTCTGCGGACACGTGGCAACGCCGCTCGGAGTTGCCACACTGGCTTAAGTAGCTTTTTAACGGTTTTTTTAGTCGAACAAGGGAATTGCATTTAATAGTGTATCTACAGATGAACTTGTTTATTTAGCTGCAATTGGAATGTTTTCAAAAAGAAAACATAAGAATGATTTTATAAAAACCATGTTTCTAATTAATCAGAAATTTAGGCAATTTTTCTAAATGAGGAAGAATAAGAAACTTCCCCTAAGTAGACTTAGCCTGGGTGTTACCAAAAAAAGGTATATTAGTCTCCCAAAAGATTATATCTATAAGTAGTATTGCCAAAATGTTGTTTTATAATTTTTTAATATTTTCGGAGCTCACAATTTTCTGGTCAAAAAATTTAGATTTTCGACTAAAGAATCTTTAATACATTGCCAGCCGCGGCAAGATGGAAATTGAAATAATTTCAGATTTTCTAAGCATACAAAACATACTAAAGCATGCTTTTATATCCGAGAACAAAAAACAGCTGCGTTTTGTTTACATTTTAGATTTGAGTCATTACGTTCTTCGGTTCCATACGTTTTAATAAAAGTTTTAAAAACTAGAGTGCATTTTCCTATTTTCCCTTTTTCTTAGATCCTCCGCCGGTGGCCTTTTGGGTGCGTCCCAACTGCATGTCCTTCAGCTTGGCATCCAGTCGCTTTTTCGCATTCTTCACATCCTCCTCCTGGCGCACTGTTTTCAATGGTTTGGGATGCAGGAACTTCTTCCGCTCGTCCCGCTTAATCTCCTCGCCGCACCCGTGAACCTCTGGCAGTCCGTGCTTAAAGCAGAATCTCTTCTTGCAGTGCTGGCAGTCCTGGCCCATCAGGCTCGTCTTGGTTTTGCAGCGGGGAAAGTCGCAGAGGTTGTCCACCTCCTTGACGGCGGTGAGCACATCGTCCAGCTTGAGATCCACCACCTGGCTGGGGATCCGCTCTAGCAGCTCCAGTGTGTCGTTGGTTCCATAATCTACCCGTTTGCCAGGCTTGGCGGGCGGAAAGAGAGGAGCTTCATCAGCTTTCGTCGATGTGGAGGGTTTGTTTGGATCTTCTGAGATAAAACATCACTTAGATGTCAGAAAATAAAGTTTGTAATGTATTTTTACGCACCTGCCATTGGTTAATCTCTGTTAATTTCCGAGTATTTATTAATGTTTTTCTATAAATTTACATTTGTCTTTTGGGAATGAGAGTTCACGAAAGTAAACAGCTGACTTTTAATCGATATATCGATGATCTTTAAGGAGCAATCGCTAAAAGCGGGTTTTTTAAAAGACATTAACCCTTTGATGACCAGAAAATAAACTTTTTTTTTTATAAAAACTCATTCATTCTATTTTTTGCTTTTAGCTTTAAAAATATTTAGTAAACAAAATTGTTCCTTTACTTAAGTATTTAAAAACATTCTCCATTTCGGTTCATTAAAACAAAGAAATACACGCCCCAGCTTGTTAAATACTTTAGTAATGTTATTGTCGTTGTAACTAAGTTCTACACACAAGTTAATAAAGATTTAGTTATCAATCATTATTCAACCAATCTCTGACGGCCTTCGATTGTGCACAATTTGTGTTAACTATCCAATCCAACGTGGTATACGAATCATTTCAAGTGTATAATATATCCATGTAAAAGCCGTGTATAAACGTTTAGTAATTGCAATTGCTGTTAGTTTGATTTAAATGCTAATGGTGCAGACAACTGTGATCTGACGTAGAGTTTGGTAAATATTAAGCCCACTTTTCATAACATAACGGGTAACATTGGTGCGTTTACAATTTGTTTTCACAGGGACACGATTCAGTGGGTCCTGCTTCGGTAACTGCGGCATGGATCGCCTTGGCCACGTACTCGATGTTGCCTGTGTTCAAGCCACACATGTTAATCCGGCCCGTCTTCAGCAGGTAGATGTGGAAGTCGTTGATCAGGACGTCCACCTGGTTCTTGTTCAGGCCAGTGTACGAGAACATGCCGATCTGGTTGACGATGTGGTCCCAGTTGCCGGGCGTTCCCAAGGCCACAAGCTTGTCCCGCAGAGCTTTGCGCATCTCACGGATGCGGCTTGACATGGTCTGGATGGACGTCATCCACTCCTTGCGCAGCTCCGGCGTGTTCAATACTTTCGAAACGATGCGGGCACCATAGGCGGGTGGATTGGAGTACTGGCCACGGATAAGCAGAGTCAGCTGCGAGTGAACCGCCGCCTTGGTGGCGGCGTGCTTCTGCACCACAGTAAGATTTCCGGCACGCTCGCAGTAAAGGCCAAAGTTCTTGGCGAAGGACTGGCAGGTGAAGAGTTCAAAGCCACGCTGCACGAAGTACCGCACGGCCCAGGCATCGCGATCCGGATCGCCACTGGCAAAGCCCTGGTACGCGGAGTCGAACAGCGGGAAGAGCTTCTTCTTCTCCAGCAAGTTGGCTAATTCCGTCCACTGCTCCTGGGTGGGGTCAATACCGGTGGGATTGTGGGCACAGGCATGCAGGATGATCACAGCACCGGGCGGAGCTTGGTCCAGATCAGCCACCATGTTCTTGAAGTCCAGCTGGCGCTTGTTTTGGTCCCAGTAGCGGTACGACTTCAGGGTCGTGAAGCCCGCATCGGAGAAGATCTTGTGGTGGTTCTCCCATGTTGGATTCGAGTAGTACACCACGTTGCGATTCAATTGTGTGTGCAAGAAATCGGCGGCAACGCGCAGGGCACCAGTGCCTGAAATCGTCTGCACTCCAAAGGCCTGAAACAAAGATATTATTAGAAAGAAGTTTAAATCATTTAGGAAGGAGTAAACTTACGCGATTCTCCTTAATGGCAGGTGAATCACTACCCAGCACCAATTCCGTGGCTGCGGTTGTGAACGTATCGAGACCTGGAAAAGTAAATTCGAATTAATAGTTATATTTTGAAAGCGTTTTTTCTGCTTAAATTCACTTGGTTCAAAATGCCTCCAGTTTTTTGTTAAATATAATAGATAATTCGATAAATTACTACGTACCAGTCACTGGCAAATACTCGTGGTTCTGAGCCTCATCGCTGGCGATGGAGATTTCCGTTTTGCGCACCACAGGCAAAACCCACGGAACTCCAGCATCTGTCCTGTAAGCTGTGAATAAACGAATTCATTGAACTCATGAGTAACCTGTTTTATTCGAAGTTCACTGATTGCTCAGGTATTTAGGGGAATACATCGTTCAAAGTTCTTAAATCCGTACAATATTCGATTCTTATCTTAGTGGACGTAAACAGCCTAATCAATTCGTAATGCTCTAAGCAATCTGATATAGTTTTCGAGCATTGTTTCTAGGCCAATTCAATTATTATTTATTGCCGCAACTGAAAAACACTGTCGTCGGGTTATTCGAAACCAATTGAATTGAATTGGCCTGGCAAATGTTTATACTTTTGTTGCATTGTAAAAAAAAAACGAAAAGCCATAACGGCTGAAATAAAGTTACCAAAAAAGCAATTCCCGCGAACGTAAAGTAAAGGAGATAAAAAGGTAATATTATTTGATCATGCTTTTTTTGTTTGGGTTAAAATTAGACCATATAAACACCAGTAAAAGCTTAGTTCAAATAATACCTGTTTTATTTCACCTGAGTTATTCGCTATGTTGTCAGATTTTTATAAAGTAGGATCAGAAAATATTATAACTCACTTAGAGTCACAAAAGTCTGTTATGGTTATTATAATATTTCTACTACAATACCATCAAATCCCATTAGCATAAATCAACTTTACACAAGCAAAGGTTAATGACTCTCAGATTGCTAACAAAACAAAAACATAATAATCAACAAGTTTGCTGGTGGGAATTGTTATTCAAATTATGCAATAACATCCATAAATATAGAAAAGGTGAAATGGCGACCGTCCAAATCAGCAACATTGCTCTTGGACTCTCCCGATCCACTAACATTGCTGTTGTAGTGCCTTCAGATTGCCGCTGGACGTTATGTTTGTAGTACCTGCCAAGAGTCCCACACACAAGTGGCTTATCATCCGTCGTACTCATGGCAATAACCAAATACTGTGCTAGCTGACGTAAAATATGGTTTAGATTAAGAAAGTCGCCCGAGAAATTCCCTATGATTGCAAAAGAAAGTGATTTACTTTACATTGTGATATGGCTATTAAACTCTTTTCTTGCGGCTACAATATTTTGTAGTGTACTAAAAGATATGATTTTTATCAGCAAAAATAAGGTAAACTGTTTATTCAGTGATAACCAAGAAAACTAGCCATGGAATATTTTAACCTACGTTTTTGTAACGGTCTTTCCAACATTTTGAAGATGTTACATTATTTTCTAAGGTAGTGTATTGGATGTTTACTTTCCGTAGGAGACAAAATTTCTTATAAGCCCTCTAATTGGAACGCATATAGTCGTACATGCAAAAATCTGTGCAAAAAAGATGGAAAATCTAAAGAATTCATATGCCACTTTGACTTCCAAATGACCTCCAGCAGAGTGGGGTGTTGGGTGGCAACGGGAAGTGGGGTGTTCCGGGAACAAAAGAGGCGAACTGCAAGGGCAAACCAACTAGCAAATGATAGCAAATTGAGCCGCATACAGATACACCCAGTAAGAGCACACATCGCTGCACACACGTATTGTATTTCTGCCGGGAGGAAATTGGATTTATCACTTACCGCCCACCGACAAATTGACCTTGTTGGGATGGCTGTCGTCCTTAAACGCCTGCGTCAAGGCGAACACCTCGATGGCAGGTCCTTTCTGTACGTCGGCGTAGATAGACATCGCGAAAAAGTCGACAAACAAGTCCAAACGGAGCGACAATAACAAATAAATTAATTTGGAATAGTGTCGGCACCAGAAAGCCAAAAAACAATGTGGCTGCACTTGGCTAAAGCTATTTAGCCCACAAAAAGCTCTCTCGATTTCGTTATCGATACTTTTATATGAAAAACGTTGACCGGAAACAGTGCCAAATGTTATCGATCCCCATTTAAAATTTATTTTTTAATTTATATTATATTTTAAGATGGTACATTTGTTTTTCTTTAGTAAAAAGGAAGATAATATTAATAAATAATTTATTTTAATTTTACTTAAAGTTTTGTTATCTTTAGAACAATAATGTAAAACTGACCTTAAGATTTCACTGACGTTTTGCAGATAAATAAAGTTCCTGCCGTATCCAATGGAAGCACAGTGTCCGGTTATAAATAAATTTTCCCTTTATTCCAGTATATACTTAACTCAATATCTGCCAGCAAAAATGCGCTTTAAGAAATAGTTGCTTTTATATCTTTCAGTAGTTTATATTTATTGCCCCAGTAATCCTTAGTTGCTAAACGTCATTAGTTTGGTTTACATTTAGTCAAATATCGATCTACACATTTTTGATTGTTTACAGTCTTTATGTCGCTTTGCATTCGCGTTCCGATTATGCAAGCATTCGATTAGGATTTAACAAAAACACAAACTCGAGGATTGATTAATGCCAGTTTGGTTAAAAATAGTTATGCTGTAATATTCAGTAATTTTTGAGGGTGCACACATTTTTTCCAATTTGTTACTCAACTATCTAAAACTAGAATTATATTTATATTTAGAGTAAAACTTAGGCAGTATTAAACTAATTAAATAGACTATGCACTTATACAATGGCCGGTGCTTATCTATATTTACATTTCATATATAAATACATACACTATATAAATATCCAAACTATAGGCATTTCGCATTCGATGCCTGAGATAATCTATTTACATTATCCAATCTGAGGGAGCACTTCTTCGAATGCGAAACTGCTAGATTTTGATTTAACCTAAAATACCATAACTACGTCTTTAGAGAAGCGCTTTTACCCTTACAAGTAAAATGATCTGTGTAATGTAATGACTTGGTGAGTGCCTGTGAGAGTGAGTGTTTGTAAATAAAACTACAAATCAGTGTAGGGTGCTTGAACGTTGGCGTGGTGGTCCTTCCTCCCTTCCTTCCTTTCTTCCTTCCTTCCTCCCTTTCTTTGTTCCTCCCTTCCTTCCTTCCTTCCGATTCCACTCTTCCCAATAGGAACATGAACACAGGGAACTTGTCAGCAGAACTACTGAGCGCAGGCTCCCCGTAGGCTTCCAGTGCGATCCGATGTGGGATGTGCATGGTGCGAGTGATCGTTTATCAAATTATAGATGGTTTTCAGTCAGTATCAGTTCGCTCGGCATGCCATCAGAGCTCTGAGTGCGCAGCATAACCTCAAGAATCGGCTGGTATTAGGCAATTTGAGCGCGTTGCTCCCGCTGCTGTTGTTGATCTGTGGCATCTGAAATATTCCGATTAGAAATCAATTCATTAGTATTGTACTTCAATGAAAAAGGCACACGGAAAGCAATGAAGAACAAGAAGATGTTAGGGTCAAATAACTGAAATTAGTAGAACGCAACAATGGAACCCACGCAGAACAGAACGAGGTAACACAATTTCGAACATTCCACCTACCGGGAACTGAGGCCAAAAAGCAATAATTCGGTGCTAGGCACACCTTCAGATTTCATATTCGTGCTATCACGTGCGTTCGCGCATGGCGATGTCAGTGCACATGACCAGGCAGTCCGAGTTAAAGGACTCAACATCCTTCTGCTCGCCGTCTGGGGCAGCTGACAATCGCACTGTTTGCGGACCCTGGTCGCCTGTCAATTTTAAACGGGAAACAGTTGAGCCAAAGTGCGGCAGACAGGACTCTTCCTGATCAAAAAGTACCCAGGATTTCAAAAAAATAATCTTGCTCATTACATAAAAAATTGTCATTGTTTTAACATTAAACATTCTACATAAAGAATAAAAATAAAAGTAAAAAAGTTTTTTATAAATAGTTTGGATAGTTAGTATAATAGTTTGGTCGAATTTTTCAAGTCCTATCCGACTTATTATTCTTCTTTGACTTTCATATTTAGTAACAAAACAAAACTATTTTTTTAAGAAGATGTTGGGTTCTTTTTGATTAGCAGGTTAATAGAAAGATATCTAAATAGCTAGAAGGACTGCAGGAGCTTAAACCATTCGATCGTGCTTACCTTGTAGTCCTCGTGTGGCGTTGTACTTGTCCTTGATGATAAAGCAGGCGGTGAAAATGAAGAAGATGCCTCCCAGCACCTCCACAAAGCTGGTGGAGAAGAGTGCATACTGCAGCCCCTCAAAACGCACCTTATCCGAATACTAAAGGCCAGAATCGAAAATTAATTTATGTAATATAATTCTATACCTTCACTTACATCCGTGGAGGCCAAATTTGTTGAGCGTGCTGATTCGATCAAACTGGTGGTGGCTTCTGTGATTGCCTGCGTGACATTGCTGATCGTGTTCTCCGCCACTTGGGACATGCTCTGCATTTCGGTGACCAGGCCGGAATCGCTGGGGTTCTTGTGCAGGTACTTCATAATGGCCTCGGATATCTGAGGGGTATACCAATTTAGATATTTCGAATAAAGGTTTGCCAATTCTTTCATTACTTACCGTGCCCACTAAAAAGGGACTTCCGGCATCGCCAAATGCATGTGAGATGAGGATCTGGAAGGCTTCGGCTGTGGAGCGTCGTGTGGGAACAACCACATACTATAGTTCAAAAACAAGTAGAAAGTTTGGATTATTTGGATTCTATCGTTAAAGTGCAAAGCATCAACAATAAGCAAAGCAAAAAAATTAAAGCAAAAGCCACAACCGATGATTCTTAAGCTATAACTATTGACTAAACCAACTATCGGATCAGGTGTAAAAACAATTTATTTGGATGCCAGGTTTTAAACCCGTATAAATCTCCTCCAGAAAGTATTCTACACCATTACCATTAAAAAAACATTCCAAAATTGATTAAATACAAATAAAAAAGCGATTGAAGCGTGTGGGTGAGCTTGCTATTAAATGTATCTATGTGCAGGTGGTGCTATTCAACAGATTCAAATTTGCCAAAAGCTCGCCAAAGATGGAGCCACTTAAGAATTTTGGGGACAAACAAAGAGCAGGTCCCCGAAAGAAAGACATTTATGTAGCATTGCGTTCTCAGGTTGGAGTCTAACAAAGTGGGAACAGTTGGCGGGCCTGCCTGGGAACAGTGGGCCCTCTTTCTAGCGATTCACCAAGAACTGAACTGATATTTAAATTACTCGACGATTTATCTTTAAATTGAATGCGGCAATTTGTGGTCTACTGAACTGTTGGCCACATTAAGTTTTTACTGTTATAACTACAGATTGTGATTTGATGGGTTTGTGTATTTTGTGGGTGAGCTAAAGCGAAAAGCAGATATTACGCAAGCATTTATGATATTACACCGGGTATACATTTTCAACCTTACTGTAGATCATCCTACAGAGCAGCAAAAACCAAACCGAAAGATAACGGCAATCTCTAATCACAGTCGCTTATCGGGGAGAACAATTAATATAGCGCCACCAAGGTGGGCCGATCGCCTCTATTTCTTTTCGAGTTAGATAATCGGGTAGGTTGGTGGCAACCGAAATGCGATTGCTTATTTCTGTCACGGAATCATTTGCAATGGCAAAATGGCAACAAAAAAGAGGAAAACACGCAAATCAAGTGCGTGGTGAAAAAGAGGTGACAAAAAACGGCAAAGTTTTGCATTGCAGGGGGCGTGGGTTGGGGATTATACGCGTCGAGTACGAGTACGACTATATGTATCGCCTGACGTACTGCCAAATATAGAACAGGCCACCAAATATACGTACGTATCTATCGAAAGGAATTACGTCCGCGGGTTGGATGTGTATATGTGCTCATGCCATATCCATTATCTTGACGCCCATCAGCTGTTTATATTGCCTCTTGCGTCCATTCATGGGATAACTTCCACCTATACATAGTTTTTATCCTAGTTTTATCGCCTTAATACTTATCATATCTTCTGTTGCACTTCTGTAACACCTTTGCTATTGAATTGGGTCATTTCAGCAAACTAGGTTACTTAATCAGTTAAGGTTATTTAATGAAATAAGCTGGGTATCATAATCATAAACTTTTATTTATGGAATACAGTCAATCTGGTGACGAAAGTATAGTACCCTTAACTTTAAAATTCAATTAAGAAAGCATTTTGGTTTATGATTTGTTTATATTTTTTTCAAGTTTGATTCAAAATTCCAACTAAATACGATAGCCACAATTTACGACTCACTTGACTCTTCACAGTTTTAGCATTTCATTTCTCTTATCATTGGCTTATCTCTTCGAAACGGACAAACGTGACTAGCTGGGAGATAACCCCCGAAAATCAGAAAGCCAGACGGAAAATCCAATATGAATACGAACATTTCGACACTTTGTTTTATGGAAGGGGCTGAAAATGGAGAGTGGGTTGATGTGCACTGCAATTTGGGGGATTGCGGTGCTTTAATATGGTTATACGACATCCACTGGGGGTTGAGTGCCGAAATGTTTGCACGATGCAAGTGTTTTCGGGGGTTGGACAGTCCCTTTCCCCCCATTAAATTGGAGTAGAGGGATGGAAGTTACAGAGCGAAGATGAAACTCTAAGTTGATTACATTTATAAAAAAAAACTAATAATGAGAAATGTAGATGTCTTCTCCCTGGGGGAAGTAAAAATGAATTGTAAGAAATAATCAAATACATGATTTAGTCCAGGATTCAGAAATTCAAGGCAGCGTAGATAGGAAGTTATAGAAACATCGCTTTGAAAAGTCTTTACAAGTCCCTTAAAGTTCTGAACTTAAAACCGCACCCAAATATAACGAAGCAACCACAAAATGTAGTATTAAATGACCACCACCAGTAAAAGATGCGGGTAAAGACAACATAAAATTTGGTTAGAGCATTTGTGAGTGGGTAACAGTGTGTGTGTGTGTGTGTGGGTGATTTTGTGCAGAGGGTATTACTCATTATAACAGTAAAAAGTTAATGCTTAAACTAAGATATTCTGTGTGTAGTTACTGTTACGATATTCAAACATTACGTGGGTGCAAAATTACAAAAGCATTAGCGGGATTCAACGTGTCTCCCGTGGTTCAAGATCTTGGCTTACCAGCAGTATGTCCGCAACAATTGCCCAATTCAAATTTAAAGCTAACTGCCCGAAAAAGATGAGCGCATAGGTGCCCGCCGAATTACTGTTCACCAGGAGGCATGCGCCCGTCAGCAGCGGAGCGCTCAAGAGGAGCCCGAAGGCGCAGATTATCGGATCCGCCGTCGGATATCGCTTTCCCAGGTACTGGGAAAGGAACGAGCCCAGGGGCACGCCCAGCAGGCCCGCCACCATTGTGATGACTCCAAAGTTAAACGCAACACTGAGGACGGGTTTTTGGAATTTCGGGGTACATTCGGTTAGTTTTGCCAAAGCTTTAGAACCCGACTGGCACTGCAACAAATTTAACCATCTTCAGGTATCCTCAGAAGTATATAGGTTGGACCTTGGATCCTTATGGAAAAATAAGTTTTCGTGCCATTCTGGGTGTAAACAATTAAACGAGATGGGGGTTAGGGCAAGAAAATGGGGTTTAAATAGAGCACCGCGTTGGGTGCCATCAATAATCGGCTGGCTGGCTTATAGCTTTTGATTTCTGCGCTTTGCTGTTGCTCTTGTATCTTCCATTGAGCCATCTTACCAGAAGGATGTCAGCTACTATCGACCAGCACAGGTTGAGTGCCACCTGGGCCAGAAACACGAAGAAAAAGCACAGGCTCTCGCTCGTCTGCGGGACCACCAACGCTGCAAATACCATCGGAGCCGAGATGAAGAGTCCCACCCCACAGATGTACGGGTCACAGTTCTCGTAACGTCCCCTCAATCTCTGGGCGATCAGAGAGCCCAGCGGAACTCCGATGAGACCCGCCAGCATGGCCACCAGACCAAACTTGTACGAGATGCTTGATGACGGATCAGAAACCATTGTAAGGCGCACAGCTCGATATTGGAAGGTTTAACGGGTCGGGTGTGGAAGGGGAAGTTTCAAAACCCCATTTTCACAAACTGATTTCTTAGCTGAGATTTTAGGTCTTAAGAATTGGCTTTCATAAATATTTGTTTGCTTAGTTATTAACATCAAACTGATTGATTTAAAATTGCTAGACCATTATGGCTAATCTCAGCTAATTTCGTTAAAAATGGGGTTTTCATGGGACCAAGGGCTAGCACACTTACTCGTCCTGGTCGATGTTCTCGTTGCCGGGCTGCATCCTCATGCCTTGATAGATAAAGGAAGGTCCCCACCAGGCCAGAGCTCCGGCCACGAAGGCCACGCACGTGAATCCCGCCGTAGAGAGCATGAAGGAACGGTTCTTGACCAGGGCCTTGATGTCCTGCTTGTAGGTGGTGGCCTCCAGGTTGTGCGATCCCTCGCTGTGACCCCGCTCCGGATCTCTGATGAGCATGATCAGCGGGACGGCCACGGCGCCCAGAATGGGTGTGACCCTCAGAGCCCAGCGCCAGTTGTTGGCCAGGTGAGCGGTCTTGGATCCCACAATGTATCTGGAAAAGAAAGAAGGGGTCATTGATGAGACTGATCCCGATGAATTGACTCTTAGGCCGCGTTGCATTGGCGGCCAATTAGGCTTGAATAAATTCCAATCAACCCCCCCAATTGACCCAGCACTCTAATTGAATTACGGCCGTCAATTGTGGAATTCCAAAATTAAATCAATCTCAATTTCCAGCAGAGTCACGTGACTTCTCTCACGCTTCGCCAGTGAGAATTACTGATTAACAAGCAGCCTCAAACTTTGGCCCGCATCGCATGTTGCCAGCGGTTGATAAGAAGACTAAAAAGACGGAGCGGCAGACCAGTGATAAGAGCCCATCCTCCTCCCGGATTGTTTACAGATCATTGATCTGAACATTGGACGGCAATGTCAAGCTAAACACTCACCCCAGGCCAGATCCCACGGGTATGGCAAAGTAGAACACTGCCAGCATCTTGGAGCGCATTTCGTTAACGAAGAGATCCGAGATGATCGTCGGCGCAATGGTGCTGTACGAGGCCTCGCCGATCCCCACCAGCGCCCGGAAGGTGATAAACCATCCAAAGTTCTTCATAAACGATCCCAGCAGCGTGGTTGTACTCCACAGGGCCACGCCCACCGCCATGATCAAGGGGCGGGAGTAGCGATCACCCAGATATCCAAAGACAGGGGCAAATATCATGTACGAGATGACGAAGACGGTCTGCAGAAGTCCGGCATCGTCGTTTCCGATTTCGAAATCCGTACTGACATCTGTTAGAACTCCTGAAAAATACAAACATAATTCGGGTTAGATCCTCATCTTAATATTTAATAAACATTATGGTGATTTATTGTTTTAAAAGGTAGGTCTGAGTTTGGTGCTTGGTCATTAAATGTCATTGCCTTTTAATTTATGAAAGTTTAGCTAAATTTCATGACATAACATATTGTTTATTATTTGAATGCTTTTCACAAAAGAGAAATGGCGAAAATAGGCGAAAAAAACCAACTGATATTATGTTTTTTATTTGTGGAATGCGCGTGATGTGCGATATACAACATTGTAGTTTGTACATATCAGCCCATCCCCAGCAGGGGTTGCTAATTGGAGGAATAAATAAATCGTTAATACTACACTGCTATGTATGTTCGAGTGCAAAGCCCAAATCGATGGGATCAGGGCAGAGTTGTCTCTATAATTAGCACTTCCCAGTTATTGTAGCTCCGGGATGGCTGGGAGAAAATTGCGGAAATATCGCGTGAGTTTATGGCTCATAATTTTTTGCTTTAAAAGCAATTAATTATCTCATCGATATCTATTAAACAGCAGCCTATAGGGGGTGGACAGCTTTAATTTATCACGTTATCAGTTTTGTTGGTTACATTCGAAATCGATAAATGTCGCTGTGACAATCTGGTGCCTCTTTTTATCAGTTCTATAGTGGTTGTAAGCATAATCGATGTGACGATTCGAGCTCTCTATGCAATTTTTTATCAGTTAGAGGTTGCATTATTAGCTGTGTTAATATGGTGCTTCTGACGAAAATCAGTGCCAATCTAGTGCATCTTCATCCAAATCGGTGTCATGACTTGAATTTTGATCATTGCGATCACCTTCACACACATTTTCTCAGTTATTTCCTGCACGTCTTCACCTAGGCATTTAAAAATTCATTAACAAACGGATGTGCAAGTAGCGAATTAATGGCCAAACGACCTCCGTCAATAACTGTTAGCCAGTCTAACGCTACTTCCTATAGAATATATGCAGCCAAAAAAAAAATAACAGCTTTTAAGCGCCGTCTGTCTATACATATGCCTCTCTTCGTACATTGGCCTCTGAGAATGGTCCAAAAAACAAAAATAATGAAAAGAAATAACTACTTAAAGTGCTTGCGCACCCGAAAATAAACAACGGTCTACAAAATCAGGTGGGTAAGAGGGAAAGGGCGGGCACAGAGAGTGGAGCAAAGAGAGGGGGGCAAATAGAGAGTGTTAAAACAAGAAACAGTGAGTGAGATCAGAAGCCGGCAAATGCAGCAGCAACAACAATGACACATAAAAAGCTCAACAAGTTGTGCCCCAAAATGAGAGATAGCAAAAGAGAGAGATCCGAAGCTCCACGAAACCCCACGAATTCCCCACGAACTCAAAACAAACGTGGCACGAAGTTGCCGACGCAGTGAATCAGCCTTTGCTTTTTAATTATTCCATTTTCTGGGTCTTTTTGCTCATTTCGCTTTTGAGAAATTTATCGTACGATGTTTTTCGACCAATCAGCGACCAGTGACGTAACGGTTGGAGGACGCCACGCGATAAGTCAGTGTGTGTACTGCATTGCGATTGTGGGTTGAAAGAGAGAGGCGGGGAGAGTGGTGACGGGGGGCAGAGTGGGGCTGGTCTGGGTGAGGCATTCCTTATATTTTTGTTTGTATATAACATATCTCCTACACTCAACGGGTAATCTGGTTCCACGTAAGGAAATTCCTATGTTTATGGTCTATAAGTACGTAGTACCTCACAGGGAAATTCTGTCAACGAATGGATACATTAAGTATTTTTATTTTGTTTAAGCCGGTTGCAGCAATTTATGAACCTGTTTGGATCTCTCGAGATTTTCCCTCTCTCGGCCTTTGGTTTGTTCTCTTATGTTCCCAATAAAAATGACAATGCGATTCACATTAGTAGGATATACTAAATATACAAAACTAAAACAACTCCCTTAAGTCGAATTTTCTGGAACCCAAATAAAGTGAAGTTTTAATGACACATATAATTTTATATCTATTAAAGTAATCTTTAAATTAGACATTTCCAGAGAATAACACTTTCAGAGATCAGAGTTCTAGTTCACTTTTAATTCCTACATGCACTCATAAGTACTTAAACACAGGTTCATAATTCAAGATACTAGATAAATTATGAAAGTTTAACTTTATAACATTTTGCTACCACTTTTGGCTAAGAGGTAACCATCAAAACGAACATCACTGTAGCGAGGGAAACTCCAGAACGTTGATCCATTAAAAAAGTCAATATTTAAAACCAGGCAACTGCAATACACACAACAGCAAAGGCGGGACTTCCATTACCATGAATGAAAAAGTTGTTTGTGGCCGAAAGTGACTGTTCTCAGTGTCTCCCTCTCTCTCTTTTTCCCCTTCTCTATCACCCTTTCGTGACGACTGGTGTCGCCGGCCTTGAAATATCGCGCGATTTGCGGCGTAAGCTTTAAATTCGGACGATAATTAAAGAAAATATCTGACAGATATTTCGGGCACAATTCGGAGAAAAAAAAACATTGAGGCTGTGACTTTCGCTTGGAATGCATTTGAATGCTTAGCGGAGCACACGAATTGTTTAAAGAAAACTTTCTTTTCGGTGGCCAGGTGGAAATCATTTGTGAAAGCGGCGGCGCCCAAGGAAAAGAGTTCCCCACCGAGTTCCAGACATTCCCTACCCCAACCTTTCGTACTATTCTTCGTTTTCTGCACTTGCCTTTCGTTAATTCAATTTGTTTGTGCAAAAAGTGTGAACTGCACATTGCGTAGGTCGTTGACCCAGATATATGTTTGTATATACATACATGTAGACGGAATAGAATCGTTGACGTCGAGCAGTATGCAAACCTCAAACACAATTGTGATACATTTATGCAATGCAAAAAGTTAAGAACATGCATTTAGGTACGTCTGGGGTTTGTGTAACTCGAGGAGCTCGTATCTTTGACCTATTCAAATGTTTGGTATGCATAAGCAAGCGTTTTATAACTTGGTTTAATACGAACCATTTTGGTATGGATAAGGTTTGTGTACTAAATTTAATTCGTACTTAGTTTTAATTTACTTTTAAGAAGTAAAACTGATGAGTAAAATATTTTGGTTTTGCATTTTTTAAAAAAGTGTTTATCTTGTGAGCTTATATGGAGTTCAAATTTTTGAGTTACGATATTATGACTAATTTTGAGCAGCATATATATGTATGTATTTTTTAAGTATTTCAATGTATCTCAATATTTCTCAACTTTTTAAAGAAATGCAAGAGTATTGCTGATTTAAGAGTCATGGCTATTTTTTTGTGTATCTTTTCTGTTTACCATTATTTCTTTCTTCAGCTGCGATGGCAACAAAATGGAAAGTTTTTGTGTATATCTCAAAAAAGCATATCAAGCGGAAATAAAAACCAAACTCAGCGACTCTTAACAAATGCAAAATATGCAAAATAAAGTCATCAGCATTAGGCAAGGGTAAAAGTGATTACATTGCGTTTTCAAATACGAAGAAACAACTGGCTATAAGCAAAAACAGATCTTGTTAGACTCTAACGAAATTCGCTACCAAAATTTGTGTTCGATCAATTGACAGAAGCAATTATTCTGATATTTTTCGTTGGATGGGGGCCAAGAAAACTACGTCGAAAGCACAGCAGAACGGAATCTGTGCCCATATATCTATGCCTTCATTCAGCCCACAAACCTGTTGCCCAAAATAACTGGCAGAGCTTTGGCCGATCAAAGATCGGCGGTGGCGATGCAGAAACTGTCAACAACAGAACAACACAGATCGTGATCATGAATGAAGAGTCCCCAAATGCTGTTGGCGAAACCCGTGGACAAAACATCAGACCACCAACGTCAGTACAAGCTCAAAAACTCAGGCAAAAAGCAGCAAAGTCGGAGGTCGCAGCCAAAGGCCAAGACGTACTTAAAATTATAATTAAATGCATTCCATTGGGGTGGCCAGACATCGGGTGATACGATTATATAGGCGCAGAGAAATAAATATTAATGTACATATATACAAGAGTAACCGTAAACGTGGTTTTGGTGTCGATCGGCGAATGTCGAAATTCTCATGAAAAAAGGGCAGGCCAGCAAAAGCAAAAGAAATAATGGCAAGGCAATCTAATCACTGCAAAATGGTCGAAACCCGCGTGTAAGCACCTGTGATCCCATGCAATTTATTGTGCAACGTCTCTGGTTTCAGCCACTACTTGATAAGGCCTTAAAGTGGGGGCAGGTGAAGTGATAGCAATGCCACTGGAAAATGGCAAAACAAAAACCTTGAGCTGGCTGTTGTTTATTTTAGTTTATATTTCGCCTTGTGCACACAGTATTCTCAAAATAAACACAAGTTTTCCCAATCAATTTGGCGCATATGGAAATTTTGAATTTTCCGAGCAAAGAGTGGAAAAAAAGAGATTATAATATAAGCAGTGTTATTGATGGACGACTGCTGCTGTCTGTTTGATATGTAAATGTTATCACCACTTCCTGTGAGTAATTCCTCTTCCTGTCTGATTAAAAGTCGTATGATGTTTTTTAGTCACTTTTTGCTGGTGTTACACGATTTCGGAGCTTAATATTTAGGGCTTAAAAAGGGTGCAAAATCGATTTCTAATTGTTGCTGAAGCAATCAGCTGATAAGTGATAGCCAGTAAATTGTCATTGCAAATTATTCGCAAGTCCACAAACAGTACAAGAGTTTATCGTTTGCCCTTGAATGGAAAATTTCTGCCGAGTCGACGGAAGAACCGCAAGTTCAGGTTCACAAAGGCTGAGAAATCGTTAAATTATGGTTATTATCTATAATTAAATGGACATGCAAATGAAACGGTTTGCAGTGGGCTTGAGCAAGCAAAAGGGGTGACAAACCTAACTACTTCTAGTCATAACTTGTTCAACCATGTAATTAGCGCCGTTGAGCAAAGTTTTTTATTTACACTGCGTTTGTGTAACTGAATGTGATACAACCAGACGGCAAATCAGCAATCTGAAGCCCACTACTACTTCTTTTCGAGACAGAAGTAAACAAGGAAAGGAATTTCAGTGTAGGTTTCCAGAAATAAACAAGTATCCAATTGATTGTCCACCCGCATACTCGAGTCCCATGAATTAAGAGTCGTTTCTTCGCTAATGCCTTTAATAATAAACACTAATGAAATGGGCAGTGGGTCCGAGTTTATTTATAGACCACAGCATGCGATTTCTTGGTAATTGTCACGCGGGCGAGGACTTCCTAATCACCACCGATCGCCGATCACCCACCTTGCTAAGCTCACCAGGCACCAGGTCAGGTGCTATCGCAGCTCTACTCTTTCTTTTTTATCGCACCCGAGTGTTAGGAATAATATATATGCGAAGTGGGGCTTGATTGATTGCCACCCAGTGGAAATGTCGCGAGTTGGGGGCAAAGAGGAAGCGGATCCACTTGTCGACGCATCAGTGAACCATTAAACGATCACCCGGTATGTCTGTTTTAATATTTTCGGATCGCGTGATTCATTTGTAAGCTGATTAGTCACTAAATGAATTTACGCAAATACTACGTTTCTATACAATCTTTATGGTACATTTTGTAAACAACAGACTTCTTAGTTTGACTAAGTCACAACAACAATGACTGATTAGAGGTTTTTCAACTAATGAAATGAATTGGTTTAATGATGTCTCAATGGTTATTTGTATTACATTTTTTGGACCAGAATGATTTATTATGTATCTCGTTGCTATTGCTTAATTATTGTTATTAAAAGAATAAAATTCCAAGCAAACATAACTTGTTTGTTGTGTTTAAAATTAGTTGATGTTTGGTATTTAGCGATGATTAACTTTAGGAGTGCTTTATTTAATTTTTAAAGTAGTCTTTCTTAGAGTCATTTTTGGGAAAAAACTATCGCTTGTCTCGCATAATCTTGAACCCTAGACAAATGTGTACTGGGTAAAAGGGGTTTCTAATCTAAAGTAATCGGCTTCTAAAGTGTCAACAAATTTGGTTATCTGGTGCGGACATAAAACCCCACTTGACGTCACTAGAGGCAAATTTATCCTAGTATGAGTGTCTCAGTTCGGAATGGGTGGATTCCCAGTTCTACTTTTCTGGATTGCCCAACTCACCGGCGATCGTGAAGCGGTCCATGTAGTTAATCAAGTTCACAAAGGTGATTACGGTGACGGTGAACGCCGCTGTGCTTCTCAAGGAGATTGGAGCCTCCATGCTGTCCGAATTCGAGGGCATCAAACGTTGTGACGAGTAGGTCGGAGGTATTCCGTTGGGGGAGCTATTGGCCACATCCTCCCGACTGCCGCCCTCTTCGGAGGAGCTGCTCCCGCTGCTCCCGCTCTGGCTCATCGCCGGGTTGTCCATGGCGGTCGCCGTTGGGAGCGGTTGGTAATATTGCTTCTGCTTCGTCATCCGATCCTCTCTTCTCTGCTTTCCTCCTCCTCTTTGGTTTGGCAATTCGCAGCAGACAACGCGGCAAAAGTTATTTGCACACGCTTCTCTCACTCACACAGTGAAACTCGCGACGAAAGCGGTGGGCAGCGAATGCAAAAGAATTTGGCACAGCTTTTCGCTTTTGCTTTAATCACTATTCCTGATTTATGGCCAAATGACTGTCTATAAACATCAGTTCTCAAAGCTTGTCTAATCGCGGTCGTTCTTTAAATAATCAGTGCATTTGCAGTGCTTCTCCTTTTGTTGTTTCTGGTTCCTTCCGACGCGAACGTACTTCTGTTTCCAATTCGAATCGATTGACCGCTAGAGGTGGCGAAGCATCGATGCCAACATCGGTGTCATCGATGTTTTTAAGTCATCGGTACTATCGATGTTTAGCGGGGCATCATCGATATTCTATATGTTTTTGGTCACCCCAAAAATTATTAAGTATACGTTTATTTGAATTCAAAATCAAACGACTTTTTCCTAGTGTCAAGATTTGTTTTATTTTTAAGTGCAGTGCCAAAGTTAATGATAGAAAATGTCTGGCTTCTAATTAATCTCAATCTCATCCAGGCGACCACGCACGCGGTTCTTGCGCCTGTGTTTTTTAGTGGGTGGTGGCAGGAAACTCTCCAGGAATTCAATAGTATTCATAATTGTCTCCGAGCTCACATTTCCAATGTAGTTCTTGTCGAAGTAGACAACTGGAACGGGTGCCTCCGTCGAGAGGAGCAACTTGTCGCAGTTGCAACTCTGACCCTGCTTCTGTCCCTGAATTTTGGCATTCAGGGTCTCAACCTCCACGTCTGTGGTAGTATTTGACTTGTCTATAAGGAGGATTAACTATAATTATATATTCCCGGAATGACTTCTTACCAACCAAATAAGGGGCGAAAGCACTCCTTGACCTGAATCCACTTGGTGCAAAACTGTTTGATGAAGCTGTCGTTGTTGTGAAAGAAGTTTCGGGCTGCATCGTCAACACGGTATTTCATGAATCCCGGCACATACGGCCACTTTCCCTTGGCGGCATAGAAGCAAATTATGTCTAAAAAGGATCATGAAGTAAATTCAAAATAGTATTGAATAATCATAACAAAATATAAATTTTAAAAAATCTATTGATTTATTAATTGTTATCACTAACAAAACAATATTAAAAAATTATTGACTACTTTTGGGCATACCGTTTTTCTTTAAAATGTAATATTCTCGACATTCAAACAAAAACGAAAACCACTCTGTTAATACATAATAGATTAAATCTATATAAAAGCCAACTGTATGTATGCATTAAAAAATACTACAGAATTATTTTATTTGAGTTTTCATAAAGTTTTAAGTTTGTTAGCTTTGGTACACTTATGTTTATTAGTTCAAAAATATTTAAATATGGTATAATTTATATTTTTGAGCTTGTGATAAATGTTTCTCACTTTCGTTATACTTAACTCACAGGGCACATGAAATAGGTGCAGAAATGTGCGCTGATGCTCTAGACTGGAGATCAGATGAATGCCGCTGGAGCGACGACTTGCCAGGACTTTTTTTCCGGCAAAAGGAATCTCTTCTACCCGCGCACTTTTCAGGTACGCCTCGCCCAACGTAAGAATAAAGCCCACCAAAAAGAGGGGCAAAATGCGCCAAGCTATTTTCCGACGTAGCTCCATTGATGAACTTCCCACTCGACAGCAACAAATACAACTGACGAATGTCCTGCAGGAACCGTCAAAAGCCTGAGTAATTTCAATGCGCTTTATTGATTTTAATTGCGCTCGAGGTTGACATAAATCCAGGCACTCGGGACACATGCATGTGCTAACCCAATTTGCCAGCCGCCAAAGTTCACCGCCCTTTTGAAATCGTAACTATCAACATGTTCCAATTATCATATTTCGCTCTAGTAAGTCACAGGAAATGCAGTATGTAAATGGCTCAGACATTAGCTAATATGTTACTCAATAATAACAAGATCACCAGATAGCTTAGAACAACTTATTTAAACTGCAAATAATGAATTGATTTACAATTGTTATCCATCTAGTTGTGAGAAAAGTTCGATCAAATTTCTCATTGCCGCCACGCGGCGTATACTTAATTTGCCGGCAAAACCTGCTTTCATTGCAAACTTTTCCTCGTCTTCCCCTCAAACATTTTTAGAATGTTGCCATTTAATGCACGTGTTGCAAATTTAATTTATGGCTTATCAAGTTTGCCACATTTGAAAATAGGAATGCGAGACAAACAACCATGAAAATTGGTCAATTAAAGGTTTTTTTAGTTTAGTTTATGTAAGCCCTAACCCTAGAAGAATTTTATTTAGAATTTTAGTAAATTAAGAAGAATCTTTGAGGACATTTTTAAAACATAAAGAGTGATTACAAATATACACACTACGTAATGTCCTTGTATAGCATTTTTGAATTCCAAAGATAAACCGGATGTTGGTCTGTTTATGAAAAAAACATTTTAAATATTCTATACATTTTGCAAACATATCACACGCCTCTTCGACATAAGATTTAAACCAAAACTATTCCTTGGTATCAACCATCTAAATAAACTTTAACTTTTAGTCTTAGTTTTTGGTTAACTTTTAATTTATTTGCTTAAAACATTATCTGTGGCTTAATTTTATATTCTATTTTCAGTGCCAAAAGTTTGTATGTACATTTTTTTTATCAATAAATCATGTTAAGACTGATATAATTTGTCGTTGAGGATGAGGGACCACAGCTTAACCCTGTTCGTTTGGAATTCGCTGGCCACGTGAACCTCGAAACCTTTTGAGGGAGCTGGCGCATTGGCGAATTCCTGGTAATCACAAATTCCGTTTGGACGTGACTGGAGCACCTCAATGGAACAGGGGGTCACTGACTCGACGCCTCGCGGTTTTCTACGAATGACAGTGATTCATTTAATATTATAATGCCCTCACTGCCCAATTATCCCACAATTATACTCACCCAATCTTGGCAAATTGCACAAAATAGTCCACAAACGAGTGGATTACCTTCGCCTCCGTGGAGTTGCGCTCAAAGTCAGGGAAAATCAGGGGACTACGGAACAGGTAGAGCAGATCATCGCAATGGACCACTCCGTATTTTCCAGTAACATTGGCGGAAGTGTAAGCAGTGGCGTAACTTAAGGGTCCTCGGTAGTTGAAGCTGTACAAGTAGAGAGGATTCGATGTATGGCAGACATCCTTGCGAATGGTATTATAAAGGGGCTGCTTAAAACCCCTATCCGAAATTAGCTGGCAAGTAAAAGAAGATCAAATAATAATCTTGGTAATAAGTGGAAGATCAATTAATAATTTTTGAAGATATCTAATTTATAATGAGTGAATGAAGCCATCTAGAATTATTGAATAAATCTGAAATTAAATACTTATTAACCAGTTATAAAGCTATTATTTACAATGTGTTAAGCTGGATTGAATAATGGATAATTGTATCGTTTAGTTTACCATAAACAAACAGTTTTGACTTACATCCATAAATCCCTGAACAGTTTCCTCATTGACTTCATGTTGGCCCCGGAAGTACTCCTCCACCAGGAGTTCCATGCTCTGGTTGAGCCGATCCTGGCTGAAATAGGCCGGGAACTCCATTAGCTCCTGCAGCAGCTCGTCGAAACGGGAGTTGAAGCTCTGGCAGAGTGTCTCGTTGCCCAGGATGTTCACCACCCGCACGGCACCCTCGCCGGGAACTGTGCCCAGGAGCAGGGGAATGGGAGGTCGCTCTCCCCGAGCCAGAGTGTCCCTGGGATGTTCGCCCAGAAAGGCCTCGGATCCCACTCCCTGCTCAACCACGGGTCGGAAGTTGGTCATGTGGTCCACATCCCAGAATTTAAGACCATCTCCGGCATCTAGGAGATGAGTGGCTGCCACCCTTCGAAGGGCCTTGGTTAACTTGGCAGTGCTCAAGTTGCGGGCATCTGACACCTGGGCAAACTCCGCCAGGAGACGAGCCTGCTCCAGAGGCTCTTCCGCAATGGCGAACGGCACATTGGCCGTGCCGCTCATGCTGATCACCCGATGGAAGAGGCCCTGGGATCTGGGGCTCAGCAGGTGCATGTGGGCAGCCACTCCTCCGGCACTCTGTCCAAAAACAGTCACTCTGTGGGGATCGCCTCCAAAAAAGCGAATGTTACGCTGCACCCAACGGAGGGCCAAATTTTGATCCTTCAGACCAAAGTTACCCGGCATGGCAGCATCCTGTGTGGAGAGGAATCCTTTGGGTGGGTTTAGAAAAGGAAATAAGAAACTTTGAAGTTACTTTCGCAACAGGAGCTCACCAAAGGGACCCAGTCTATAGGCCATGGTCACCAGGATCACTTCGCCCGAGTCCATAAAGTACTCAGGTCCTGTCACTCCTGGCCCCGCAGAGCCACCAAAGAAGCCTCCGCCATGAATGTAGACCATCACAGGCAGTGGTGTTTTTCTGATCTAAATGAAAGATTCATAAGTAAATTTTTAAACAGGAAGAAAAGGCTGAATCTCACCTCTGGTCTGTACACATTTAGGTAGAGGCAATCCTCCTTGCCGTAGATAACAGGAGTGGGCAGGAGATAGTTCTTCTGGATGCAGTCCATCTTCGGCTCACTGGCATCGTACACGCCCAGCAACTTCGGCATAACCTTGGGATTCTGGGGAACGGGAGATATCCTTTGGTGATTCTCATGGAGGGAACTCACACCATACTCACACTAAATCGCAGATCTCCAACTGGCGGCAGGGCGTAGGGAATGCCCATGAAGGCCTCGAACCGCTCGGACTGGAAGCCCTGGCGATGGATGCCCTTCAGGCAGCCCACGCTGGGCGGGCACACGGTGAGCCGGTCCAGCGGTGGTGGCCCACTGACCAAGGCCATGGATAGTTGGCCAAGAAGCATCAGCATCAGCAGCAGCAGCAGCAACAGTAGCGGCGCCCGTGGTTGAATCATCGCCGGCGGTCCACGAAGTGACTGAAAACAGAGCTAATGGATCATTAATTATGCATATCGATTGGTTATTTATGATCAATTTTGGGCCTTCCACCACTTTGTTTTGATTGGCCCAAGATGATGTCAACGTTAAATCGGTATTAGATGGATTTCTAAGTGATCGCTGGATCGCTCCTGATGGAAAAGCTGAACTCACTGCAAGTGCTGGTGGGGAGAAAATCTCGCGAAGAACCTTCCGCGACAGAGGCCCAAATCGATCTGACGGCATTCGAGGGCAGGCGTTTATTTTTTAATCGTGAAGAAAACTTTACTACACAGCCCGTCCGACTCTATCGTAGTGGCTCTCTGCCCACAATCTTGGCAGAGTGACTGAACTCGCTGTGGAAAATTTATACAGAGCAGGGCGATCAACGAGCTGGCTGCGGCTGGAGATCGGTTCACACGGCGTATGCTTGATCAGAGCGGATACCAATTGATCTGGAACTGCATCTAGCAGCGACCTCAGTCTCGAGCCAAATCTGGTTGGGGTAATTTGAAACACGCGCCAGAGCGACTAGAAAGTGTTTCCCGGTGAACGTTTGCATCGCAGCACTTATTACTCTGATCTGCGATCGAAACTTTCGCTTTTATCCTGTTCACCCATCAAATTAGGCTTCTAACGAACTTCCTAATAAATGACTCACGCGTAAAAGAAGCGCTTTTAATAGCAACCATAAATTAACTAATTATCAATAATATAAAAATAAAATAATATTTTATTTCTATTTTTTCCATTCTTTATTCAGATAAGACCTCTAATCAGGTATAGCTTTTATAACTTAATTATTGACAGGGGAAATCACACATAATCTTTTAGACAGGTGTGAAGTGATTACTTACTGTATTCCTTAATGCGATCTTTGCTCCCTGACTTTCGCTCTTATCCTCCCATAAAACCGCGTCACGCTTTCACTCTCTCTTATCAACTTCAACTGGTTCAACTTTAGACCGTAGAATGGAAAAAGTCTCCAGGCAAGATGTTTCCCCTATCGCGTGAGATTTATTACTCCCCGGATCGACGGCAATCTTATCTCACCGCATGTCGCCGGGCCTTTTATTCGCACTTAATCTCATTTCGTGCAGATTCTGCATATGTAAATTGACCTTCGAATGACAATTGGGAGATGGGGTAGCAGACTTTTAAAGAAATGGAACGCTGGTGGGGCGCAATTTACAATGCCTCAATGAAAATCTGGGGTATCTATAGCAGATCCCATTACAAGATCCGTTCCATTTAGCGAATTAAGCAGATTTATTTAGCTCACTCTTAAATTAACCCTTTCCAGATGAAATCGGACTGTGAAATATGTAAATTGCTTTATAGAAATAACTTTTTCCATATGGGATAGGCTGTAAGTTGCATACTACTCCGGATATCTTCCTCGTATTTTTCAGTGTTGCCACCAAAATGGAAGTAGTTGCACATTTTCTGATCCACAAAATCAGACGCCTTACAGGTAGAGCCTTCATAAAATATCCTAAAGGGATTGAAACAAATAAAAAAAACCTTTGATCTTATAGGTATTTCCAAGCTCACCCAGTTTTGGCAAAGTCCGTAGTTAGCGAAGTAATCCTTTGGACAACCTTGGCATCTAAAGAGTCCTTGGGGAAATCCTCGAAGAGAAACGGCATCCTAAGGGTGTGCAGACCGTCATCCATATGACCTGCTCCGAGTCCAAAGTCTTCATGTGTGGAGCCACCGTAAAATAGAGTAACTGAGTGCAGGCCTCCAAACTCAAAGATGTATATGGTCAGTGGATTCTTTTCTAGATCTGCAAAGCTCGCATAAGACGAAGCAGTTTCATAAATCGGATAATAAAAGTTAAAGTCCCCGGAGATTTCGGCCAGAGAGATCATGGTGTCATTGTTAAGACTGTCTCCCTGAAAACCATAGGCATCCAGTATGTCTCTGACCATATCTGTAGAAGTTCCCTCGGGAAGGTTGAGCACCATGGCCAGATGTTCTAGAAAGTTTTCATTGAAGGCAGCCATACGTTGGGGATCCGAAAAGGCGCGCAATAAGCTAAGGGAACCCTCGCCAGCTCGAGAATTCAAGCTAATTACCCAGGGCACCTGGTTAATCCGACCTTCCAGGTGGGCCTTCAGGGGATCTTCAACCAAGAAAGCATCGGGGGATCCCACCTCCTCCACGACAGGATGACTGTGTAGGTGGGGCACAGGGTCAAAGGTTATTAAACTGTCCACACTGAGGAGAAGTTTCATGGGATCCACATCTCGTAAAGCCTGGGCGAGATCCTCGGTACTGAGACTCTCCGCTCGATCGATGCCCATCTCCTTGGCCAGCTTCCTTGCTTGACTCAACGGGTCCTTGAGGACCGATACGGGTGCAATAAATGCGGTGCCAACCAAGGACATGGCTTTGTGAAAGAGACCTGCATAAAATGCACTATATATGTGAAATAAATGTTCAAGAGGAAATCGCCAACTCACCCTTGGAGCCCGGACTTATCATATGCAAATGTGTGGAAATCCCGCCTGCACTGTGCCCAAAAATAGTGACCTTCTGAGGATCTCCTCCAAATGTAGCTATATGTTGTTGTATCCACTGCAGGGCCAACCGCTGATCCTTTAACCCGAAATTTCCAGGCATGTTCTTATCGCCAGTGCTAAGAAAACCTAAATAATATTCTTGTAAAGTGAGAAGTTACTAATATATAGCCAGATCACTAACCAAAAGGACCAAGACGATAGCTAATTGATACCATAACAACCCTGCCGGTGTCCATTAAATACTCTGGTCCACTAGCCACTGGATGGGCAGAGCCAGTGAAGAAACCACCCGAATGAATGTAGACCATCACGGGCAGGGGATTATCATCTCTTTCCTAAGGCACAGAAATTAGGACATGACTGCTTGAAGGGATTAGGGTTTCTCGTCGTACCTTGGGTCTGAAGACATTCAGGTAGAGGCAATCCTCCACGCCCATCACAAGTCTGTCGTTTGCAAAGTAGTTCCTCTGCAGGCAGCTGTCTTGTGCCATTCCAGCATTGAGTACTCCCTCCCAGGCAGCAGACGGCACAGGATTCTAGGAACAATATATTAATTAAATCCTCCTGAATCCTCCAGTGTTTCCAAAAACCAATCCACCTTAAGACGTAGCGGACCAACTGGTGGCTGGGCAAAGGGAATGCCCATGAAGGCCTCAAACTCTCCACTTTGATATCCTGGCATCATTGTGCCTCGCAGGCAGCCTATATCCTTCAAGCACACATCCAAGGAATCGCCATAAGCAACAGCTAAAAATATCAGAGCTCCCACTCCGATGAACAGCATCTTGACACGATGCCAGTGGGCCCGATTAGAACTTGCATTTATACCCAATCTACTTGCCTAAAGTGTTGGCAAGCACCAATGCCTGTAATCTTGTCCAGAATTGATAACAGCAATTGTCGAATCCTAATAGGTTTTTATTTCTGTATTTTAAGTACAAAAGCGGGGGTAGGCTGCCCACCAAAGCTAAACGTATATGATACACAGATATTATGACGTCGATTTAGCCTAAACACGCATTCAAACCGAGCTTAACGATTAAGAGGTATAACTACAAGTATATATTGTCTATATAACATGGCGATTTAACTAACAGAGAACGATTCGATTTGGAGAAATTGATCTAAATTACAGCCTTTGAAACCAGAACTATTTTTAGAACTACGATCAAATGGGTGGTAGACTGCGGCGCTGCGTGGGCGTCAATTCCGGATGCCACATGTCCAGGATGAGCACAAGGCGGGCCTGGGTTCCATTGTGCCACACCTCGTGCTCGAAGCTGTCGTCGAATATGAACAGCTCACCCTCACGCCAAGTTCTAAAAATTGTAAAAAATTAATAACTTATTTATTGTAATTGTAAACGAATATATCAACTCACCTTTCCTGCTCTGCCACTCGTAGAGAGGTTTTCTCCGGCTCTGGAGCAACTAGCGTGAGGTGCGCCCTCAGGCGGCAATTGGTGGGTCCACAGTGCGGCCACACATGCGTCTTGGCCTGCATCACACTGAACTTCACCTGGCCGCGACGACAGCCGCTGGATTCGGAAAACTCCTGCAGCAGGCTACAGGTGATGGGAGTCCTGCGACAGTTGTCCTTCACGCGGCGCCCTTGGGCATACAGCTCGAACTGCTGCCACACTCCCTGGTCACGCAGCTGTTCTGCCTCATCCTCGAAGTATCCACTCTTGCCCAGCAGAGCCATCCCCTCATCCCGAATGGCGCGCCAATGGAGCTGCAGTTTCTCCAGCTGCCGCTCGTAGCCCGTCTCCTTGGACTGCCAAAAAGACTGGGCCTTCAGCCTGGGCTCATTGTACAGTGATCTCTGATAGAGGCTGGCAAAGAACCCTTTTGCTACACCTTTCTTATAAACATCCAGGGCTTCCGACTGCCTGGACAAGCGTTGTAGGGTCTCACCCAGCGACAAATAGAAGAAAGCCTCCTGGGTGCCCTCCTCCTGGGACTCCACTGCATATTTGAGATAGGGCAGAGCCTTGACGTAGTCTCCACGCAGCTGCCTGAGAGCCAGTCCGTAGTGAAGTTGAGCCACTGTATTGGTTGGCCACTGTTTCAGGGTTTCCAATGCCACCTTTTCCACCTGCTGAAGACTGATGGGCAATCATAAGGTGGTTGGGGTTCAAAGCCTCTGCCTCACCTACTTGTTGACCATGAGATGGGTGAGTGAGAGTTGGTTACGCAGCCGCGGATCCTTGGGCAAACGCTCGATAAGCAGCTCGTGAATGTTGGTTGCCTGGCGGTGGTGACCTGAAAACCAAGAAGCCGTGAAAGTAGCGATATAGGTAGAAAGGAAATCCCCGTTCTCACCCAAAAATCTCAAGTTCTCAATACAGCTTTCGCCAGCAGATGTAAATTCCTGGTCACTGATCACCAGCTCGCCAAAGGCCAGGTATCTTTTGTAGGCATCAATGGCTTCCCACAGGCGCTGGTTGCTGCGCTCCTTCTTGGACAGGAGCTCCAGGATGCGGGCTCTTCCCAAATGGGCCAATGGCTCGTGCGCAAAGTTGGTGGTGAGCGTGTTAAAGGATCGCAGGGCTTGGGCATAGTTCTTTTGGTGGGGATATTAGTTCGCGGTTCGCCAGCCAAAACACAAAAAAGGGGTTAGACAAAGGACGAGAAACATGCAATTAGTACAAAATCATTCTATCAAGAAACGAAACGCAGTTGCCAGCGGCTAAAAGGATGAGCCCATGCCCAAAGATTCAGCCAGTGGGTGTGTATTGGTTGGCGGAACTGGTCATGAGTTCATCCTATCCAAATTAACCCACTGAAAAGTGCATTTCTACAAATACATATCTAAGGTTAAATCTTAGTTGCTCTTACGTGGCTAAACAGTTATAAGATCTAATGAACTTGACAAGCAAAACATAAACTAAAGCTTTGAAATGAGTTGTGTTTGTGATTGTTATTTAGTGATTGTTGAGCTGGAGATATATCGAAGATATGTCAAAGTTCCTTGGGTTAATCCTGGTTAAATGCACACCATCGATTGCGACCTACCTCCCTAATCATCTCCTCGTTGGCCTTTCGCAACTCCTGCTCGAAAGAATCCTCTTTCTCTGCCGGAGCAGCGGCAGCTTCTTTCGGCTTGATTTCTGTTTTGGGGATTGAAATCCGAATTATAATGTGATTTAAAAATAAACAGAGTAGTGAAATTTTGAACGGTTACGGCCTAAAGAGCTCCACCTTATGTTATGTGAGTTGATTGTTTGTTTCCTACAGCTAGCACTTACGATCTGTTATGTATAGCGATCGGTTTGTCGTGTGTCTTAAAGTAGAGTGTTTACGATAACTTAAGTGATCGATCGAAAGTATGTCGGATGGAGTATGGAATCGGGTGCTCATCGACAGACGTGGTGATTTGTGCGTTTAGTAATTACGTGTCCAGCTGGGGTCGTCGGAGTCAGGATCGCTCTCGAACTCCTTGACGGGCAGACGGCCGTACTTGGCCTCCAGCCGGTTCATCAGATCGGCGTCGTCCACGTCGGAGATCTCGTCCTCCTCGTCGGTGATTTCCTCATCGCTATCATCCTCATGCTCGTAGTCCTCGATGGCTCCGTCCTCGTACTCCACATAGATATCGCTGGGACCGGCCTGCTGTTCCGGCTCCTGTTCCTTTTCCTTCTCCTTCTCCTCGACTTTGGTTTCCTTTGCGGGCTCCTTGGCGGACTTGTACATGGAGTTCAGCTGCTCGAAACTCTCGAGCACATAACCGCCAACGGAGGCCACGTTGTCGTCGCTATCGTGTCGCACCATCTCCTCCTCCTCCTCGATGTCGCTGATCTCCACCTCGATCTCCTCCTCGATCTCGATTTCCTCCTCGGAGTATTCTTTTTGGACAATGGGATATGACTTAAATTAAAACCCTGGACTTGGCCAGACTTATCATATAGCTCTGGCCTACACATCACTTGGCAATCAAGTGATCTGAAAGCAACTTCGGCTGGCCGAAGTTTTGGCAATAATAATTCACATCTCCAACCATCGTCCAGCAGGGGAAGCTCCTCCACATCGTCGGGTATGTGGTCCTCGGCCGTGGCAATCGTCAATCTCCGCCTCATTATGGCCTCTGGTGCGGGCTCATCCTCAGCTGTGCATTCACCACGGGAGATTCGTACGTTATTCGAGTTAAGGGATTATTAATCGAGCAAGAACAAAGCCATACAACAATTTCCGTACATACATACATGGTGGAATAATTTAAACAAAGCTGTGACTACAATCAGATTCAAGAAATAATAATAAATCATAATCAAAATAAGCTAATTGAAGAAAGTGCAAAATAATGAGGGGTCGTGGGTTCTCAGAGTAAAATCAAAGAGAAACCAGGCCCCCAAGTTTGTTTTAGTTCTGTTAATACATCGATAATCGAACACGAGACATTGAGATCATTTTTTAATTCTACCAATTGCTTGGTGGGTTAGAATGGAAAGCGGCGCTTAGTAATGATTACTCAAAAGATTCCCCAGAGTAAGGATTATTCGTTAGCATAACATCTGGCGTGCTTGGCGGATATAGATAGAGATCAAGATCAAGAGCATTGAGCGGAATACAAAGAGCGGAGATTTGGGGAGCAGATCAGCATTGAAGACTCACTTGTATTTGGACTTTTCCTTATCAATACAAGGCGTGAAACTAAGGCAAGTGCAACGCCAACGCCAAATTTAACGGCAACTGTAAATGAGTCAGGTTTTAGTATCAGAAAACAAACAAATACCTTTTGCACTTTCTTGTACAATTTTGGTTTCAATGTTCTTGGTTTTGTGGGTGTTTTTTCTTTTTTCGTTTTTTTTGGAGTAAGGTGGAGCAATTCTGTCTGTCAGTTCTTAAGGTTCTAGGCCTGCGAGATCCGTTAACCGTTCAAGTGTTCATTCCATCCTTACTTACGTGATGCCAACCAAGAGGAGCCCTCTTCTTTGGGCTCCTCCTCATCATCCTGGTCTTGATCCTGCTCCTGGCTATCTACGGCTTGTGCTGGCTCGGGATCGTTTTCAAACTGCTGATCGAGGGACTCAAAGTCGTCATCATCGGCATCATTATTGTCTTGTTCCTGAAATAAAGGTTTAAATCACAAATATTAAACGTGAAGTACTAACTTTTGAATAGTCAATGCTACTCACCACATCATCATCATCATCGTCATCATCCGCGGCGGGAACACTCTGTGCTGCAGATTGTGATCTGGGCGGCTCAACGGACTCTTCGACCTCCTGCTCCTGCTCCTCTTCGTCCTCATCATCCTCTTCCTGCTGTAGAAATATAAATTTTGTTTAGAAAAAGGTTTTTTTTAGTAATTATTGATTTTAACCTCTTCAGCTTCTGATGGTGGGGCTTCAGTGGATTCTACAGCATCATCATTATCAGCTTCAGGTTCAGCTTCCTCCTCTTCTTCATCTTCCTCGTCTTCAGCTTCATACTCGGCGGTGGCTTCCGTGGTGGCCTCCACAGTGGCTTCCACAGTGACCTCCACAGTGCCTTCGTCGTTATCCTCCTCATCATCTTCCTCTGCGGTTATGTTTTCACCCGCATTGTTCTCCTCGTCTTCGTCCTCCTCATCTTCATCTTCTTCATCTGCCTCTGGTTCCTCCTCCTCAGCTGGCTCTTCCTCCTCTTCTATTTCTTCTTCTAATTCTTCAGAAAGGGGTTCTTCTTCTGGAATGATAAGGTTTTTAACAATTTCGGCAAAGGAAAAAATAGTAAAACCCACCTTCTTCTTCATGATCATCATGCTCATCATCGTGCTCATCATGATCGTCATGCTCATCCAAGGCTTCTCCCGAGGGTTCATGGACATCATGGGCATCATGCTCATCTCTATGTTCATCCACCCAACCATCAAAGACTTTGGAGAAACGCGACTCCGACAGAGGAGTGTCCACTAAAGGAAAACACTCTTAGTGCAATCATTACATCTTAATAATTCCAAGACTTACGATCCTCCAGCCCGCGGTTCTCCATGATGATCAGACCCACCAATCCCAGCAGCACGGCCATCAGACCGAAGAATATGATCTTGGCGCACCAGTGACCCCCGGTTCCGTGTTCGTGGTGCACGTGCAGGTGGAGATCTTCGTTTCCCATCTTTGTAATGTGAACGCCGTGCGACGACTCGTCGTCATCTGAGATCGCAACGTTGCATGATAGTGAGTAACAATAAGCACATGTGATTACAAACAGTTTAATTGAATGCACCTTCAGGCGCCGTGGGGATGGATTTACATGGATTTAGTATCTGTGCGAGACATTTAATTAATTTGGCAAAGCATTCAGGGGTTGGTGGGGAATTGAGATCGAGATGCAGGGTATGTTTTTCTACCTTGAAAGCTGGACTGACGCAGAACAGTCACATCGCCCTCGGACTTGCGATCATCTAGACAAAAACGTTAGTTACAATGAGATACGATATACGGTGTACCGGCTTGACAAACTGATAAGAGGACGAGGGGTTTTGTTTATGCCTAAATATGCGCAACAATAAACAAAGAAGCCGCCAGTCATGCTCTTGGGCAGATGGCCAAGTGAAAATAAATGGCTTTACATATAACCGTTGGCTACTTATTCGGTGCGGTGGGTGTAATGGCCCCAGCAATTTCACGGAAGCATCATCTAGATTCATGATCTCCGTTGCATTGGATTCAATTTGCCGCCGAGGTGACTTCTCCTCGCTCGAGGTGAGTTCTCCATCCTCAGGCGCGGAGAACTATCTCCCAGAGAGGCAGAAAGAGAGTGAAAGATAAGAGGATTTCCCCAGGGACGGGGAACATCTGTGTGCCTCGAATAAAGATATATATCTTCGTAAAGATAAATCAAAGAAAACCACTCTCTCTATTTTCGATTTTTGCACCCCGATTCAATGCCCTTCTGCAGGCCTTCTGCGAAGCAAATGAAATATCCACTTCTTGGTCCCCCGCACACGTCATGCATATATTTTCCTGCTCGATCGGCACACGCATAGCGACAGAAAACAGGCGAGATGTATAATTTTATATAATAGGGCAAAGTTATTTTTAAAGGCACTCGACAATATTATTATGCTAATAAAAGAAATGAACTGCTTGCTACGCGGCGGCAGCGGCGACGAAAAAACGAATTTTACACCAAGTAACGGCTTATCCGGTGGGATTTTGAAAGGTAACCGTCAAGGACTTACCGCGTTTCCGGCGCTTATCCTTTCGCTTTCGCGGCTGCACATCGCCCGACATTTTGCTCGACAAGCACTAGATTTATGCCAATTTGATGGAGAGCGGTTTGTTTTTCCTTTTTGAGCGGAGCGGGCAAAGCGGGCGATCTTGATCGGCGAACGGCACGTTACTAAATGTGAATACCGCTCGCGCCGTGCGAAAATTATTTATAAAGCGGGCGGCGCTGCCAGATCCGGTGGCAAAGATGACAGCTAGAGATGGAAGGTTGTTGGCCGATATTTAATAAATATTTTAACATATTAAAATTAGTATTGAGTTACATTTTTGCAAGTAAATTATATTCATCTACTTTATATAAGATGAAATTTTAAGTCTGAAATTGTAAATCCAAAACCTGACTGTAACTAAAATAGAAAAAACAAATATCTCTTTCATTGACTCCCTTCTATGAATGAATATCAAATTAAAAACTTAATCTTTCCTAGAGTGCTGTATCTCAAATAGAAAATAAACCTTTTTCATAGTCTTCCTTCTTCTTCCTATCAAAATAAAAACTTGTTTTTTCCTAGAGTGCTGTATCTCAAAAAGAAAGATTTCTTTTTCATCGACCTCCTTCTATATAATTACAAACTTATTTTTTCCTGGAGTCCTTACAGGGGAATCCCAAAATATCCAATTATACCGATACTAGGTAAAATCGCATTACTAATCTGAGTGTGTCACCAGTTCAATCATGACACATAAACTATACAACGTTCTTATCTTTGCGTGTGTTTCATCATTGTTTTCATTTGAGTTTTAAATGCATAATACTACCTAACAATCTAATTCAAAAATTTATATTAATTTTATTATAAATTAACGTAGATAACCGCTTAAAAAAGTAATTCAAAATGTAAAATTCATGCGCAATGTGGACCAAAATGTCGTGCTCCTGCGTGCTAGAGAAGTGCGTCACGCGCCCATCTCGAAGAGAACCTACCCCGAGCCCAAGAAAAACAAGAAAACAATACACAATTGTGCGACGGTGGTGCAGACGTTCTCCGTGTGATCCGATCAAACGGACCAGGAGACCAGGCGACTAGGCTAAATCCGGAGGTCAGCGGTACTAATGGCCGGCGACATGTCGATCGGCTGTGCGGCACTGAAGCGTTCCAGCAAGCTGAGGTCCTGCACCAGTGCCGCCGACACGGACTCAATGCGGGTGCCCAGCGACCACAGGGACAACGGGAGCCTGGTGAAGCCGCCTCCCATTCCGCCCCAGAATATGCGGGGCGGCCTGCGGGTCTACAAGATCGTCATCCTTGGCGACGGAGGCGTTGGAAAGTCAGGTGAGATATCTCGGTTACCCCAAGAAAGTGCCCAGTTATCACTGCGCACTTTGATTGTGCCTGCGAAAAATCAATAAATTATCTCAATTTCTTTTACGCTTTGTTTTGGCCACCCCGCCAACGCGCCACCCAACCACCCACCGCCCCCTGAAAACGACGACGAAACCCGAACAGCTGTCACCCTTCAGTTCGTGAGCCACAGTTTCCTGGACTACCACGACCCCACAATTGGTGAGTAAGGCGTAGGGCGACCGAGGACCATCCCCCCTCTAAATGTATACCGGTTTTTCCCCCGCAGAGGACTCCTACCAGCAACAGGCGGTCATCGACAATGAGGCCGCCCTGCTCGACATCCTTGACACCGCCGGCCAGGTGGAGTTCACGGCCATGCGGGACCAATACATGCGGTGCGGCGAAGGTTTCATCATCTGCTACTCGGTCACCGACCGCCACAGCTTCCAGGAGGCCTCCGAGTACCGAAAACTGATCACCCGAGTGCGCCTGTCCGAGGACATCCCGCTGGTTCTGATCGCCAACAAGGTGGACCTGGAGTCGCAGCGTCGCGTGACCACCGAGGAGGGCAAGAACCTGGCCAACCAGTTTGGCTGCCCCTTCTTCGAGACCTCGGCCGCACTACGACACTACATCGACGATGCGTTCTACACACTGGTCCGCGAAATCCGGCGCAAGGAGATGCAAAAGGCCCTGGGCACAGACTCCAACTCGGAGAAGATACACACGGGTCGCAGGAGCCGCTGGTGGCGCATCCGATCCATCTTCGCTTTAGTGTTCCGGCGCAGGCGAAACCTCAACTAGACCCAGGATGCTGATTTCTTTGAACGAGTGCAATATTAACCACACATACGAGTATTTTTTGTTCGCTATATACACGGTTTGTATATAGCATAACGCCCATCAGATACAACCTACAAGAATTTAGCGATCGAGGAGGAAATCTAATTGTTACGGCCACAGTGGTTTATTTATTATTTGTTAAAAAAAACTATCTAAAGTACTTGTTGTTGAAAAAGATGGCGAGGCGGTAGAGCAGCGATAGAGTATATCAATACGTTTAAGCACCGATCCAAAAGATACATATTAACAATGCACGTACATATGTTTATGTAGTAAATATTACTAACGTTGATTCCTAGACGAAAGCGATTAAGGAAGTGTGGCAATTGGCCGAAGCTCAAAAGCATTTAAATTCAGCAAGATCGAAGGGGTGAGCGTAAGCCCCTAATGAACAATCTGATAACTCTGAATCCTAGCCAGGAGATTAACCCAAATGCCAGTTGCCAAGTGAGCAGAGCGGATTAGCAGACGATTTTTAAACTTATGTATGTACGTATTTACCCAGAAGACACGCACATGACATACGACACAAGCAACACATTTAACTAATCGAATAAATGTTGAATTTAATGTATACTAATATTATAAATCGAACGATCGACCTAAGTATGTAAAACGCGGGAACATTGCAAATAACGAAAGATGAATGAGAGTGTACGTTTGTTCAGATCCAAGCCCAAATTGATAACGATAATTGATAATTTAAGCCCACGTCAGCCGATGCATTTGTTGTTTAAGTTTGAGAAATGTTTATTGTTTATATTGTTAAGGACACGTGTTACGCCTAAGTTTATTTATTATTAGTTTAACCAATCTGTTGATTACTTTTTAAACAAGCAGCCTCACATCACGATTTCTAAGCATTCACCATGAGTTCCTCTCATCAATGTTAACTGTATCACCAGAAACGAAATACTAACACGACTTAAATTACTCTGTTTGTTACGTGATCCCCAAGAAGTTGGGCGGACTACCATAATTAATTGTTATTGCAAATCATTTCAAGTAATCCAACAGATCGACTTACGCAAACAACAGCTTAACGAAAACGAGTAATCAAATGCGTGTAGAAATATAAAGAGAGAAAAGCTTTCGCAGAAAGTAAAGCGATTAAAAAAATACGTTTTAAGAAAAGTATTGGGAACTATATGTTCATTGCACTTTGCCATGTCCATGTCGTTTCGAAAACGTCATACCTGTTCGGGAAGCAAAGCCAATAATAATGGATTGTAATACCTATTTGAGAGAAAACCAAAACATTTTGATCCATAATGTTATGTACATTTTAAATGTAAAAAAATGAAATACAAAAGCACAAAATAAACAAAAACAATCCCCTCAATAAAGATTTTTTTGGAACCCCGTTAACGGTGCTAGTTTTTATTTGATGGGGTCTTCTAATTTTGTGGGGGATAAACAATGACAAAATTTCGACGATACGGGATTTGACGATCCTCTGGTGACTTCATCTTAGATCTTCAAGGATGAAATGATATCTCCGTTTTCCGATTCCTCCTTATCAAGGGTCCTTCGTTATTTTGTTGAATATTTTTATCAGAGTCCTAGGTCAGGTAACTGGGTAACTGACCTAGGATTATTATTTTACTGATATTAAGGACTTTTCCCAGCCAAATTAAACAGTGAGTTAAACCAAGAGTAGATCAAATGTACTGTTTATTCATAAGTATAATATAGTTTGGTTGTATCTGATGCATCTTCGAGTTTTTCAACTTCTGTGTGAGAATTACACGATTGACGGTACAAAATACAAAAAAGAGACATACACATATGTACTGTATAGTATAATTATATGTATATTCGTATTTTATAAAATCATAAAATACTCTTCATATAGTTTGGTTGTTTTGTAGTATCTTTTTTTATGTTTTCCACACGTTTTAATGCAAAGTACAAATATTAAAAACTCGCTTAATGCGCTCGAAATAGTTGTTTCACTTCATCAAAATTTCTCCCTTTTAGCTTCTCCCACGCGAAAACTGAATGCATCTCATTTGTGGCTTACGTTTAGTTTAATAAACATTTATCGTTTTTGTTTTGTGTTTAGTTCGGTTCTTGTAATGTAGTTTCACTTGCATCTTCTTCTATTGGCGGTCTGGTCTCTCAGTATCTGATAGATTTAAAGGGAACATAACTCTCATCTTATCTTCTCGTCGCCTAAGCTTGCCTTGGACCCCGGGGTCCAACTTTTAATTCCGATCGATTCCACTGCTTCACCTACTTCACCCACCCTCACATGCAATACAATCTCATCCTGCCACAGCCGGCTACACTCGACAACATTGATCACGAAATTAAAGAACATCATACATCAAGGAGGGGTGGACAGAAACGGACACAACTTGAATATGTTTACATATATCGATATATATTTGCTTGCAGTGGCTGACTGATCGATCTGCTCTGCCCTAGGGTTACAAATAATAATGCCATAGTTATTACTGTGTTTACTTCGGTTTATAACTACACTAGACTGTATATAAAATCAAATCCGCATTTGACATTCTACTTGATGCTGTCTTCCCTTCTTCCGCTGCTCCCTCCGCCGATATTCTAGCTCTTGCTCTGATTCTGGTGTTTCTGCTCATGTTGTTGCTGTTGGGTGGTGCAGCTTCGTGTATCCGATGTTGTGGTTCTTGTTGTTGTTGAGTGGTTGTTCAGCTCGTTATTGTTGTAAAAGGTGTGTATGTGTTCGTGTGTGTGTGTGTGTATGCTGTTGTTGTTGCTGTGTGTGGTAAAGATTTTCATGTTGTTGATTTGCTCTTTTAGAGCAAAAGGCATCTGGTCTTCTTCCTCTTTTTGACTTGCAGCGCGGCCCTAGTTGCCGTCTCGAAAACCTCCCGCACACCCTCCTTGGACTTGGCCGAGCACTCCAAATAGGCAAAGGCATTTATCTTCTCGGCCATGGCGCGACCCTCCTGCGGCTTCACCGGCTCCTGCTTCATTTTTGCTAGATCCTGTGAAAACGATTTAATTAGCACTTCAGTTTCAACAGAGGTCAACGGTGCGAATACTTACCCGAATTGTGTTAGGATCATTTCGCAAATCTTTCTTATTGCCTACCAAAATGATTGGAACATTTGGACAAAAGTGCTTGACCTGCAAAAATAAATAATGATATTAGATACATTTTTGGAATCATTTATAGACAAAGGTCTTAATTCTGTATATACTTCTAAGACAATAACTAAGTGTAATTATTAATTAAAAGTGATGAAACCTCTAAAACCTTTGTAGATAAGAAATTGGAGTCATCAACCCTTTGACGCAAGGTTGCTAGCTATTCGAAAACAAATTGTGAACCACCACGAATTACTAGTAATTAGTAACCAGGAGAAAAAAAATCGAGTATGTTTACATTAAGATAAAAAAACAAAACATTAAGATAAAAAAACAAAAAAATTACAAACAATCTATTCTATTTTCAAAAAAATTCGAATAAATTCTATACAATTTTAAATATATCTTGACTTAAGATGGTAAGGATTTGTAAAACTACCTAAGGTTCTTGAAGTTGCCCTGTAACTTGCAGTAGTACTCACCTCTGGTGTCCATTTTTCAGGAATATTTTCTAGCGAATCGGGTGAATCCACTGAGAAACACATCAGTATAACGTCAGTGTCGGGATAACTCAGCGGTCGTAGTCTGTCGTAGTCCTCTTGCCCGGCCGTATCCCACAGGGCCAGCTCCACCTGGAAATTGGATGAATATTATGAATGGGGATTGCAGTTGCAGTTGTGTCATCATAGCGGTAGAGATATGTGTTTCTGGGCTTTGGGGGATGGGGAGTACGAGTTGGGAGACAAGACAACTTCAAACCGAAGATAGCGGGAGAACGAACTTGCTTATGAGCAAGGAACTTGGCGGAAATGCCAAACGAATTAATCACATCGAAGCGAGGCGAAGTAGAATGACGTGAACCGTGTGTATGTAAACGCTATCCAAACAGAAATACAAACAGAAACTGAAAACCATCGTATCGCCATCGTATTGCGCAGCAAAGGCAAACACTGTTTATTTCAAAAAGCCCCTCAAAATATTGGGAATCCGAATGGAATATATGGCTATAGTCAAATCATGACTTAATGCCCCTTGGAAATCGCACATTACATTCGGGAGAGTGGGAAACAGAGTACAGGTAGGCAGAGAGAGTAAAATGAGAGAGAGAGAGAGAGCGGGGGGCGGCGCAACGCGTAAAACTGTATGTGCGCAACGGACTTGTATAAGACAAATACAAAATAAAAGAAAAGAAAACGAGCGGAAGGAAGGGAGCAGTTCTACTGGTATAAGTGTAGCCAACTCTCTGTTTTAGTGTGTGTGTGTGAGTGTGGGGAAATGTGGCCAAGTGTGACTTAATCACTGCTATCAAAAGTGGGGATTCTTCTTCCGAAAATTCAAAATTTGCACTACCTAAAAGATCTAGTTTTTCCAGACACCTTTCTTTTATTTGTGTCTGTGGGAATCAGGCGATATTGACTCATTTTCTTTACAAGGGAATGCGAATGGGAATAAAAGGAAAGGCTGTAGGTGTGGGTGAAGTTGTGGGTGGCACAAACAAGAGAACAATAAACACACACCCATGGGAACACGAATACAATCGCAGACAGAAAGTGTAAAGAGGATACTCGCACTTGAAACGCGAATGAATTGAATGCACATACAAATTATAAAACGAGATCAGATGATTATCACTCAGGTTCTACAGGGTGGGGTTATCGGGGGGCGGGGGAGTTTAGGGGCTTCAAGGGGTTGGAAAAGCTTACCTGTTTGCCATCCACCTCGATGTCGGCCACATAATTCTCGAACACGGTGGGCACATAGACCTCGGGGAACTGATCTTTGCTGAAGACAATCAGAAGGCATGTTTTACCGCAGGCACCGTCGCCGACAATTACCAATTTCTTGCGAATCGTCGTCATTGGAAGTTCTGCAAAGGCAAAATCAAATTGTAGAAGATGCAACAGTGCAGTAGGGTCCGAATCCGAATCCGAGTTCCCGTTCGCCGTTCAGTTCTGTTTAATTTATTCGCGAAAACTGAGCAAACTGTTCAAAATTATCAAAATGAAAAAGCCACACACAGGCACAACACACACACGCGCGCGCGCTCGCTCTCATTTGTAGCCCTCTCCCGCTCGCACACACACTTAGTCATACTCGCGACTGGACGATCTAATAGTCAAAAGTGTGGGGTTCTTTCTTTCTGGCCATTGTCCATTGTCCGTTGGCCGAGTTTTCCCGTTTTCGTCGCTTTCTCGTTTTTCGCATTTTCCTTTGGTCGCGTCATAGGGCCGCCCGCTTCTCCACCCCTCTCTCTCTCACACTCCGCTCCAGGAAACTCCTCGCCTCGTCCCGCTCTCGTATTATTCCAAAAACATCTCATCATCCACTCGCGCTACATACATTTGTGTGTGTGTCTGGCTGGGCGTGCGTGCATCTGTGTGCGTGCTGTGTGGAATTTTTTCACTGCTCTTCCACTTACAATTTATATTGGTGATTTCACAACACTCAGCACGAATTCGACACTTAATTTGCTTACAAAATGGCACAAATTTGTTGATTCTTATGCGTCTACCGTTTAGCTATATCGTATAAAAGTTAATGCAATTACAAAAATTCGAATTGAACTCGACGATTTTTTCCCATGCAAAATGACGATGAACAATGTTCATCCGTTTCATTTCTCGGTAGCGCGATGAACGTTCGATGACCAACCAACGCCTTCAAGCGCAGGGCTGTTATTGCCGTTATCGGTTGCGTTCATCGGTGGCAACTCTGCATGTGGTATTCCACTGCCCATTACCGACTGGTCACACCACACAGCTGCTTCTTCTTACACCTGCGGTCGCATGGCCCGGGAACGTTTCTTTAATTTTTTCCGATTCTATGGAAAATGATAATTGACAAGCTGAATTCGCTTATGCTGAAAGAAATGCAGCTTAGTTTCCAGCTCACCGAGGAGCGAGAGAGGGCCTCCGGTCGCAGCAAGCCGGGAAAACCAGTTCCAAAACCTTTGACTTCCAAACAGAAGGTGTTCCCAAAGACTTCCAGTGCTCCCGCAGAGATTTCGGCGCCCAAAAAACAAAAAGGAATGGAGTACCCCCAAAAATCCAAGGGAAACTGGAAAACAGCCCAGAAAAGAGCAGTTCCCACCGAGGAGCCCAAACCAGAGAGTTCTCCGTCCATAAAAAAGCCTAAAAAGGATGATGCTTTTCCTGCAAAGAAATCCAAAGTAAAATCCCAGATAATTTCGCCGCAAAAAAACAAAGTTCCAAAAGCACCACTTGTACCAGAAAAACACAACCATTCCTGGACAATTAATAATAAAAAAGGCTCCAAGCAACAGGTTGCAAAGAAAAATGGTATGTCGTAAACATTTTAAAGTAAAATCTAATAAATTCAATAAATATTTCAATCAATTAGATATAGATAATCTTTCCAAGGCTAAAGTGGAGTTCCCGCCCATAGCTAAAAGTTTCAAAGTTACAAAGGTAAATTTTATACCTGGAAAATCCAAAAAATGTTTTCAAAAAGGCGAGAGAATCCAGTCATCGGTCGTAGAAAGCGTCGGAACAAATGGTATTGTATACGAAATTATTGTCTACAGTTATATTAAACAAAACATTTACACATAGGTCTGGTGAAGCATTCATCCAGTGAAGAATCCTTTGCCGAAGAGCGGGAAGGCAGCAGGCAGGACGGTTTCGAGATGGCCAAACGTTTGAAAGCAGATAGAAAAGGATTAGTTCGAAAGATCGAGCTCTTCAAGAACGCATTGACGAAAACTGATAGCGACGATGATGATTACGACGAGGCAGACAAAGAGCCTAAGATTTTTAAAGGTCATGGAAAAGAAGTGGTTAAAAAGGTCAAGGTCCTTAAGAACTCACCACAAAGCAGCAAAGATTTTGAATCCAATCAATGTGATTTGATCGAGGTCTTCCAGAACGCATTGGCGGAAACTGAAAGCGACGATGACGACTTCGAACCACAAGGCAGCGAAGATTTTGAATCTGAAGAATTTGACAGCGAAGATTATGGATCTGAAGAATTCGACAGCGAAGACTCTGATGCGGATTTTGACAGTGAAGATATGGAAGACTTTGATAGTGATGAAGATTTTGACAGTGAATATAGCGAAAGTGAATATAGCGACAGTGAAGATTTCGGCAGCAATATTTTTGACAGCGACGACCTTGATTCTACTTATGAACCACCTGAGATCGATGGATTCTTTGATGATCCACCTTTGGGGATTCAAAAGGAACCGCTTATTATAGAAGAAATCTTTGATGACCAACCTGTGGATAAAAACCAAAAGAAACTGGTTAAGTATATACATAAAGAAAAAGAGACTGTAAAAGAGGCAACTGTGGTCAATGAGATTGTAAAAGAGACAGCCGTAGCGGAGGAGATTGTAGAAAATGCAACAGTAGTAAATGGTGTTGTAGAAAAATCAACAGTGAACGATGAAGTTGTGAAAGAATCAATACAAGAGCTTCCTAGTAATACAGCAGAATATCCTAAAGATCTCAAGGAAATCGAAGTTCACGCTGAGGAGGTGCTAGCTGAAAATGTTACACCTGCCAAGGAAAAAGTTTCTCTACCAAATGAGACACCATTCTATAGAAATCCGCTATCGAGTCCCACTGAGCTCACCGTATTTGAAAACAGTCTGAAGAGCAACCATGTGCTGGCCGTGATTAAAGAAGACCTCGAGCTGTACGGCACACTGGTGCTCACCCTGCTGGGTGGCCAGATATCAGTGAATGGTTACAAACCTCGCAAGCAGGAGCCACTTACCATTTATTCACCGAAAGGTCTCAACTGGATTTTCATCTCGCCCATCAAGACCAAAAAACCTGCCAAAGATGAGGTGAATTGGGCCGAACTAAACAAGAACTTCACTCGCGCCCAGCTGGACAGGATTCAGGGCAGCTTTCAAAAACAGACGAATGCAATAGTACTTCTGCAGCGAAACACTGGAGCCCAGCGAATGGTCGAGAACTTTGGCAAGCACATGACACAGAATTTATTCCCACAGATTAACTCCTCCAATCGTCCATATCACCAAAGTGAATCCTTGTTGCACTGCCTCATTCAATCCTCCGATTTGAGCCGCACTCTACAGGTGCCCCAGGTGTGGAATAAGCTTAAAATTCAGAATACTAGTCGGGTAATAATAGCAGGTGGAAAGGGCGTTGGAAAGTCCAGTTTGCTACGTTACCTCATCAATCGGAATCTGGGCCAGTTTCCATCTCTCCTGCTCATCGATTTGGACATTGGCCAGCCGGAAATCTTTGTTCCCCAGACAGTTTCTTGCACCCTAATTGATGAGCCGCTTTTGGGACCCGGATTCCTCTTTAACAAGCAGCCCGATCACGCCTACGTAGTGGGTCACACGCACATAGTCATGTGCGCAGAGCAGTATGCCCGAGCCTTTATCGAGCTAATCCAGATCGTTCAAAAGGATGCCAAATATGCAAATATTCCCTGGCTGATTAACACAATGGGATACAACAAAGGATTTGGAACCGAACTGATGGCCCTGCTGGTGGATCGCATCCGTCCCACGGACCTTGTGCAGATTGCCAGTCCGATTCCGATCAACAACTTTGATTCTCCCCTCGAGTGGAGCAGTTTGTCGCAGTTGAAACCCATTATCTTCACGGCGGATGAGTTTAGAGTGAAGAATTTGCCCAAGTACACGCTCCACAAGTTGCTCAGTGCGGTGCCTCCAAAAGAACGAGGAACTTGGAGCCTGAGTGCCAAGGATATGCGGTATTCCAATATTTTGGCACGCCTTAGTTCGTGTTTCGCGGGAAATGGCAAATCCCTCACAGACTGCTCGCCACTGAAGGTGCCCCTGGAGTCCCTGAAGATAATACATGTCACCAGCAAGGATTACTCAAGAGAGGAACTGATCTATGGCATGGATGCCAATGTGATCTATCTGTGTCATCAGGGAGCAGGCCTGCCTCGGTGTTTGGGAATAGGTTCGTATATTACGAAGACCCTTTGTAGTTCATGTATTTATTTCAATCCTTTCAGGAGTGGTCCGTGCCATAGACTATAAGCGGAAGGAGATGTTCCTAATTCCGGCGATGCCGCTCCAAAGGATGTCCCTGGTGAACTGCGTAGTCCTTGGCGGAGAAGTAACCTTGCCGCAGGGCTACTTCAAAGATCAGGGTCAGGGAGTTGTTAGCAGTGTGCCCTACGTGTTCATCCTTGACGACTCGAAAGCCTCGAAGAGCATTCAGCAGATCTACCATCGAAAGCCAGCCTTTCTGGGCGTGCCAGTGAATCAAAGGAACTGAAACTAAACCGGGTCCACCGTGTATATAAGAAATATTTGTAAATAAAAAGAGGTTTATTGACTAAGAGCTAGTGCGACAAGTTGTGGCGGCCCCTGAGTATCCTGTTCATCAGCACGCGTCGTCCTTCGGGCGTGGACATTCTCGCATCCCAGCCGTGGACATTGATTCTCTTCACCTCCATGGGTTTCGGGAAATGGCAGCGGACTTTTGGTTTCAGGACTGCCCGATTAAAAGCGTGCTTGTCCCGCACAATCATAGATTGCGCGGTGTTGACAACCGCCAGGCATGTTCTGTGGAGGCATAAATCGTTACTGTTTTATTCAAAATCCATTGTTTATGTGAAATTTACCTTTGGATAATTCCTTGCAGCATGTTAAGTAATTTCAGTGAGTGAACGACAGTGTGACTGTTCTCTGATTAGAAAATAACTCTCGAACAGCCGTTCGAGAAATTGGGTGTTGCCACACAGAGAAATTTAAATGGTACTTAAGCTCTAGTTTAAGATAAATGATTAATAAATAAAATAAAAAACTAGAGAACTACAAAAATATTAAACTACTTTAGCCCGGAACAGTAAAGAATTTTTAAAGATTTTTCATAAAGTCATCAGTAATCATATTGTAAAGTTGGAGGCAATGTTGGGGGGCTAAAAAATAATTAAGAACTATTTTAATTAATACTACCTTTATTTATAATAAGATGTTGTACTCAAATAGTTAAGATAATTTACCATCTCTAGGTAAACCTACAAATGTTGTTGCAGCACAGCTGTTGCGGATGAATCCGAATGATACATTCGGTATATTTTCGGCCGTGGATTATTTCCTGGCTACAGTCGTGGTCACACTGCTTAGCCAACAACAACTCCGTGCCGTTAGGCTGCGTTTGTTTCTTGCTCACATTCAGCTGCAAAAGAAAAGTGAAAAGCGGTCGGAAAATAAGCAGCATGTGAAACGCATTTCCTCCACGCATGCATATCTCAAAAGAAAAGCCAAATTAAGTGCGTGAAAGTCGCGGGTGCATAAGAAAATCTAATAGAGGAACGCTGCAAGTAAAGAGAAACATTGCTGCAGTTGTGTGTGTGAGTGAGTGTGTGCGTGCGAGTGTCGCTCTCTGGACGCAATTCCTATTTTGGCCAAAAGGAAGGGAAGTGGGGCAGGAGAATCCCGAATCCAAGTCCCGAATCCGAATCCGGAGCATCAGAAATAGCGCAGCGAGGTGAGTGAAACTGCAACTGCAAATGCTGCATGAAATTAAGACCAAAAAAAAAGAACACCAATTAGCCCCGTCTGCCGCTGGCCGAAAAAACGGCAAAAAGTACAACAAGAAAATCGATTTTCCTGAACTTACAATTTTCTTCGCGTCACTGGGCAAAAATCGGGGGGCGAAATGGAGCTTGGGGAGCCGGCTGCGACTCCATAAAGTATACATAAATTGAATTTCGAAACACGGAAGCGAAATGGCTGCACAGAAAGAAAAATGTGTATGTATGAGATGATCTCCGTTCTGATGATTCGACATGTTCCAGAATAACAAATGCACAATGCATTTTGATATAGTATACAAAAAAGATCATTTTCTAAATATGTCTTAAAAAATCCAAAAAGTTTTTTGGACAAAAACAAACTTTAGGTTACCATAGGAAAATGAATTACCCCATTATACAAACTTGGTCTAAACTATAAGAACCGAACTCTATTTAACAATATTTGTATTATAATATACATTTAACCTGCGCAATTTTAATTAAATACGAGCTGAATTTTTTCATTGTGTAAAAAGGGGGCGGTGGCCCCAAAATGGGAGGCTGCACACGGTTGTTGTTCTTGTTTTGTTTGCTGGTGTTGATGATGATGGAAATACATGCATATGTGTTTGTGTTCCAGAGAGAAACATGAAAAAATTGAAAAATCTGACCAAGGACCCCCGACTTTTGGGCCAGTTGTCATGGCCACCGCACTTAACAAATGATTTTAGCGGCCGCTTTTTCCGGTTGCGAATGGAGCAGCTGTCACTCTGCTTTCCCTCTCTTTGTCCTCCTCCTCCTTTTTCTGACTTCATCTGTCTGCCCCTTTCTATCTTTCTCTTTCCCCGTGTTCTTCTATGTGTGCGTATTTTGATGACGGCACTCAGTTTCCGCCCGCACTGTGATTTTTGGTCATATACGGCACCAATATTCCAACACAGTTGAACCTGGACCTGGGAGACCAAATAAAGATGAAGTTAAATTTTCAAGAGTCTAAAGCTAAAATTGAATAATAAGGAGCTTTATTTCCACCTAAAACAATAAAAACATTCAATCACTTATAATGATTATTAGGGAAAATGTGTTTTTTGCTCTTATCTTTTCTATCTCAAAAATGTCTTTCGTTTTTATACATAAAATGAATTTGATAAGAGTTAAAAAATCAACAGATCGCCTTAAACGTATTATATTTAACGTTTAAAATATTTTCCAAATAATGTCTTATTCAAATTTCTATTATGCTATTCGATTTTTTAATAACGAGGGCTCACTGTAGAAAATCCCCGGCATTACCACTCAGTTTTTGGCACTCTTTGGCGGATGCTGCGTACGCAAAAAGGGGACGACGGCTGTCCTAAGAGCACTAGATGTTTCCTTTTCGCTTCCGCCTGCACCCCTAAATTAAGTGTATCTGTGTGTGTGTGTTTGTTTAGTGAGTTCCGCGTGTGTGTGGGCCAACGAAATTACTTTTACGAGCGTTTAGCATAGGTTGTCCCCACTCCCCTCTCCCCCAGTTAGTTTTATTTTGATGCGTTTTTAATCAGATTGCGTCAATTTGTTGCTGGAATAACGATGAGGGCGGTCGTTTGAAAGGGAGTTAGTTGCTTGGTTGTGGTCCTATGGGCCTTTTAATGGGAGCGGGTGGAAGTTTTTCCGGGTTGCGTGTCAAGTGCAGACCTTTTTTCGCCCGCTGTGTTTACTAATTGTAAGAATGTCTGTTTCTGCTTCGCATCTGGAAGTCTTCCATTCCAGTAGTCTCCCCACTCACTCACTCACTCCGAAGTAAAGTTTTTTTTTTTCAATTCATGGGGCTTTCTTATAGCACCCACCCATGATCGTATTTTGTTCAATTTAATAATTAAAGTATATGTTTATCAAGCTAAAAATTATAGAAAATTGATTGGGCAGCTGAGTACTGAAAACCAAGCTTCTTTTGACTAGATGCAAATATTTTACGCTCTAACCTATTATGCCATCTCACGTAAACAAGATAAATACTCCAGTTAAGATTATTCTAATAAACAAATGACACGAAATATATAAGTATGTAGATAGTATCTACTAGATACATCCATGCCTATTTGACCCTCGAGCTGCGTGTTTCTGTGTTGCTGTTCAAGTTATTGTTGTAAATATGTTAAGTTCACTGCAACGCAGTGAAGGAGACATCTCCGACCCTATAAAGTATATATATTCTTGATCAGGATCACCTTCTGAGTTGATATAGCCATGTCCGTCTGTCCGTCTGTCTGTCCGTCTGTCTGTCCGTCTGTCTGTCCGTCTGTCTGTCCGTCTGTCTGTCCGTCTGTCTGTTTCTACGCAAACTAGTCTCTCAGTTTTAAAGATATCGAACTGAAACTTTGCTCACACCCTTCTTTCCTTTGCACGCAGTATATATGTCGGAACGGCCGGGATCGGCCGACTATATCCTATAGCTGCCATATAACTGAATGATCGGAAATGCCATAACTTTGGTGTTTGTAAAGTTAGGAAGTTGGGATTTTCTATGGGTTTTATTTTTGGCCAATCAATCGGACCTACCAAACTTCATAAGGATCGGCCGACTATATCCTATAGCCGCCATATAACTGATTAATCGGAAATGCCATAACTTTGGTGTTTGTAAAGTTAGGAAGTTGGGATTTTCTATGGGTTTTATTTTTGGCCAATCAATCCGACCTACCAAACTTCATAAGGATCGGCCGAATATATCCCATAGCTGCCATATAACTGAACGATTGGAAATGCCATAACTTTGGTGTTTGTAAAGTTAGGAAGTTGGGATTTTTATGAGTATTAGGAATGCATCATATGAATAATTCTGAAGAATATAATTTAAAGAGTATTCTGCAAGGGTATATCAACTTCGGCTCCGCCCGAAGTTAGCTTTCCTTTCTTGTTGTCCATACATCTGTATGTAGAATCATATCGATCCCATACCAAAATTATATAAAGAAGTAATAGTCAAGATCAAGATATCAAACTCAGTTTGTATACATAGAAATCATGGTGCTTGTGTCTCTATTTTGATGACCATTCTTTTTTGCTTTGGCCCGTTTAAGTACAAAAATACTTTGCCCGTTCCAGCGGGGATACGAGTATCGTATCTATCATGGCGGCAGCTGTCCAATTCTCCAACCAGCCGGCACTGTATCGTTGTTGCTGTTGGTTGTATCTGCTGTCGCTGTCGTCTTCATCAACGCCTTTTTCGTATGTGAGGGTGAGTAAGTTGTAGAGTGTGTGTGTTGCTGGTTTGAACTTTACGGCATTGCGTTGTGTTGTGTTTGTTTTTAGCATTTGCTTATGTTGTTGTTTTTTATTATTGTTGTTGTTCTTGCTGTTCTTACTGTAAGCACACACAATTTAACGAAACATCGGCGACAGCAGGCAGAAATACAACAGACGGCATCATTATGCATGCAAGAGATCTTGGAGCGCATTTGATCGCCAACTCCGCACATGACTCTCAAGAGAAGCAACAACAAATGTTGCTGCAACTCCAACGCCGCCGCCATTTGGCCAAAATGGCGGATGCCCTGCCTTCCTGCCCCGCCCCCCACTGCCCCCTTTTGGGCCCTGCCAAAGACCTCAAGTCCCCAAGTATCAAGTATTAGTACCAGACATTGGCCCCACGCAAAAATATTTTTGCTGTGACTCCGCAACTCACCGCACTGCAAATAAAATCTTGCCAAATTATAAATGAACTTTAAATTCCTTATTTTTCATGTTTAATATTATACAATTAATAGGCAATAGAGTACAGTGTCTTAATCTTCGTGACTTAACTCTTTTGTATGACCCTTCCAATTGTCTTATCTTTAATCTTATTAAATCCTTTCTAGAAAAAGCTATAAAAGGCAGGAAAGGTTTAAAAACGATAAAGTAGAAAAATGTTGATTATATGTCTTAATTAAAAACTGATTTTTAAACATCTATAAAGCTAATGATGCGAGCTCAAAGAATGAAGCAATCAAAAACATTGCTTATGAGTTTTTTTCTCGGTGTGGTGCAGTGTACTGGGGAGTGGAGCATTGCCCCGAACCTCTGGCTGCTCTCTTGGTACTTCTCCACCTCCACCTTCATTCCTTATACTTCGACTTCTGGGAACTTCTCCAGTTTCGCTGAAGCGATAATTGCCGCGTGATTTCTAATCAAATTACATTAGACTACAATTACTCCGACTTTGCTCGCATTTAGTTGTCATCCAATTTAGCCGGCGTTTTGTCATGGTTTGTTTGTCTTAATTGGAAATCGGATTGCAATCGCTCATCCCTCCGCTGTAGCTCACAAAACGCAACCCACTTCAATTATGCATATCACCAAATTGGTCTTCATCATCGTCATACCCTAATTACACTCAATTAAACTCTATGAATTACCGATAAATGTATATATGGGCGCATCTGTGTCAGCGGCTGCAACTGGATGGCAGACAACCCGCTTTTACTGCCCCCCAGCGCATAGTTGGCTCCACTCACGTAGCTGGGATTTCGAATCGGCTTAACACCTTTTTTGGGCCCGCTTTCCACGGATCATTGGGCTCTTGGGCTGTTGGGCAATGCGCCGGAAATTGGGTTACAGCTCAGTGCCTCGGCCACCTTAATGATTTTCTCGTTTTTCGGCTCTCTTATCGGATATGCATATCAGCCGACTAACAGTAAGGCCCGGCACTCTTATCATATCTTTCGCTTCGGGGACAGAAGCACTATCTGTGAAAGCCATGCTAATGCTCACCATGTGTCGCACTTTCCAGCTCATTCTTCAGCGTGTTATTATGTACACACAAGAAACGCGTAAAGAAGACGGGAGAATAAAGTCATAAGATCTTCGCATGACATCATAGGCATTTATATGATATAGTTGGGGGAAATCTGTTAGATCGGTTTTCAGAATTTTTGAGACTCTAGAACCTTTGTTGGTTACGTAATTAAGTCATAAGATAAAGATATATGTGATAATAGATCTGTTGGATAAGCCCGTTAAAAGATTCTCGGATTTTGAAAAAAATTAGTCATAAAAAAAGGTAAACAATTGACTGATAAACAGAATATCTGGAGATATCGCAGTAACTTTTAGTAGATACTTTTAAGCGATTAATCATCTAATGTAATTTACTAGGAAATTTCCTTCTTTTTGTTCCGAATGGCTTTGTTTATCATTGAATTTAAAGAAACAACAAACAACTTATTGAAACTGTTTTTTAAATAGATCGCTTTGCTTTTTTTTGGATTCCCCTATTTACGATAATTGTTTTTAAGACTCCTGGAACATTGAAAGTAATTCAGTCATAAATAAAAGACTATAAAGAAGCCAAAAATAAAATATGATACAATTTCAAGAAACCTGGAAACTTTGAAAATGACTCATAATACAAACAGATATTAAGAGAAACAGAAAGTAACACAACATGTTCTTAAAATTCAGACTTTATTTTAGATCCCAATAGTTTTGAATATCATTAAATTCCAGAAAACAATAAACAATGAATGGAAATTTTATTTTTGATAGATCGTTTTGCTTTTCATTTGGTTTCCACCCATTTTCTGTTACAACTTTTTGCTGAAGTCATTATAAAATGTGATTTTCTTGCTGTTCGTTTTGAGTGTTGTATTTTTTTTGAAAACCAGAATGTGACACGCCTTTCGTGACCAGCCCAGATATCCCATTGCAATGGAATCCACTGGGCCGGTCCCAAAAACTCAGAGCCAATGCGTAGCGATGATTGAGGAGAGTCGAGAGACTTTGGGCTATTTTTGGTAATTGCATGGCCTGCTTTCCTCTGTATAGAGTTTGCTTTTTGTGCTCCCCACCCCCCCCGGCACCAACCCGAATTTTCAGTTTCGGTCTCTCGGTTCCAGTTCACTAACGATGCGTGCAACAAAGCATATTTCAATAAGACTATTTCCAACGACAAGATTGTGGGTCAAACGCCGGAACATATGTACATAAAATTCGTACTCGTGTGTGTATAACAATTTTTCAATCGGGCAGCATCGTAAACAAAATACAAGCGGCAAAACAATCCATTAGACCAATGGTGGCCATCTCCATCGCAGCCCCCATCCTCCAAGATTTCATCGTTTCCATCGTCGGAATTGTGCGCCCAGTGCGGCGAATCAAATTAATTAAAGCTGCCAGAAGGGGTTCCCTGTTGGGCGGAACGAAGGGGTGGCTGAACTGAACTGAAATGCTGCCCAAAGAAAGCAAGAAAGGCGACAGAGATGGAACAATTGTGGTTTATTATTTCACAAGAAATCCAACTGAATTAAATCGTGAAAGAAGAAAACACACAGAAAGCAACATTGAAGGCTAATTGAAGATGAAATACTCTTATTGTTCCAAAGATGTACATCAAATCTATAGATCGTAAGAACTAACGAAGCCGGTTTGTATTATGAGTCAGCAAAGGTCAATTTCAATTATGACTAGCGTAAAATGAACATCTCTCATACTAAAGTTGATAACTTTAATAAAAGTTTTTGTATATTTTTAGCTTGGGAAATATTATTTCTACCAACATTGGTGTCATATCTCAAAATATAATAGCAAATATTTTTTTTACAATCGTTGTGTACTTATATAAAGTTTATATCGCAACTTTTGACCTAGTTTGGGATCGAGAACTGTCTGTTATCTTATCACCATAGAAAACATTGCCCTAGGCCGTAGTTCCTTAATTTCCAAAAGATTGTGAGTGAAATGGAGTGCTCCAGAAACTGACCAATTGATGTATACCCAATATTATATCTGCGGAGAGTTCATGTGCGGCTATAGTGCCACAAAATACAATAAAGAGTTTGGGACACCAAATAAATACAAACAAGAGCATGGGCTTCAGTGAGTAATGCGTCTGGGTGCACGGAAAATGAAAATAAATTTGTTTATGCGGTCGCTGCATTCTGTGATGAAAGAATTTCTTTGTTGCAGTTGCCGCCGCTGCAGAATCAACATCTTTTGTGTCACGTAGTTGGAAGAAGATGATGCAGCAGTTGAAGAAGCCACCTTCTCTGTGTGTAACTACCAGCGTGTGTGTTAACCAAGGCTAATTGAACTGAACCGAACTGGGGGCAACCTCTGGGATAATTAATTGCCCGCGGGAAGAGCAGAAACGAGTGGCTGCGATAGGAGAGGGCATCTCAAAGTGCCGGCTCTAAATGTAGGCCTCTTCTCTAATCACATTAATGCCACAACAATGACGGCGACTGGGACCGGCGATATATAAAAGTCGGCCCACTTGAAAAGCCTTCGATGCGTGGGCGGTGGCTTCACACTGGGAGAAAGGGTTCTAAGTCCGGAAAATGTTCTTAGCAGAGCACAACTTCGGTTCTTTAAAAACAAGGGGTTAACGACCCCAAAAGCAAAACGTTTTAAATGATAATTCATGCATTTTAGAATCTTATATGTTCTAAAGATTAATAGTTAATCACAAAAACCTATTTTTGTTTAAAATAAAATGTTTTAAAGTGCGAATGTTGTTGATGTCTAAGAATAAACTTTCTTGTTAACAGATCACATTTATTATTTGATTTTTAGATTATTGAGAGACATTTCATGGTTGATATACTTATGTCTATTGATAAGACTTAGTTCGTTTGAAATTGTTAACCGGATGTAGCAACTGACAGGGGTTTTCCCCCAGTGCAATATCATCAACCACATCTCCAGGCTCGTCATCATTATGGCTCTTTTCTATATTGTTCTTGTACCTTTATTAGTTTGCCTTTGTGTCGGCTCAATTTATGTGCTGACCCTCAACCCCACTGGCGGCTCCAGTGAACCACTGAGCCACCATGGATGGCTAGTGCTGTGGATCCCAACTCCAGCTCTTATCTGAGCCGAATGCATTCAGCAAAATATGGTGAAACAACAGAAAAACTTGTTTTGTGTACTGCCTGCTAAGTTATGTTCTCCCATTTCTCCGGCACCCACTCTTTGGTTTTTGCATTTGGCGCAATGCTAATTCATTTGCATACCCAGCAAATACACTCGGTCCGAAGCCTCATTCTCATTCATGCCAAAGAGCATGGAAAAAGGAAGGGGATTGAGGAGTTTACGGGGCACAACGAACGACTGATGGCCCCGGCATGCTTGGCTGCATTTTAAGTTCATATACGCTGGCGCACACACTCGTTTGCCGGGGAGATACAGACGGTATGGTTCTGTATCGGTGGCATATTGCCGCTTGACACTTGGGCCATGCCGCCAGCTCCTCCTTTTTCCCATTTCTCATTTGCTATTCCAGCTGGGTCTCCACGGACGGAGGTCTTCAATTAAATTTAACTAGAAAGCAGGCAACACAAATACGTCGAGTCGATGGAAAAACAAATGATATTTTAGTTGCGCATGCATAAGCAATTAAATTTTCCATTATTTATGGCATTCAATAACTCTCGTCACTCGTTGGTGTCTGAAGACGAGGGCATTTCTTTGATATCGATTGCAAGTGCCAAACCCTGTTGCAGTCGCATCGCATCGCATATTTAATGCCTCAATTAAGGCATTCCCATGCACTCCATTTTCCGCTGCATTTTTATTGCAAGTCACAAACGTTAACCCCATTCGGCCGGAATGCTGCAAATTGTGCAATGCTGCTCCATTTTCTGTCCTCCAACACATGGTCGCCTCATTTAACCCGGGCAAAATGGACTGGCTGGGGGTTGTACGGCGATAATGCCTGCGTTGAATGATTATCGACGAGTTATTCGGGGAGTGGTTGAAAGGCTATAAATAGAAGCCGATGATAAGCCGACAAGCTTTGGGAAAATGGAAATCGTAAACGGGGATGCATGCTCAATGAGGGATTAACAAATTTATGGGAAGTACTCCGTGGAGTGGAGCGACATGAAAGGCGGATACTGATTCAAAATTGATGTTCACTTCTGAACAGAGTGCCATTGTTCTGCGGGGATTAATTGAATGGGAATAAGCTCTAATTATTCTATAAATAATTCAGAAAATTTGTTTGAATAATCCATTCAAAATTAGGGTAAATAATTCATAATGAAAAAACAATTGTATCCCCAGAGTTTTCTCTTTCACTTATCGGTCCCACAAATATGGTTTTAATTAAGTGCCCCTTTCGAGTCGGACTTTCCATTTTCAATCGTTTACGTTGGTGTCTTTCCAATTACCAAAAAGATCATGTGCATCACGTTAATCAAGCGTTAATTTTCCCCTCGAATACAGGAAAAACAACAACACTTAACAGTTGTTTATGTTAATTACTCATCGGGGGAAAAGTTGCAGCAATATAAACACAAATGCCCGAAGCTCGCAGCTCGGATCTCAAATTGGGTTTGGGTCACCGAACCCAACCGACAATTAATTAGCATAGGCCACATATACGGCACCCCCTCTCAGAGACCTTGCGCCATAAAATATGTCTAATAATTTCCCATAAATTCCACTTGCAGATGGTGAAGGCGATGACGACGAAGACACTGCTAACGAACCATATGATGTAAAAGCCATATCGCCATATCCCCTTTCTCTTCTCTCCAAACGAAAGCGAAATCCCAGCTGGGAAACTCTAACTAAAAACGAACCAAACACCAAAGCCCACGACTGCCGCTTTGGGTTTCATTTTAACCGAAACCGAAAACGAAACTGCATTCTTTGGACTCATATTTATACTATAACGACACATATCGCGGACGGAATCGAACATGAGATTGCCGCGGAGCTTATCGGCCAGTAGGAGCCTGCCGCTGCTCCTCCTCCTGGCCATCGTCGCCCTGGTGATCGCCGAGAGGGACTTCAATGTCAACGACTCCCAGGTGAGTAATTTCCTAAATGGGTCTTTTTAAATCCAAACACTGTTTCTCGCGACTGGGCATTTTGATGGTTTTCATTGATGATGTATGGCTTTTTTGAATCATACTGCCGCCATTCATACGATTAGATTGCCGCCGCGATAAGTAACATTAATAGCGCACGTCTACTCTAAATGTTTGTTTGCCCAAGTATTTTCATAAGCCCAAAGGAATAAAATAAAAGAATAAATAAAAATTTAATTTTCAAGAACATAGTGTTTTAAAATTGTTTAATTCATATTGCAATCCTTAAATACACTTTATTTACTCGTATTTCAACATGTTTATAAGACTTAATTAGTTGATAAGCATAAGAAAGAAGGATTCATAATTTATAAGTAGTAGTAATTAACCTTTTCGCTTATTTTTTGTATAGGTCCCTGTAATTGAGCCTAAGGATGTGCCTGCCTACAAACAGGATCCGTATGTTTCGGAGTTGATGAGCTGCCAAAATACTCAAAGCGAGATCGTGCTTTCGCTTCTATTGAAGAAGCACGACTGGAGCGAACTGACAGTCGCCAAGCGAGCCCATGTTCAGGCCAAGTTGGGCAAGTTCTTTGCCATCCCGAAGGTGAGTTACTATTTAAAGTTTATCTTTTAGAAACAGATTAAAAAATGTCTCTTTGCAGGAATTTATTTCCCTGGATTCGGTGTCCAAGCGTGAGCTTAAATCCATGCACAAATTGGCCATGCGAAAAGGAGGCAAGGGCAACAAGAATATCGAGACCCTCAATCGCCGACTGGGACGCGCCAGTTTCATGGTTCGTAATCAAAAATACCTTTTGTTATGTTTGAAATTATAAATAACTAAATGTTTTTTAGATCGGCTGCGGTCCAAGCTACTTTGTGATGGGTGAGCCGATAGCCAAGCAGATTGCCCACCAGGTTAAGGATGGCACCATTGGCGCTTTGACGGAGGAGAACTTTGGCCTTTGGTTTATTTGGCGAAAGGAATTGAAATCAAGGTGGGAAATGTTAAATATAATTCTTAATTAATTCTATTTGACAAACGATATTTGGCAATGGAAAATGACATAGCTAAAGCTATAAATGAACTACGCATATATCGACTGATAGGGCTTAAATAAAGAATTCCAAGAACTGCATGTCCGGTTTTTTGCAACACTTGATAACCAATCGTTCTTTCACCTCCAGATCCGACCGCAAGCGACGTCAGTCTGAAGGTTCTGGAGAGGGTGACGATGACTACGACTATGGAGATGACGATGAAGCTTCGTAAGTAGTAGCCGCTCACTTGAATGTGTCACATTGGTAATCCCGGAACTCTTTCTTGCTCTTTCCATCGAATGGAGCAGCGAGCCCAGTACGGAAGTGCCGCCGGTGACCACGCATGCACATCGACATCATCACGGAGCGGTGAGTGTTGAGGCCAATTGGGCGCCATTTCACCATATTTGTTTCGGTTTCTCTGGGTGTTTTCTTTATCTGATACATACGTTTAAATGAGAATACCTGCGGTTCATACTTGTTGGTTAACCACACATGCTGACATATGTATGTATTACGTGTATGGATCTGTATGGATCGCATTGGACTCACTGTCTAGATTCGTTTTCATTTCCGGAAGCCTTTGGTTCTGTTTGTTTTACTGCACTTTGCTAATAACCGCAATTTGGAATAACATCCAAGTCACACAACACATGCATCTATATGGAACACACAATAGACACCCACATATCTACACTGAAAATAACTATAATTCATCATACGGTGTTTACGTTTTTTCTTCTCTTTTTGCTATCTTCCTCTCGTTCTCTCACTCTGTCTGTGTATATCGATCTCATTGTGTTAATGTTATCAACCAAACAATCAATAACCAAAATATTGTAAAATATGTTAACCAAATCGAAATCGCCTCGAAAACTAACCAACTCGAACTCAAATCATTCACCGTGACTAACCCCAAAGTCGGATGTGTCGGAGAAGGTAGTGTCGCCAGACTCCGTCTCCTCGTCGCCCGCTCCTGTGGTTCCCAATGAGGAGGAGGAGATCGAGGAGAGTGTCTCCAAGCTGGAGTCCGTGATCAGCAAGACGATTGAGAACACCAAGAACATCAAGGAGCTGCCGGTGCTGGGCGAAGCTGACGAAGGCGAGGATGAGGAGGAGGTGGAGCTGCAGCAGCTGGCAGTGGAGAGTCTACCAGAGGAGACCACCACCAGCACGGCAGCAGGAACTAGAGCCACGGAAATGGTAAAGCCCGGTTATGTGGAGGAGAACGGAAATCAGGTGGATTCCGCCGGTCCAGTAGCTGCCATCGATGTGGAGGCCTCGGTCACGCCTACGGCCCCGGTGTCCGCCCCCGAAACACAGAAGCCTTTCTCACCCTACGACGCCACCTCTTCGGTGTCGTCGTCGTCTTCGTCCGTCTCATCCGTTGCATCTGGCATCGAAGCTGGAGAAGATTCGTCTTCGATGCCGCCCCCTCATCCGCCCTCCTCCGACTCAGCCTCTTCCACGCCCACTGCCATGCCCACAGAGCTAGAGAGCAATGGCCAAACCACTTCTGCCTCATCATCCTCATCATCTCCATCCGCATCATCATCTCCATCGCAAGCCACTCAACCAACAACAACCACATCTTCATCAACAAGCACAACAGCAACAATCTCAACTACAACAGCAACATCAACAGCAACAACAAGAACAACAACCACACTGTCTGAATCGCCAAAGGTAATGATGTCGCTTCCTTCTGTGTCTGTGTATGTGAACGAGTGTCCTTTTGCCTCGCCGTTTTATCTGTGTGTGTGTCTGTGTCTCATGTCCTTATGTCCCCCGTTGTCACATGTAAAACGTTCTCTCCAACCTCCATTTGGCGCTTTATGTCAGGAGTTAGTTTAGCTTACATCTCCCTCTATACATATATTGATATTGTGTTTTATTGCCTTTGTCCTGTGTAAATGTAGCTTCTCATAAAAAGCCAAACTCCACAAAATGACCGGACATTTATGTAGCTGCCGTAAAAGATTTTAGTGGAGTTGGCTGGTACAAAACATAAATGTTAGCTGACTAGATAGCAAATAGTTATAAAGATAAGTGTACATACTTTTTGTATAGCTGCAGATTGTTTTTGGTTGTGGAGGATAACGAATACTTTTTGTATATATTCTAACATTGTGTAAGTCCTTAAAATATAATTGCATTTATATGATAGTTGTATCAAATTGATAAGAATAAATTGAGGGCTAGAGTTGCTCAGGGACTGAGGAGATGCTTCAGCTTGTCTCGACCCCAACCCGTTTTCCACCCTTTGAGAAACCCTACTCATTTTTCGTTACCAATTAAACAACAAAAGCAGCCAAATACTGTGCTTAATGAGTTCGAGCTGAGCACCCTGCTGCCCTTCGGCGATATTGAGGGCACTACAGCAGCAGCAACACCAACTGCGTCTGCAACTGCAAGCACAGCAGCAGCAGCAGCAACAGCAGCAACCGCATCAGCAACAACTGCAACTGCAACTGCAGCATCAGCAGGCGAAAGCGAATTTCATGTAGAGTCCACAACGCACAGCACGCTTAGCTCTAAGGTGAAATCTCGCAATCGCAATCGCAATCGCAATTGCAATCGCAATTTAGATGTTAAGCCATAGATTTGCACCTGTACCCGCTCTAAACCCACAACTCCGGCCATCTACCACCCCGATTGTCTCACCGTTTATCCCGAATCCAATTAGGGGAAATTGCTTCCAGCCAAATGCACTTAGCATGTAAGGGCAGGCAATTAGCGAAGCAGAGCTCCTGCATGAGGTCCTTGGTAATTGCATGCCCACAATCGAGCATACGTATTGGTTGTACTAACACTAACACCTAACACACTCACTCTGCCTGCCTCCTTAGCCGATGACTTTGCAGCATGACACTTAGCCAGCCATCTGTCGCCAATTAGCCATCTCACTGTTAATGATTTCCCTGTAATTCCCAGGAAGGAGAACCCGTCGCCAACAGCAGCAACCAGAACCTGGTCAATAATGAGGTAATTTAGGAAATATTGCCCTAGTAACGCAGGAATCTCCACTAATAGTATTAAATTCCCTTTGCCAACAGCTGTCGTCGCCCGCTACGCCCACATCTTTGCCGGCCGCTATCCCTACCACGACCACGACGGCATCCACTCCAGAGTCGAGCAGCTTCGTCTCCACCGACTACGTTGAACCGCTGCCGGAAGAGAACAGCCCGCCCATCATCAAGAAGCGCCTGCAGAAGCTAGCGATTACCTCGGGTAAGGCCTTCAGCTTCCACGTGCACCCGGACACGTTTTACGATGCCCAGGATCAGGGCAATCTGCGCCTGGCCCTTACCGACAAGGATGACCATGAGCTGAAGGCCAACTCTTGGCTGCAGTTCAACCCGGACAAGAGGGAGCTGTATGGCCTGTGAGTAGATTAAAGCTGGTGTCTCAACTTGATTTCTACTAAGTGCAACTATCCCTGCAGACCCCTGGACGATGCGGTGTCCCGTTGGCAGTATCGCCTGTCCGCAACCAATTCGCGTAACGCCAGCGTCACGGAAACGGTGGAGATCAGTGTGCAGCAGCATCGGGCAGTGAGGACCATTAACCACGAGATCAGTATCCTTGTCCGAATCCAAGAGAAGCAGGGCCACAACATCGACTGGCAGTTGAAGCTGATCAATGAGGTGGCCAGAACCTTGGATGACGCCAGCAACACGGCGGTGGTGGTTCGGGAAATTCGTCTGACGCCGCACGATCCCCATAGCGCCACGTTTGTTTACTTTAACGAGACACTGCCCACCAGCGAGTGTCCTGAAAAGGAACTTAACGATATTATTCAGCGACTCGATGCCCAGAGACTAAGTGATTTGGTGCAGCCACTGTTGGAAATCAAATCCATAACCGGGCAGTTGATCGGATCCTGCCAGAAGGATCTCACCCAGGTGAAGCCCACGCAGCACATGACCAAGAACGTGCCGCCCATGCCGCGCAACCAGGTGGACCGCGTGAACGCCAGCTTGGGCCAGCTGCTGGTGTACAAAGTGCCTGCGGACACCTTCTACGATGCCAACGACAATCAGCTAACGCTCACGTTGAAAACCAAAGATCACCTCGAACTGAATCCACGTCACTGGCTGCAGTTCGACTCCAAGAACGAGGAGTTCTACGGCATCCCCAAGAGCGGCGACATCGGTTCCGAGGAATATCTGCTGGTGGCAGAGGATAGCGGTGGCCTGAGTGCCCATGATGCCCTGGTGGTAATGGTCAGCTCTGCTCCCAAGCGTGACTTTGGCTTCTTCTTCAAGGCCTACCTGTCCATCAGACACGAAAAGTTCAACGCCGAGCTGCAGCGCAAGTTTGTGGAGCGTGTAGCAAAGCTAAACGGCGATGCCACCACTGGCCAGATCCAGATCCGTTCGATAACCACGCACCACGACTCCGATGGCACCATCGTGAACTTCTACAACACGACGCTGTACAAGAAGCACAATAGCTGTCGCGAGAAGGAGGTGGCCACCACCAGGAGTGTCTACCTGAACAGTGATCATAGTTTGAGGGAGAGCGCAAAGCGGGCTTTGGGTCCCGAGCTGAATCTAACCAACTTTTCGGTGGTGCCCTTCAGCAGTTGCCATCGTAAGGATTGCTTTTGTGATTTCCTCTGAATATTCATTGTAGAGATTACCTAATTTCAGATACCGAGAACATAGACACCAACCAGCTTGACTACATACCCAGTCGCCCAGAGGAGCCCACCCATAAATCCTCCTTCGGTGAGGATTACATGATTACCTTTGTGCTGCCCATCATACTCATTATTGTGATGATTGTGGTGGCCTCAATCATTGCCTGCTGCCTGCACTGGTGTCGCCACAGAAGCGGCAAAATGGAGCTGGGTAGGCCGTCTGAACTTACTCAATTATACCTAGACTTCTGAACATAATGGATCTCTCGATTTGCTTTCTAGGCGACGAAGAGGAGCGCAAATCCTTCCGTGCCAAGGGCATTCCTGTCATCTTCCAGGACGAGTACGAGGAGAAGCCGGAGATCGGCAACAAGAGTCCCGTCATCCTCAAAGACGAGAAGCCGCCGCTGTTGCCCCCGTCCTACAATACCTCAAACATGAATGGTGCGTTCAAAGCTATTAGTATTATTTTATGAAAATCTAATCTTGTACTCCCTTTAGGCGACAACGACGTGGACGATTATGTGCCGCCGCCATCGGTGGTCGTGGGTGGCCGGGAGGTGCGGGGCAAGTCGCCAGCCACGCCCTCATACCGCAAACCTCCGCCATATGTGTCGCCATAAATCAGTGTCAAGAGCAGCAGCAAAGCAGCAACAGAGAGAGGAAGCAACAGCAACAATAATAACAATCGCATCGTATTAACCACACAATCTATATAGATTTATATATATATATATATATATATATATTTAACCTATTTGGCACAAGTTATATGCAACTAAGCAAACTCTTTTGTATATATCCAAGTGCAAATTGGTTTATTTCGACATTGTATTCGAATTGAGGGGAAATCGTTTCCGACCGAGAAGTATTCGCCAAGTCGATGAAATTTTTTGGATAACGTTTTGTATTAGCCGAAAAAAGGAAAAACAATCAATGAAGAAAGGATTTCAGTGCTAGCAACTGGAAAAACATACACACTTTAAGCTTATCGAGAATCACTAACACAAAACGATGAACTATGCTGCATATTATTTATTTAGTATGTACTCTAATTTATATGTATACCACGCAAACACAAAAACACATCCACAAGGACACAAAACAAGTTTAGAAAGCAAGCATTAGAGCTTGAAAAACACACACACACAAGCCCATTTAAGCATAGCATTTAAAACTCTTTGTACTAATTAAGTTGAAAGCCAGAGGGACGTAAGGTATGTCCTTTATCCGGTTTGAGGGCAAATACAGGACTTTCAACTTGATTTGCTCAAGCTGAATTGTTTGCATAATTATTTTAATTTGGCCAGGACCAAAACTGGCATTGGACAGCTGCATGTTTAAGGAAATTTCGATCAAAGGATGAGCAGAACCGCAGAGGCAGGCTATGCACTTGCAACTGGTTGGTTCCTGATTGATTTTAGTATTTTAGTTATTTTGCGATTGGTTTAATTTGCATAAGAGCCGGGTGAAGGACATGTCAGGAGCTTTGATTATGTTAACTCATAAAAAGCAATAAAACACAATAGAGCTGCCAATAATCCAGGTATTAGCCGTTCCAATACCAATAAATTCCTAATTGCCCACAAGTGCTTCCCACATAACAGACAAACCAACAGACCATATCCACCAAACTCAACGCCCACACACAAATATTTATACGAAAATGGATTACTTAAAGTAGAACTTAGTTTTAAATGATTTTTACACGCTCCCCTTTGGATTATTCTACGCGACGTGAGAATTTCACATTAGTTTATAGCTGCTAGTTGGGCAGTACTTACTACACTACCGCCCGTCCCCTTCTCCTTCCTTCCCTGAACTATCGAACTAATACGTAGCGAGTAAACATTGATTTTATATGAAAATATATAGGAAGTCCAGGCCCTAAGTTAGAGCAATAGTTGCATGAAGGGAAATTGAATTACTTTACGAGAACGCTGATTTTGTCGTGTAAAAACGTTCACGCAAGTGCTACGTAATTGCCTATTAAACTAAGTATAATTAACTAATTTGTGTATTTGCATAAGCTCAACCGCTGAATTATTTACATTTTGTAATTTGTAATAGCGCAAGCAGCGACCGCAACAGCAATAACAACAAACAACAGCAACGGTATCAATTTATTTTGAATAAAAAAATGCCAAAGATACGATTTTAGTTTGATTATTTACCATTATTTGCGAATATTTTTAGACACTGCAATCACACAGCCACACAAGAGTAAGTAAAGAGCTGAAAAATTTGAATTTCTCTAAATCAAATAAATAATTGTGCATATTTGTGAAAAGTCAACTGGCCATGGCCATGATTAAATTGCCCATTTAATTAATATATTCAAAAAATAAGGGAAACTACTGTATATTTAAATGCAAACATGTACTAATGCAATCTGTTTGCCGTTTGATTGGCTTAAATTGAGCGAGTTTGTACCCTCCACGTTGGCAAAAACAAAAACAAAAACACAGGCAAACCGAAAAACACATACAATAATTATAATAATTATTGAGAATAACTAAACGTGAATATAGGTATATCTGTATAGGATATATGCATGTACGGATTCTAATAAATATTTATATATTTTGATACAAAAAAGCAGAGTTTTATTTTTAATTGCTCCATCTCAGCTTCCACGTTCCATTAGGAATATAATTTGGGGAAAAATTCAATTTATGGAAATTCCTTAACAAATTAAGGAATCAAAGCGAGCAGGAAATTCGGAATGGGTGGTGGCAGGTGGGTGGGGTTGTTGTGCATGGGCAAAAAAGTCGAATCAAAAGCATTGCCATAATGAAGTAATACAAATTTGTTTTTCTTGTTGCTCTTGCCGCCTAATAAAGCCATCCTTCCCCTGTCCCACCCCCTCCCCCAACCATTCCTCTCGAAAGCTATTGATTCCCGTTACTTTGACAACCAATACACGCCGGATGCTGGCACACATACTCGCACATCCGAAAGGACATATTTGCTTGGCTTCGTTGACGCCAGCGGAATATTGTCTATCACGTGTGTGTTTCTGTGGGAGCACTGGGGGAAAATTCGGGTCTCAAAAAAAGTACATACAAAAGTAACCCTTTAAGTTTTAAAGTTCTTAAATGAATATTTTATATGACCGATCAAAATACTTTTGATATCTTACAGCCAATCAAACAACAATCAAAATACAGTTTGGAGGGCTACTAAAAATATATGATTAAAGCTTTTCATATCTAAAACAGTAAAAAGTGGCAATAATGAAATGGATGGAATTGTTTTAACTTTGAGATCTTGCTGGTTAGTGTATTAAATATTTTAGAATGTGCTTTAGCGCAATCAATCAAATTGTATTAAAACTGAATTGATTTCATATACTTTTTATACCTGAGAAAACATTTAAAATACCATCGGTTTGAAAAAATCAGGGTATTAAAGAATTTACTGAAGTTTTTCGAGTGTTTCTTAATCAATTAGTTAACAGAGCATTTTTCTCGGAAGTTCTTCCTTTTCATCGTCTCAAAATTCTAAATTTAACCAGTCCTTGACTACAGAAGGATATCTATATATTTTGGGAATTACTCATTCCTCGAACTAAGTCCTTAAATGTTTTTTTCCATGTAAGGACACATTGCGGAGGTGGCTGGCATTGTTGTTGCTGTTACGGTTATTGTTATTATTATGTAATGCAGTCATTTAATTGGTAACAAATTGTATTGTTTGGCTTGGCCTGGCTGCGAGCGGATCGACATTTCTTGCTTGTTTCGTTTGTACGCTTTTACGACTTTCCTAGGAAACGTAAATAGCAGCATCTCCCCACGTGTGTGTGTCTCCGTCCTCCCAGGGTGTTCGAATAGCTTTAATGCCACCCCCAGGACTCGTCGTCACACACCTCCTTGCCTCGGAAAAGTTCTCACACCTGTTTTCCCAGCAGTGGGAAAACAAATAACTTTTATTATACGGCGAATGTTTGGTTTTTAAACTTTGCCTGCTGAAAACATTTGCGTCCGGGGCTTTGCTTTTGCCATTGGCATTGGCTTCGGAGCTCTGGTTTTGGAAACGCAAAAAATAATACGCTCGTATGACCTGTAATTAAAAAGTCAAACCACCGAAACAACAACTTAAAATAATACGAACTGCAAAACTAGATTAGTTACATTAGTAAAACAAAAATGTTATGCTTTGTCTGCATTGCATTTTTATGGTTGTATTGTTGTGGTTGCCGAGTTTAAATGTATAAAAGGATGATCATTAGGTTTTTTTTTGCAAACAGTAATATTACACTTTGTCTGCATTAAGTTTTATATTTTTGGTCGATGCTTTTCTAGGGATTGGGAAGTGCATAGTTTTTAACTAATCTTAACAGGACAATGGATAATGTTTACTTTTATTTATATGATAAAATTTGAACATTTATAAACCCACCTGACGTATGGGTAATATTCTTTAGGTATTTAGCTCATATATTACTAAATAATGTATCCCAAAATAAACATTGATTTAATTTTGAATAGGCTTATCTAAAAGGAGAATTATCTTTCCCGTATTTTATTCTCAATTCATTAATGTTGAGATGCCCAACATGTATATATTACTGTGTTATATATCTGTAATTACACAATTTGATTGCATAACTAGATTCGGTTTCATTTGCTGGAATCTGCTGTAATTCCGAGAGGCGGGGTCCTTTATCACTGTGCAAACAGCTGCTGACACTGCGGTCCTTTTCCTTCCGTTGCCATAACGCTCATTATCGCCACCTCGATTTGCCCCCACTGCCGGCCAACTTTCTCTGTCATCGCTGACAGCCTTTTGGCCCGACTTGCGACACTGGCCATAATCATTTTCGGCCCCACTTTGGCCTTTTTGCGTTTTAAGTTACCAAACAAACAACAAAGCGTATAATTAACTTATAATCTTACATGTTGCCGGACAAATGCCGTATTTGCTTTAATAAAAGATGAAATCCCTATTGAAAGTATCTCACACGTGCATGGGGTATTCATAGTTTGGAGGGAATAAATCTGGCATAAGAGCTCCAGTGGAACGTGCAATTTAAGTTGGCTTTTGTCTTGGCATATAGTCAACGTGAACACAATAGATTCGGGCGCTGGCCATGTCCCTTTGTTTCCCATGAAAGGATTGATTGTACCCCAGCAAAGAGATGAATATTTTCCCTTAGATCTCTAAATATTTCATCTCAACCCACATTTTGCTACCAGTTTCGGTGTTTGCCGAGTTTAAATTACATCAAATGTTATTGCTTCTTTTCTGGGAAGTGAAATCCACACCTCCTGCTCCACGAGAGACCTGTCACCTAGTCAGTGTAAACATCCAGCGATCCGGGAGTGAAGATGTGGCATCGGCAAATTGAGATTAATCACAAAACAAACCCGGGCCAAAAGCTCAAAAGGTGACAAATGCCGGAACACACAGCGAATGCCGAGAAAGTTACAAATCGAAGTGAGATATTTGTAATGCCTGAGCAAGCCCCATGATTTGTATGTGTCCACATATCGGTGTACCTATGTATAACATACGATACCGGGCTATAAAAGGACACATTTAAGTTTCCTGCATTTGAGCAACAGGGGACTGTTGAAATCGTTTGAGAGGTCCGGGCAGGACACAAATCAATTATGTTGCCACGGGACAAAGGCGAAAGCGTCGAAAAAAATAATGGCAATACAAAAAAAAGTGGGGAGGGACGAGCGCATAAAGGAACAATGGCCAACATTGGCAACCTGCTGCGCTAATGCCGGTCTCAGACAAACAAACCCCCCGCCGAATCCCCATTTCCATTGCCTCGAAAACATTCACACTGAGATATAAAATTCAACTAATAAATAAATAAAAAAGTGAAAACAGGATTTCCTTTGGTTTTTTGAAAAAAACCAGTTTAGGAGTTCTTTGACTTAACATGAATTTAAATTAAATGATTTATATCTACTTTTTTTAGGCTTTTCTACTTCTTGTATTTTGATAACATATCTTTATTTAACAAATAAAGTTATTTATTAAGTATTAATAGTAACCAGCAGAAATTATAACAGATAGTGAGTTTTCAATTTAGATAGTCCAAGCTATTAAAGAACTTAAAATATATTTCTACACATTTGATTTCATAACCAATGACAACTTTTGTATCTCTATAAAATGGCTAATAATATTTATTTGAAAAATAAGTTGTATTCAAAGCTACACGAAAACATTATAAATAGTCTCCAAAATAAACTGATACTTTTTTGATAAACTCCACAGTCTCCGAGACAAAAACATACATATTGGAGCTTCTATTTCTTCTCGAGTATATAAGTAAAAGGCTTTTCTGGCAGTGCACTCTCTGGGGCACACGTATGGTGACACGCAGGAGGCGAACAACTCGAAGAAGCCGGGCCGCTGACTCTGTCAAGTAATACCAATTGAAGGGGCTCCGAGGGACGGATATTCCGGATACTCTGGACACTCTATTGGGGGCTTTAGGTAAATTGCTTTTATTGCACACAGTTCGTGTCGGCGTTCGAATTGCACTTAATTTCAATCAGGCGCCCGCTGCTAAGCCACTTGGGCTAATTGTTTGGCTTTCTGGCCCCCTCGCAATCCCCCTCGCCGACGCCTCTGTCCCTGTTTGTTTTTGGAGGGTCATGCCAATCTGGAATCGGGAATCTTGAGTCGAGAGTGTGGAAGCCCGGGCTAATTTGCAAATGCTGTGCAAGCTGCTAGGTAACAGCGTCCTCGAAGCGGAGGACTCCCGCTCCTTGCAGCCTGCTCAGCGCGGCTTAAGCTGGCTTAAAAATCAACTTGGGGGCGAGGTCAAAGGTTGTGGGGTGGGAGAAGCAAAGCAGGGCTTGCGTGCCATCCTGCAATGCTCCGAAATTAATTGTAGTGGATGCTGCGCGCTTTATAATTTCACTTGGCGCGAGTGTATATCATTAGCCTCGGAACACTCCCACTAATCCCTGGCTCTCCTCCGAGTTGAAAGTCAATCTTCTGCGGCTAATGGAAGTTTCTTGTTGTGGGAGTTCCCAGCTCCAGCCACTCATTTCCCATCTCCATCCCCATCTCCAGCCGCTCCGTTCGCCATTATAGTTGCACACTTGAAGGCGCGTGGCCTGGCAACGCATCAATAACGCGTATCCGCCCCGTATTCAGATTACGTTCGCCTGAAATCCAAAA